ATCAGCTAAGTAGATAGAACTAGAGGAAACCCAACAGTCTACTAGACAGTCAATCAGATCACAGTTTTACTTCAGTTACTCAATCTCCTCTCCCCTAGCAAATACCTGCCGAGTGCTAGATCTATCGATCAACCAGAGCTACCGCTGATATATCAAGTAGCTCTACCACTCCTTAACACTTTTGTTATTTTTAACTACTATTATAGTAGCTATTATATATAGTAACGCCTAGATAAAGTCTTTACTAAAAGTGTTATTTAAAAGTAGTAAAAGAGCTACTCTAAACTCATATTTTAAAGCTACTTTATATATAACTATAAAAGTTCTTACTATATCTAAAAGCTTAAAACTACATAAGAAAAAATACTACTTTTTAAATTAAAAAGTTAAATAAGGCTCTAAAGCCTTTTATAAAAAAGATTTAAAAGCTTATAATGAGTATAAACAAGCTTAAATTGTATAATAAGCTTAATAAAGTTTATAATAAAGATAACTAAAAAAGATAAGTAAGCTATCTTATAAAAGTCGTTATAGTAGTATTAATTAGTAGTATTACTAAACTCAAGTTCTTATCTTAAAGCTAATTTCTTTTATAAGAAAGTAATAAAAAGAAAAACTATATATCTTTATTTAAAAAGATGAAGTACTTTTATATCCTTACTACGCTTAAAGAACTATATACTAAAATGCTAAAGTAAAGTAGCTTTTACAGCTAAGTAATTTACTTAATTTTAATACTATTAAAGTAGATTAGCTAAAGGTTAAAAGAAGAATAATGTAAAAAGGTATACTAAAAGGTTAAGTAAAAAACATAAAAGTATAGTAATAGTACGAAAATAAGCTACCTTGATACTAAATTTAAGCTTGAATAAAGGGTATTTTATTTTATATTTAAGAAATTGTTAAACTTGAAGGTGGTAATAAGTATATAAAGAGGCAGTAGGACCAATCTTTATAGCTTTAGCCCTATTTTTAGCAGTAATTAATACACCCCTGTTAGCAAGAACTTTTGACAGTCACCTCCGTACGTGGTGTGGAGGTGCCAAGTGTTAGGGGAGTGCTTGGATGCTTATGCGAGGAGAGTAGGGTGCGGGGTGCCAAGGCGAGGGAGAAAGAGATTGATTGAGTGTGATGGGAGTGTGTTGGGAGATAGACAAGGGGAGAGAAGAAAAGATGCGATGATGTAATGATGGGAGGAGGAAGGTAGAGGCATGCGGAGTATTCGCATTATCAGCAGTGGGATAAGGCGGAATCACCAGAGCAGAGTCAACTCGAGTTCAATTTCCGAATGTCGTGAGTTTATACCGACTCGGTTTTTAATACTCACACGACAATCATGCAAATCAACTAAACTATGGCTTGGGGGAGACATACGAAACATATCAAGACAGGGCCAGGCCAGGATCAGGTGAGCGACCTCGTTGCGGCAAGTACCACTCGAGTACGCACAGAACGCAAGGTTGAACCCTTTTGCAATATTTTCTATTAGTGAATTAATATTACTATGTTGTGTGTTACACTTCGATGCGCAAAGGGTCACAGAAAGTTGGACGACTGTGCCGCTCGCCAGTACTGTAATAGCCACTTGCTTACTGAGTACATTATCCCCGCCGACTAACCATCCTCCGATACTTGGCCCATATCCCAACGGAAGCTAGCCCTACAGATACTATCCCGATACCCTTCAAAACGCGTAACATGTAGCCAAAGAATTCCAACGTCTTTACCGGCGCTGGAGCTGGGGGTTTAATTAACTTCTCGTTCTCTCGCAGTACGGACGAGAGTAAGGGAACTTGTGGCTGTTGCCCCGAGATCCTCATACGGGGACGTCCAAAAAGAGCAGAGGGGAAGAAAGTCTGCAACTGAGAGGGTGATGTGGAAGGGCATGGTGAAATGACTATCGGGTGTTAGCTACATCCCAACTTGTGGTGCGCCCGTGTGCTCATCGCGGGTTAGGGGCGTGGAAACACATTGTAGCAGGTCTAATTGAGATGATGAGTAACGAACCTGGCGGAATAACTGAGCTAATAGCCCCAACAGAGAACACTAGTGCTCTCGTCCATCGCTCAAGGTACTCAACACTTGACGGTGATGCCGGCGCAAGCAATGCAATTTGTAACGGGGGAGTCTCCATGGAGGAAACGGCATCCATTATCTGTTCAAACGAGTCATAAGTCACTACAAGGAGCACCTGTATCCGTTGTGCGGCCTCGATGGCCGTCGGGAATGCAGATTTTGACTGCCCTTCCCTCGGCAGAAGTTGAGAGAGTTCCGCATGGTAGGTATTGCCTATAAAAGGAGCGAGGCCCAGTTCCGACAGATGTTCCGATTCCAGGATCGGACTTGAGTGGCGTGCTCCAAATACGACTGAGAAGCTTTCCTTAAAAGCATCAACCTCTTCAGTTCGGATGAAAACGGCCGTCAACTTCTCCGGGAAAAAGGCATGTGGAAGTTGGAAACCAGCATAGATATCTTGCGTCAATCTACTGGCCAGGGCCCGTCCGTTATCGATAACTGCTAGGTTGCATGCTGATGCAGTGTTGTGGAAAGAACTGGATGGCAACGATAACAAGGCCGAGTATCGGTGAGGAGTTTCATCTGCAAGTAGGTGTGAAAGAGTGTTGGAAGATACACCACAAGGGCAACATGATCCACTTACCTAGAATGAGCAGCTGATCAACTTGGTTGAGGATGGCATCTTACAGATCTATCGCGGGAAGAATATGAACTGCCTGAGGATCCAAGTACTGACTCGCCTTTTCACTCAGAACAGCAAAAAATCGAGAGCATTTCGACTCAGTAGCCAGGATGACTGCGTTTCCGGCTGCGATGCACGACGCAAGCGGAGCAAGAGCATAGCGAAGCGGGTTTGCAGAGTTGGCCAAGATGAGCGAAACACCGACGGGAAGGCTTCGTGTCACAGCTGCCCCCGCTAGACTCTGCCTAGGCGGACTGGCGTTTGGTTTCAGGGTGTTGAGGTAGTGTCGAGCAAGGTCCTGGAGCAAAAGGGTATATTCGCGATCACACTCTCCTCACATGGTCAGTTTACCTCTGCAGCCGGCGTAACTGGTAACAAACCTTTGCCTAGGGCCGTAATCAGTTCCTCACGCGCATTAACAAGTAGCTGGTGCAGGCCATGCAACTGTTCCAGCCTCCATCTACTGTCTCGATACGTAGCAGTAGTCAAGAAGGCCGTCCGACAGGCGCGGGTTACTGATGATGTCGATTTCGAATTATCTGCCATGTTAATGGGTACGCAACGGAGCCCCGAGAGGAAGTTTGAAAAATGAACTCTACAGAAGAATGTACCTCTGCAGTAGCTGGTGCAGCTGGAATCTACCACAGAGCACAACCCCTTGTTTGTGCCCCTCAAGTATGCATAGGCTACTGTGTCCGGACGAAAACGTACGTACTTAGTGTCTTGTGGCTTCGGCACACTCTTTCGACCGGATGATCACACCAAGAAGGGTTTGGTTCAACACCCGTAAAATCCGAGTCAAGTAGATCACGGCTATGTCAAGCCGATAGCGCATATTCGCGGCCCTCCCTATTTTCCCCCTCTCTAAGGTGCCCAGTCTAATCAGACAATTTGATTTTGCGAAACCAAGCAATAGCAACAACAACAGTCCCGCTCTTCCAGCTTCACCACCGCGGCTTCAGAAGTCTTGGAAACCTCAATCATGACGTACTCGGCGAGCGAGCCTGAATCGACGTCATGTTCTCAAACCCCTGTGCTGTTCGCCTCGCACGGCACCCCCTTCACATACCTCAATGAGAGCCCGTCGACAGTTTGGTGGCAGGAAGTTGGTATACCCTTTCCCCGGCGGTGCTGCATCCACTTACCCGCATGCAGTTTGGGCGAGAGGCGTTGGCCCATGGTATCAAAGGGATTGTCTATGTTTGTTCACACTGGGTAGAAGAGGACGATCGGATTCGCGTGAGCACCGGAGAGCATCCACAAGTGACACATATGGAACTTGTGCCACGCCGGTACTGGGAAAACTACCCCATCAATGTCTCCCCCGAGCTAGGCCGAAGGGTAGTTTCAGTGCTCAAGGCTGCCGGCCTGCCAGATGTTGATGAAGACCCCAATGCGCAGTGGCAAGATGACACTCTTACACCTTCACGTTGGATGTTTCCAGAGGGAAACCCACCTGCAACCTGCGTCAGCATTAATGCCCGCTACGATCCCATCGTCCATATCAAACTAGGACGAGCGCTGCGTCCGCTAAGGAGCGAGGGCATCCTCATCGTGGGCTCCGGCGCAATTACCCACAATCTTTTCCGAGCCAGTTGGGCCCCTGTCCTACGAAGTGGATTGCGAACAGCCTACCACCCCAACTACAAGCCGGAAAAATGGGTGCTGGACTTTGAACGCGCAGTGCGCGACTCAATCATGTTTAACTCGGTATTTTGCAACACCCGAAATCCCCTCCAGATATCGCTGAATGACTGATGTTTAAATCGCTCTTAGGGTCCTCGCTTGGCGGGTGCGCTGGTAAGGCTGCTAGATCACCCTTGCTACAAGCTCGCGCATCCATCCGACGACCATTTCTATCCGCTGATCGTCATTGCTGGCGTCGTGTCGGGTGACGACGACACTGTGCATGGGCGGAAGATGGCAGAGTCATGGGATGTGGGCAATGTGTGCTCGTCGCAATATCTCTGGGGAAGCTGGTCGGGAGAGACGTAATAAACATGCTAGGGGCCCAGGCCACGTCTTGGTTGTGTGATCTAATAGCTGCAGGATTTTGCCGGTATACAGATAAACAAAATCAACTTTACTCACCTTTTTGCACTCTAAACAGACGCCTAAAAGAAAGAAAGATAGAAAAAAAACAGCAGACTATAGCGATCATCTAGCTGACACAGAGTTTTATTTTGTATAAACATTCCTACAGCCCGTAACGGAGATAAAAAGCGGTGCAGCTTTAGCTGTTATTCTGGCCGTTCCGGCCGTTCTGCCGTTCCAGCTGCTCTGGCTGTTCTAGCGTTCTAGCGTCTGTCATGTGACAAGGCCTGGCGCGTCTAGCCTAAGACGGAAATTTCTAACATCTTGGCACCTATAAGACGAATGATAGCAGAGCTTCTTAAGGCCAATAAGAATTGATTCTGCTGACAAAGTCTTGCATTATAAGCCCCTATGTAGTCACGTGATATGGAAGCACGTGACTGACTCCAATATGCAGCTAAAGCTGTAATAACTTTGACGCCGTATAGGCTTGTGGTTGTAGACATCATGTTTTTACTCTTACTTATATATTCTTACTTCTAGATTACATACCATAGGAAAAAAACAATTCTGCTCATCGTCTTGTTTCCCATAGCGCTGTGGGACTCAAGTCATGCTCAATTTCAGTAGTGCGCCGGTGCTAGGCCAGATTGAGCCTGTTCTGCAGGGCAGGGATGGCCTTGGATGCAGCTCTGAGGGGTGTTAATACAACAGCGCGATCGCCAGGACTGCACAGGCACAGGAGTTAGGAGCTGCAGGCTTTTGTCCGGCATACTGCAGGTGCAGACTCGCCTGTCTAACAAGGGACATCTTAGTAGACCAAGACAAGACTAAGCACTTAATTTAACTAGTACAGGGGTTAGCGGCTTCAGGTAGTAACCTATATTATACGCGTCTATGATCGCCAAGAAACAAATTCACCAGCATAGTCCCTGTTCTGCAAAAAGGTCACACGATCAAGATGAACAAGTCACGGATCACAAGAGAAAGAGAAAAGGCAAGAGGCGGAATTTGTAAAATACAAGTCCATTCGTCGTGAATGCTATGTTATATATATATACATATGTGAATAGATTTGCTGAGCAGGCAGCAAGTAAAGAAAAGAAGTAGATGCAGTGGTGTGTGTTTTTGTTCTTTGCTGTGAAGATGATGAGGCTCTCGAGAAACCAACAGGGAAGACATGATCCAAACATCATGGGTGTCGGCTAACTGTCATATGACCGTGATCCATGCACAAGAACGAGACGCTTAGTTGAAAGAGCGGGCGTGGCGGCGAGCGTTAGAGCTGCCAGCGGTGGTCTGGAGCCACTGGATGAACTGGCTGATGGTGAAGGTCTTGGGGAGAGAAGAGCCGTTGCCACCAGAAGGGGTCGAGGGAGTGTTGGGAGTGCTGGGAGCAGAGTTGCCACCGGAAGGAGTGGATGGCGCAGACTCCTCAACTGGGGAAGGAGAAGGAGCAGGAGCGGAGCCAGATCCAGAGCCAGAGCCAGAGCCAGAGCCGGAGCCAGAGCCAGAGCCAGAGCCAGAGCCAGAGCCAGAGCCAGAGCCAGAGCCGCTGGCGGGGGTGGCAGGTGCGCTGCCAGAAGCGCCGTTCCAGACAGGGGGACCGGGGATGGTGTAAGAGGTAGGGTTGTTGTAAATGTCAAACTTGACACCGGGGTCGGTAGCCTTGTAGGCCTTGGTCATGTCGACACCAGTGGCAGGGAGAGCAGTCTTTCCGCTGCCAGTGACCTTGATCTGACCGCAGCCGTTGTAGAACTGAGCCTTGCCAACGGCGGAAGCCTCGTGGAGACCAATCATCTCAGGGCGGATCCAGTAGCTACCGGCCTCGAGATCGGGGAGCTTGACGTTGATGATACCCTTGTTGTCGTAGAACCTGTCAACACCCCACTTGCCATTCTGAAGACCATCCTCCCAAATCTTGGTCCAGACGGCACCCTGACCCTTGGTGTCGGCCTTGGCGATGTAGACCATGACAGGGCCGTGGTGGGAGGGGGCAATTGGGTCCTCAGTGTCGCCAGAAGAAGACTGGGGGTCGTTGTGGTGCCACTGCATGCCAACAGTGGAGCCAGCGGCAACCTCGACCTCGTCGGAGGTAGCCTTGCCACCGTTGCAGATCATGGCAGTCGAGCTGACATCGAGGATGGGGTTGTTGCCGTTGGAGGGAGTCTGAACAGCAAAGTGGTGGCCTGCATCCTTTCCGCCAATGACGAAGCTCTGGAAGGTGGTGTGGGCAGCGGCGAGGTTGGCAGCAGCCAAAACAATAGCGGTTTTGGTGAACATGTTGGTGGTTGTAGTTGGTTGTTTTGTCGGAAAAAAGTCGAGAGTATCTTCCAAAGATAGAATGCAAAAGAACGAAAGACAGACGAATGGATCGAAAGTAGATACGAAAGAGTGTGGAATGTGTGTTCAGCGTCAAGCTTGATGATCTGGAAAGGACGATGGCCTGAGGACTTCTTATACTCGTGCCGCCCGTAGGGCGGATTCGCGCTCTGGCGGGTTTGGTGTGGTGGCCGACTGCATCCCGCCCAAGCCAGCGCCATGCAATCCAGGTCCGTGGATTGAAGCCAAGAATCTGTCAATCTATCCCGCGCCGGACTAACCCATAAAGGAAGTATTGTGTCGCTTACGCGCCGCCCAACATTCAATCGAGGTATCCCTCCGTTCCCGCGCCCCATAATATTTTTGGGGACTCATTACGCCTTGAATCGTGTGCCTGGAAGTGGCCTGCAGGAGATGCTGCGCCTGGCATGGCGGAAGCCTTGTGGAGCGCACGAACCCATCTGAACTGTTGAAGCCTCTCCGCTAGGTCTATGCATTGGCGTTTGGCGAAACATCGGAACCGCCGAAACAGAGTTTCAATTCATGCCTTGTCATGTTGGCCGTTCAGTGTTTGCTTTTGGCCGTTGTCTGTTTGCCGACAGAGATGCACATTCCTCCCTTTGACTGACCGTCAGCCCGCCCATGTGTCAGGCATTCTCTTTCCCTTTCATCCCTCGTCCCACTACGATTCCTGCACAATAATGCTCATTCCGACCGTCGAATCATCTGGAATATACACTAACAAGCGAAAGTGGCCATGATCCACGGCGGGCGGTGGGGGGTCATTCCACTCTGCGCTGGGTTCCTCTGGCGGCGACATGAAACGGTATCCCGGTGGGGCTGATTGCAGTCTGTGCCTGCCAAGTTCATGGGCGATGTTTCGAGCCAAGCGAGCTTCATAAAAACGGCGTAGTCCAATCCGGGCCAGGCCCCTTGGGTTTGTGACGTTGTTTTTGTTTCGTATTGAAAGATTTTATAGCCACCGGCTGTCAAGGTGGGAACAGGAGCGCTGTCGTGCTGTTTTGTGTTGCTCGGCCAATAAATCCACTGTTCTCGGCATGATGCGTAAAGCAAAGAAGCACTAACGGAGTAGAGGATTCGATTCATGATGATCGTTTCCGGCTAGTAGTCGTTGGCGTCCAGTGTGCAAGCGCCGCCCTGCCATATGCCTGAATTCTGTCTTTGGGGGTTCGTCCACCTTTATGTATGTACTTGGAGATGGCTCAAATCAGCTCAATCTCTCTCAATGAATGCAACTCATCGCGACTGTAGGGATTCGCTGGTAGCGCAAGACGACTTCTACATACTTGACATTGTCGTGCTCGGCGTCGTATCTCTGGGCGTAAGCCCCATTGCCAACGGGTGTTGCATCTTTGCGACTCGCGCACTATAGGAAGCTTGGCTCAGGATATCTCGGATGGAAGAGACATACAGTCCGCCTTTCGTACACCGTCTCGTCACGTTGAGCACATCGCGACGATCGCTCGCGCAATGTCCGTGCCTAGGGGATGTACCCTGGTCAGACACCGTAAGCGTCGCTTAAATTTGTCAAGAATAAAAGGGCGACAACGGCAACCGACATGGACAGTTTCTCGCTCAACCTCGGTGCCGCCCCCTCCTTCCGACTGGTCGCTGTAGCTTGTCCATCAGACCTACTCGCCCGCGCAGTTGCTCCAGACTCATTGGTGGTGCTGCGAGTTGTAGTAGCTGGGAACAATGCGGTGGTAGTGCTGCGGCCTGCACTCCCATATGTCAATGCCGTTGCACTATCTGCGAGGCCAATCGTAGTTCCGTCGACGGTGATTGTGCCCCCAGGCGTCAATGTTTCCCCTCCTATGACAAAGGTTGTACCGTCACCAGACATGGCAGTGTAGGTGTTGGTACCAATTGTCAACAAGGGTGGGTTTGTAACTACAGGTTGAGCCTGAGGCGAAATAGAGCTCGTCTGTCCATTAATCACCAGCGCTGTAGCTCCAGGGGCAAGTGAGATGGTTGTTCCCGACACGACAATCGAACCACCAGCGGTCAGTAGTATCGAGCCGATTAGATAGGCAGTCCCGGTACCAGGCAATGGCCTGAATGTGACATCTCCAACGGTCAAGGGAGGTGCTGTGATTTGTGCAGGAGCGGCATTCGTCAATGTGGATTTCACGCCGTCAATTACCACGAATGAGGCAGATGATGCCAGTGACAACGTCGTACCAGAAACCGTAATCTCAGGACCCCCAGGAACAAGGGTCTGACCACCGACCACGAATGATGGTCCTGTCGGCTGTGGAAGAGCACTAAACACACTATCGCCTATCTTGATTGTGGGCGTTGGAAAAGCCGGCCCGGTTTGTGTTATTATCGTCGAAGGTACCCCGTTGACAACCACCACACTTCCAGATGACTCCAGTGAGAGTGTAGTCCCAGAGACGGTGACGACTGCCCCACCTGGAATTAAGGTTTGGTCAGATATAACAAATGTAGGAGCCAAGTTGAGCTTGTCTGGAGTAGTCTGTGCTGATATGGTCGAGCCGCCGAATACGAGATGTGGTGCTTTGGCTGTAGTTTGCGCCAATGCAGGATCCACGGCCAAGACTTGGGTAGATCCGCCAATGACGACAAATGATGCCAAGGGAGCAAGACTGACGATTGTGCCATCGATGGTGGCAACACCGCCTGGAGTCAAAGTTTGTCCGGGAGCAACCAAAAACTGAGTGGCAGCGTTGGGCGTTAGTGTAGATGATCCAACCGTCAAGACGGGCGGCGCAGGTGGAGGGACTTGAGGGAGTAGGCTCGTCTCGCCGCCGATGATAATAGCCGTAGCTGAAGGTGCTAGAGAGACAGGTGTCCCACCTCCTACGGTGACAGGAGGTCCTCCTAGACGCAGCGTTTGTGAGCCAACCACAACTTCGGATGAAGGGCCAACCACCACAGGGCTTGCTCCAATTGTACCCACAGTGACTGATGCGGCGCCACGTGCCCGCGTTGTAGAGGGTAAATCAGCATGGTCGGTGGGTTTGAACTCGGCATTTGGGATATCCCAATCGGCAACGGTAAGTGGAAGAGGCTTCGAGGAGCGGGTGCCCAAGTCGTTTACAAGAACCGGGGGATCCTCAAACCCAAGGACAGATGACTCAAAGTGGATGATGAATGGATCGAGCAGCGGCCGATTCAGATAGTATAGATCGACAATAATGAGAACCGTCACAGTAGCTTGGAGCTGACCCGCAACACACCCCGAATACGGCACTTGCTCAAGGAAACCTTTTGGTAGTGGCCCAGTAGCAGTGTCTTTTTCTTCAAGGCCATCTACCCAATAAGGATAGGCCTGCGCCGAGGGGAGCTGTACTTGTTCAGTTTTGTTACCGTTGGCAACCTCGTAAGCAGTAAAGTAGACGAATGGCGTTGCCGATGTCTCAACTTGAGTGATGTTTGGAGCCAGTGTGACGGCAATTGTTGCTGATGGGAAGGAATCTGGGTAGTAGACGTCGTATAATCGAGCGTCCGTGGCTGGGATGACGCCTTCCGGTGGAAACGGCGAGTATCCTGATGATCGGTAGACGATGGATGTTGTAGCCGCAGTGGGCTTTCCTGTATACGGTTCGCAATTTGTCAAAGTGAAGTCGTATTCGGCGTAATACGAGTAGGAGTATGTACAGGCAAAATCGGACTCCAGGGCACTAGCTGCGTCAAACGTAGCGGTGTTTGGCACAAGCGTGAGTGAATTGGCATCGCTAAAATTCAGTGCTGAACTCGTCATTGTTGCGATCAGGTGGCTGTAGGTTGGTGCGAACCAGTAGTTGAGGCTTGCGCTGGGTATGTTGATGGTGCATGATGCGTTTGAGGGGGCGGATACCGCCTGTCCAGAGGATTGGGGGGCCTCATATTCGCTAGATGTCCGCGTAGCAGAGCTGTAAACACTCTGTAGTCCGGTTCCTGGCAGAGGAGCGATGGGTGTGCTTGTAGCGATTGTTGGCGCGGGTACAGACAGAGGCGTCGTGGAAATGGCGTTGGAATATGGGGCTTTATGGCTTTGTTAGCACGCTGCGCAACGCCCTCAGGCTCATTGAGGTTCGTAGTTACCCGTCTCGTTGACGCCACCGCGACGATGGAAAACGGCACCCGCAGCACATGAAACCAAGCATAACGTGACAAGCGAGCGATATGAAGACATGTCTGTTGTAGAGCGGCGCTCACCCTGACAGCCTCTGCAAAGCGAACGTCGCGACGTCCAAGTCGCCCGGGAAAATGGTGGACATGCAAGAGCGCAGGAACAATCTGGATGGGCGGGTCCAGGGCATTTTGGGCCCTATCGGCGGGCCCGTGTAAAGGCTGTCCAAGGCCATAACATGCATGACCGGCGGAAGATGGGCGCGGGAGCTAGACGGCGCAAAGTCCGATATTGGCTTGCCAGTAAAGTGCTTTTGCCGTCCAGCCTCGGACTGGCCAGCTGGGAGTGGTTTGGCCGCCCGCGCAAAAAAGCAGCAGAGGGCCAATCAGACGGGTGTGGTTCGCATAACATGACAGATGTGGCCATGGCCAGGTCGAATGAGGCAGGCGTCCAGATGCAGGCCTCGCTTTGCCCTGCTCCTGAAGTGTGGGGATCCAGGCACTGGCTGGGGGCATGAACGGTGGCTTTTGCGTGGGCGAGGGCTGCGAGTCAGGGCCGTACCATAAAGTAGTGGACATCCCTTGCTGTTTGTTGCGGCTTGCCATGACGCCCAGCATTGCGAAGGCCCTTATCTGTCGTTGTTGGCGGAGATGACGGCGCCACGTCTGGAGAATGCAGGCGGGATGCAGAGGCAGCCAGGTATGGAGGGCACTATGCCGTCGAAGCACACGTCGCCGGCTGCTTGCTTGCTGCTTGAACTTCTGCCGCGTTGAGCATGCCGATCACATGGGGCTTTTGGGGCAGGCGTACCGAACCCTCGCTCGGAAAAAACAAAGCAGTGGGCGAGTGGGTCGCACGAGGGACATTTCAGGATCGACGGGTGCTGGTGACTGCTGCATGTTTGCGATACGGTCGGGGGGTGGGGTTGGAGGATGGAGGGTGGAGGGGGCTCCAAAGAGGCTGTCTGGAAGCGTGCAGCGCCTCCGCCAGCATGTCTCGACGACGCCTCGGCGCGCCCAGGCCCACCGCCCGCGACTGGCTAAGTGCTGTACGGACGGAAGACGAGCTGTGTCTGGCTGTGTCGACGTACAAGTGGCACGAGGGGTCGGTCGGATGCCTCAGTGCCGCACCCCACGGCACTCATCTGGCTTCATTAATGATGCTGCGGGAAAATGCCGGCTGAAAGCGACGGGAGGGGCATGGCCGTGTCACGGCGTGGGAGTACAGGCCTCGATTCGTCAAGGCACCACCATGGAACGAGGGAGGCGTACACCCGCAGCCTCGCAACGGGGGAGCGAGACGAAGCCTGCCATGGCAGGTCAAGACGGACGGCGAGCGCGGTCGACGTTGGAACAGAGATGCCGCGGCCGTGGCAAATGGGGGCAAACTCTATTAGAGCCGCTCTGTGCAATATATCCCTTGGCCCTGCTCGGCGGAGAGCGCCCGGGTTCGGGCCATCCTGGGTCAACTCGCGCTCTGCGTATCTCACCCTCTCTCTCTCTTCCTCGCTCTCGCTCTCGCTCTCGCTCTCGCGCTCTTCGGCCCTCTCCTTCACCTCCCCTCGTGGCGCAGGCGGGGACAGACAATGTCGCTCAGTGATGCTGCTCGCTGCTCCTCGTCGTGGTTGAGTGGCTCTCCTCGCACCCCCCGACCACTCGCTTAGTCACGGAACATGATCCCTCTGCGAAGCCGTCCGGGCTTCGTCTCAACAACATGCGCCCTCGTCGCCGCCGCCTCGCTCGTACTCGCGCCCAGTCCTGCCGCCGGATATGTCCAGCAAAACATCACCAATACGCCCAACTTCGAGCTCCTGCACGGCATTGCGTCGATACCGGCACCCGTCTCGATCCCACCCGACCAGAGCTGGATGGGCATTGATGGCGCATGGAACACCTTTACTCTCCAGATAGGAGACCCTGGGCAGAACGTGCGAGTCCTGGTCTCCACCGCTAGTCAGCAAATCTGGGCCATCAATCCCCTGGCCTGCACTGTCAACAGTACCGACCCCACCACAGGCAGCATCACCAACGTCAACGTCCTCAACCACGACTGCGAGGCAAGCCGGGGCTTCCTGTACAACGACACCAGCTCTCGCACGTGGCAGGAGAAGGGGTATTACCAGCTCTGGATAGAGAAGAACCTGGGCCTGGTCGGCAATGGCTTGTACGGCTTTGACTCGGTGGGTCTTGGGATGCGAGGGGACAACGGTCCGTTTGTCAAAAATACGACAATCGGCACCCTGGTCACTCCCAACTTCTGGCTTGGCCATATTGGCGTGCATCCCAAGCCTACCAATTTTTCGGCCTTTGAAGATCCCACGCCGAGTTACCTCATGGACCTTTTCCAACAAAAGAGCATCCCCAGCCTAGCTTTTGGCTACACGGCAGGCGCCCAGTACCGTAAGGCGGCCTCTCCGCGTAAGCTAACCATCACTGACACGTGCTTGCAGGCTCACAAACCATTCTTGGCAGTCTCACGCTTGGCGGCTACGATGCCTCCCGTCTCATTCCGAATGAGCTGACCTTCATCTTTGCGCCTGACAATGAACGTGACCTGGTCGTGGGCGTTGTGGGCCTTAGCGCAAAAACATCCAAGCAGAACAACATTGACCTCTTGAAACGCAACGATGTCACCATGTTCATCGATTCGACCGTGGCCGAGCTGTATCTCCCAGTTGAGATATGCCAAGCCTTTGAGGAGGCGTTTGGATTGCGGTATGACGAGGCCACAGATCTCTACCTTGTGGACAACAACCTTCACCAGAGTCTCCTCGCACAGAATCCCAGCATCACTTTTACCCTTGGCCAGCAATTCCGCACACAAGCAACTGTAGCAATCACCTTGCCCTATGCCGCCTTTGACTTGGAGGCGTCCCCGCCCTACAGAGGACTAGAAAAAAAGACAAAATTCTTCCCCATCCGACGAGCCAACGAGTCGAGCGAGTGGGTGCTAGGGAGGACGTTTCTGCAAGAGGCCTATCTGACTGTGGACTGGGAGCGCGAAAACTTTACCGTGTCAGCCATTGACTGGACATTTGGCGAAGCGCCAGATATACTCCCAATTGTCTCGCCCGATTATTCCGTCCCAGAGACCACACCTGTTGCTAAAGGAGAGGGGTCCTCTTTGTCTTCCGCTGCAGTCATTGGTATTGCTGTCGGAGGAGGGTTTTTCTTTGCGCTGACCCTATGCGCCACTGGATGGTGGTTTTGGCGTCGGCGGCAGCAGCGCAACCTAAAGGCCATGGAGGCCAAATACGAAGCCGAAGTCGCGGCAGCTGCAGCTAGGAAGATGGATCCGCCCAAGTCGGCAGAGAACCCACCCTCGACAATACGAAGCAGTGCGGACGGAAAAACGGTGTTTCTCAAAGCCGAATTACCGGGCGATTCTTCTCTGCACCACCAAGCAGGTTCGAGCATGCAGGACAAGGGCGCCATGACGGTCATAGAGGCCGACGGCACAGAACGGCAAGTCTACGAGATGCCTGGTGACATGCCGGTGCCACACGAGGCCGACGGGCGGCAGCTGTCAGAAAAAGAATCCATGGTAGTGCGCGAAAGGATATACAACGGGGTGGATCCCAGTGGAGCGCCAGAAGTGGCGGCGACAGCGCAGGGCAGTCCACGCAGACCGGTGCCCGTGTCGCCATGCGAAGTTTCGATTGTCAGTGGCCCGCTGCCCCAAGGCAACGTGTCGCCCGTCAGCCCGCGGTCGCCGCGAGACGGAGCGTTCCTGGAGGCGTCAGACACATTTTTCCAGCCGCCGCCGCCGTTGTACCGGGTGCACGAGGGCCGGCGCACCGAGGCGGACAACGCTCCACTCTCACCCATCTCATCGTTGAAAGGGTCCACGGACGCGTCGCGACGGCGGTTTTCTTACGAGTCATGAGCCTGCAAAGCGGGCATCTAGCGACATACATCACGACTGGCGTTTACTTTGTTTGGCATGATTGGCAGGGCTTTTGGTGCTTGGCGACACGCCGCCCCTGCTGGCAGCCAGGGACATGGCGTTTGGATTCTGGTACTGGTACTGGTGCTGTGCTTTGATACCCGTGATTCCTGCATGCGGAATGCGGAACACGCACATAGACGGCGGGCGGACCTGCGGGAGTGGCGATGGAGACGACTTTTTTTTTATTTTATACTTTTGTGTTTTTGCTTGGTTGCATCTGGCTTGCATATACCCTTGGTTGATGGTTTGTACCTAGATGGCGCGCTCAGCAGCGTGCGTAGCAGAGTGAGCAGCGTCATGGTAATCCACTTGATACGTGAAGCGGTCCATGCGCTTACGAAGACGCCCCTGTCTATCTCTGCCAGTGATGCTCTCCATCTCTTCTCGCTGCCGGCGACACCGGGGCCGCCGGCAGTCCGGACACGGGACGGGCTGAGCTGGGTCGGTACACGTGGATGGGAGGGGGTGGCCACCAGGGCGACGGGCGGTGCGACGGGGCCTTGGGGCGGGATGGAAGGATGGAAGGATGGCAGGGCAGAAGGGCAGAGGCTGATAGTGTAGATGCAGATGCAGCGGCGGCGGCGGCGGCGGCAGGGCGGGCGGAGCGGTCTGAAGGCGGCGGCCAAGTGGTGCGCCTTGCCTGTTGCAGGTAGGCCGAACCCCTCGTCAGCTCTGCGACTGGACACCAACCCCACCATGCCCTCACGGCGAAGGCGAAGGGGGGCACAGCACGACCGCCTTTCTGCATCGTCACTTTGTCAATCGCTTGCCTGCTGCTTCACCCACAGCCTGCGCCCTCTGCCCGCCCTCACCGTCCCAGCATCCTCCCCCATCAGCCCGCCTGCGTCTCTGCACAGCCGCCGCCGCTCCCGCCCCGCTTTGTTCGCAGCACCAGGCTGTCGTCACATTGGCCGCGCGCCTAGCCTGGGGCCATATCTTCTGCCCGCCGCCTGCCTGCTTCCTTGGTTGCCTTGCCCTTTGCGCCCCATCTCGCACGCCTCTGCCTTGTTGCCCCCCCAGGCTCTTCGTCCTCTCGCTCTTCCTCCTTGTGCATTCTTTTTCTTTTGGCCGTCCCTAGCCTTGCCCCCCGCCCCGCCCCGCCAGCCAGCCAGCCAGCCATCGCAATGGGCGACCTCGCAAACCGCAAAGTGTTCAAGGTACAGCCAGACGGGCCCGCCACGGCATTCCCAGCACGCGTGCTCACGGCCTGCAGGTGTTCAACCAGGAGTTCATCGTCGACGAGCGTTACAATGTAACAAAGGAGCTGGGACAGGGTGCCTACGGCATCGTCTGGTGCGCCGCCACCAGCGACACGATGCACCTCCCCTCATGCTGATTGTGTCCTGCAGTGCGGCTACCAACAACCAGACGGGCGAGGGCGTCGCCATCAAAAAGGTCACCAACGTCTTCAGCAAGAAGATCCTGGCCAAGCGTGCCCTGCGCGAAATCAAGCTGCTCCAACACTTCAGAGGTACACGCACCTGCCTCCGCCCGTCGTAACCATGCTAACACCTTGCAGGACATCGCAATGTGAGACAGCCCCACCACGACACTGCGTTTCCCCCCCAAGCCGTCGCAACCCGATACTAAACCCCGTCGCACAGATAACATGTCTCTACGACATGGACATTCCCCGCCCCGACAACTTCAACGAGTGCTACCTCTACGAGGGTACGGCCCGCCCTCGCCTGGTCGCATGATACCGTGCTGACGTTGGAGCAGAGCTCATGGAATGCGACCTGGCTGCCATTATCCGATCCGGCCAGCCCTTGACCGACGCTCACTTCCAGTCCTTCATCTACCAGATCCTGTGCGGCCTCAAGTACATCCACTCGGCAAACGTCCTGCACCGTGATCTCAAGCCCGGCAACCTGCTCGTCAACGCCGACTGCGAACTCAAGATCTGCGACTTTGGGCTGGCCAGGGGCTTTTCCATGGACCCTGAGGAAAATGCGGGGTACATGACCGAGTATGTCGCCACCCGATGGTACAGAGCCCCTGAAATCATGTTGAGCTTCCAGAGCTACACAAAAGCCAGTAAGTGCTGTCATCCGTCCCAACTATATATACATGTCAGAGCCTTGAGTAGTAGTCGTAGCACGCGGGCGACCTTGGCGCCGCTACAGACTTAGGGTCTGTGCCACTACCAAACAATCCCCACTTGACCACTCCACACTTTGGGCGCAGGCTAACCCTGCATAGTCGATGTTTGGTCGGTAGGATGCATTCTCGCAGAGCTGCTGGGAGGCAAGCCTTTCTTCAAGGGCCGCGACTACGTCGACCAGCTCAACCAGATCTTGCACTACCTGGGAACACCAAACGAAGAGACTTTGTCGCGCATTGGCTCTCCTCGTGCCCAGGACTACGTCCGAAACCTGCCATACATGCAAAAGATTTCCTTCCAATCGCTCTTCCGAAACGCAAACCCCGATGCGCTCGACCTGCTAGACCGCATGCTTGCCTTTGACCCCTCCAGCCGTATCTCAGTCGAAGAGGCCCTCGAACACCGGTACCTGCAGATCTGGCACGACGCGTCCGACGAGCCTTCGTGCCCAACAACTTTCGACTTCCAGTTTGAAGTCGTCGAAGAAATTCCAGAAATGAAGCGCATGATTTTGGACGAGGTCAGCCGCTTCCGCCAGATGGTCCGCGTTCAGCCCGGTGCGGGCGCCGCTGCAGGCCAGGCCCCTCAGGTCCCGATACCCAACAACTACGATCGCACAGGCTATGAAGAGCCGAGGCCGCAGGAGGCGTTCAACCAGGGCGGGTGGAATGGCAGTGACTTGGAGCGCGATCTGCAGGGGTTGGACGGCCGAATGCGATGATTGGAATCGGATCAGGTAATCTTGGACAAAAGCTATTTTCGCCAGCTCGACCATGTAGGTGTGGGAATGATTTGGGTACTCCCAGCCCGTATGTAATTTCTCGTCGTATGCAAACATTTATTCATGCACATGGAAACGTGGATAGCTTGGCGATACGCCAATGCAGATACTACGTGGGTGGAATGCTACAGTATTCAAGCTTTCTGCACAGCATCCAGGACGTCTGCTTCCAAACACTGCAGCAGGTCTGGTGCTTCTCCCTTGTATCTAAACAACTTTTCAGCCCTCTCAGCCCTTGTACGAGAGTTGCTAGCGAAGAGATATCTCGCCAGCTTAGGAAAGCCAGGAAGGTTTGCCATGGAGTCGAGTTGCTCGAGGGTGATTTGAACAGGCTCTGCATCCTCAATGAGTCCATGTCTCTTCAGTATGTCTCCCGTTACCTTGGCAAACTCCAATTGCGAGTGCTCCTGGGTACTAGCAAAGTAATACCCGTTCGCATTGAAGTACCGCTCCGTCTCCTTTCCCGCAACCGCAGCCCCGACAACACGCATATAAAGCCGCATCAAATCATCAATATGCACCCAGCTCCTCGTGTTCGTCCCCTCGGCATGATAAAACACCCTCTTCCCCATGGCCGCCGACAAGGCCTCCTTCACAAACACGGGTACCAGCGCACTCTGCCGCTTTCCAAGCCCTTTGCCGGGACCATAGATATCAGGCGGACACATGACGGCCACGTGAATCTTGTTGCCGCCATACTTTTCCACCGTCTCGTGCAGAATGGTTTCCGTGTTGCGATGCAGCGCCGCAGCAGGCAATTGCTTGATTTCGCCCAACGACGAGATATCACTCCAGACCTTGGGGTTTTGCACTCCTAGATACGTTTCTTCAGCCCAGTCCGACACGATGCCCGTGCCAGACAAATGGATCAGGTACCCCGGCGTGGCACGCCTGAGCAGCCCCGTCATCAGCGCTTGCAGGCTGGGCTCGTGGTCCGAGTCCCCGTTGTGCAAGACTACATCTGCGTTTTCGGCGGCCGACGCGAGTATATCCGTGCTTGTGTAGTCGCCTTGCAGCACGCGGACGTTGGGGTAGCTTGAGGCGAGTGTGGCGGGCGGGGTGCGCCGTAGCAGAATGGTGATGGTGGCGTTGGGGTAGGCGGTTGCGAGCGTGTGCAGGACGGAGCCCCCGATGTAGCCTGTGCCTCCTGTTCTGTGGTATGGTGAGTTGGGAGAGGGGAAGAGGGAGAGGAGGCGTACAGGAAGAAGCTGGGGGACATGGTGGATCAACAGATGGAGATGAAGTATCAATGTGAATAAGACTCTAGAATATGACTGTTTTGCAGCGGCACATCCACAAGCTCTATATATACACAGAAAGTTTTTCAATCTGAGATGATGCTGTTGTAATGGATTCACTCTAACTACTGCTACTACTACTACTACTCCACTTTGATTGGTAATACGGGTTCTTGGCTTATTATGCGATTGCCAGAGGTAAATCGGCTATATGGAGATTATTTTTTGTTGGTATCTGGGGCGGTTTGTAAATGTGTTTGACGCTAAAACACACACACCGTTTTTTGTTTGGCTACTTGCAGTGGTTCTCGATCTGTGTGCTGCATCCTCCATGCCTACTTATCGCGTGCAAAGTCTGGGCATACTTAATACTTTACTAATTTTTTCTCTGGAATACACTACGAGTTGCATAGTATGCTGCTAATTCACCACTATAATCCCGATATTCAATTGGCCTGTAAGGTCTCTGTTCTTCGTAGACGGTGCAGATGTGATATCACGTCGTGCACGTCGCGCCTCGGCAGGTCCGTGCACCAACCAGGGTCCATTAGCGCAGTAACTTTTTCGATGCTCAGAGGTTTGGCTTGCGCTCAAGCCGAACTTTTTCGTCTCGTTCTTCCACCCCCAAACCACCCCCACGATTTGCAGTATGTCGCCCGCCGCAGTCGAGTCGAGCAACAAGAGGAAGCGGTCCCACAAGAGCAAGAAGGGCGCAGAGGCAGTAGCCGCGCCGGCGCATAATGGCGTAGAGAAGGCGCGCAAAAAGGCACGCAAGGCAAAGGAAGCCGAAGATGAGGTAGAGACTCGCGCTGTTGAGGATGCGTCTGCGGAGGTGGCAAGCGACGAGGAGGAAGTCGAAGATGCATCTGAATCCAAGAAAGACGCTGCGCAGGCGACTGCTTCGAAAGACGCCGAGGGCGAAGACGAGGTTGACGACGACGACGACAGCAAGCTTGCGGACCTTCCTTCTGGCAGCAACGCTCTCGACCTCCCCTCTGGCACCACAATGCCAACGCCGAACCCCGTTCGTTTCGATGAGCTCAACCTTTCTGAGCGTACGATGAGCGCCATCAAGGAAATGGGCTTTGAGAAGATGACGGAGATCCAGCAAAAAGCAATTCCGCCGCTTCTTTCGGGTAGAGACGTGCTCGGTGCGGCCAAGACAGGCAGTGGAAAAACACTTGCGTTTCTCATACCCGCCGTTGAGATGCTTTCGCAGCTGCGATTCAAGCCGCGCAACGGCACTGGTGTGATTGTGGTGAGCCCGACGCGAGAATTGGCGCTCCAAATCTTTGGTGTGGCGCGCGAGCTCATGGCAAGCCACAGCCAGACGTTTGGTATTCTGATTGGAGGTGCGAACCGCAGCGCAGAGGCCGAGAAGCTGCGCAAAGGACTGAACCTCATCATTGCCACGCCTGGGCGGCTCCTGGATCACCTGCACAATACCCAGGGCTTTGTGTTCAAGAACTTGCGTTCGTTGATCATTGACGAAGCAGACCGGATATTGGAAGTTGGATTCGAGGATGAAATGGTAAGGTTATGCGCAGATTGTGTGCGTGAGGCTTGTGCTAATTCCCCGACAGAGGTCCATCATCAAGATTTTGCCTACCGAGCGTCAGACCATGTTGTTCTCGGCTACGCAAACGACAAAGGTGGAAGATCTGGCCAGGATATCGCTCAAGCCAGGACCTCTATACATCAACGTGGACCACCGAGCCGAACACAGCACTGTGCAGGGGTTGGAACAGGGCTATGTTTTGTGTGATTCAGACACGCGATTCAGGTTGCTGTTCAGCTTTTTGAAGAAACGGTATGTTGGTGTGGATATTGATGCATTGACTTTTACTAACGCTACACAGTATGTACTAGTCCTTCTGGATGCGGTTTTGTAAATCAAGCGCGTACTAATTGACGTGTGCAGATCAAAAGAAGAAGGTCATTGTCTTCCTGTCTTCGTGCGCATCGGTCGACTTTTACAGCGAACTTCTCAACTACATCGACTTACCGGTGCTTGGTCTGCACGGCAAGCTCAAGCAGCAAACACGCACCAACCGGTTCTTCGAGTTTGTGAATGCGCAGAGCGGTACGCTTATCTGCACCGACGTTGCAGCACGGGGTCTCGACATTCCTGAGGTTGATTGGGTGATCCAGTTCGATGTAGGTATACTTTAGTGGGCAGCTCAACTGCAAGCTAACACTGCAAGCCTCCGGATGATCCGCGCGACTACATTCACCGAGTCGGACGAACAGCGCGAGGAGCCAATGGCAAGGGCAGGAGTCTGATGTTCCTGCTGCCGTCCGAGGTTGGATTCTTGAAGCTGCTGAAAGAAAACCGGGTGCCGCTGGTTGAGGTGAGTGGTGGAGGGAGCGAATAGCGAGGGCTGTATTGACATTTGGTGCAGTTTGAGCTTCCCAGCAACAAGATTCTGAACATCCAGAGCCAGCTTGAGGCTTTGATGTAAGTGTTGGCAAGGTGGCCAAGCGGGCATGCAGGCGAAGCTAATTGTGGAGCAGATCGAAGAATTACTACCTCAACAAGAGCGCTAAGGACGGGTACCGGTCGTACCTCCAGTCGTATGCGAGTCACAGCTTACGTTCGGTGTTTGATGTGCATAAGCTAGACCTTGTCAAAGTGTAAGATGCGGTGCATATTGAAGATTGTAGTCGGGCCGGGGGCTAACGACGTCATTAGGGCCAAGAGCTTTGGGTTTTCGACGGCACCGCGCATCGACATCAGCCTTGGGGCGAGCCTGAGCCGCGACAAGAAGGTCGAGGGGCGGCGAGCGTACGGCAGCCAGCCGCAGCAGGCGCGGCGGCCGATGAAGCACGGAAAGAGGTTTTAGAGGGGGCGGCTAGGGAGGAGTGGCGGGCAGAGGGTATGGACGGGCGTTTGGCGTACCAAAATATGTACTAGGCCCTGCGGGCACTGGCTAGGGAATGATGATTGCACGTGCCACTTTGCAGCGCGACTCGTCGAGCATAGATGATTCCTTGGAGTGCGTGGTTTGTTGAGAGGGCGGTTGGACGGGGTCCATGTGACGGGGGACGGGTAGGCGTGAGCTTGTCTGGCGTGTATAGATACGTACGTGTGGACAGGGTCGAGGCTGGGGTTGGGCCTCTTCACGGGGACCAGCTTTGGCATGCAGGGGCACGATGGGCAGCATCACACACACACTCTCTCTCTCTCTCTCACACACACACACACACACACACACATGACGGCACAGCAGCGGCAGCGGCAGCCAGTGAGGTTGGGCGCGTGGGCAGGCTGTGACGAGCGCAAACTGCCAGTTCACCGTGGCTGCAGGCGTCGGGGGCAAGATTGGAGTGGGCTCGGGTGTGCGTCGACTGTAGAGTAGAGTAGGCGGTGGGCTAATACGCCAGCCAGCCCTACGAGCAAAAGTGAAAGGGCCATGGGCGATGCGCTGGCAAAGGCGCGCCAGGGTGCGCGCCAATCACCGCCCGCGCTTCTCCCAGACGGATGCGGCCGCCCGACCGGCCGCTTCGGCACAATCACCCCTGGTAACCACACGCCCACACACGCCCCGAAACATGACGACTTGGGGTCCTCTTTTGGCGGTGTGCGAGCAGGGCAGGGCAGCGCACATGGAGCTTCGAGGATAGGACGGAGCATGGGGGGGGGTTGGACGGCCGGTGGGCAAGGGGGGCGAGGGGGAGGGGGGGTCACCACCACGATGGACGACGACGACGACACACAACGCTGGGGCGCAGACAACGAGAGAGAGCGAGAGAGCGAGAGAGCGAGAGAGCGAGAGAGAGAGAGTGTGTGTGAGAAAAGTGTCAGCATCAGCGTCGAGTAAGAATAGAAAGTGGGTGCTGGTGCCATGGCTTCGTTTTGCCGGGTTGCGACCAGCCATCTTTTTTGGCTGCTGCCAATTGGCGGCCAGAAGAGCGACCGTCTCAGGCACGCGCAGAGGGCGGTGGTGGCTGGGGTTGCAAGCAATTGCAACAGAAAAAGTCGCCGTGCATCCATCCATCCATCCCACGGCGACATGGGGCGACGCGGGCTGTGTGGCGTCGCTCTCCGTGTGCGCGCGTGAGAGAGAGTGTGTGAGCGTGTGTGTGAGTGTGAGCGTGGTGTGTGTGTGTGTGAAGTGGGTGTATGTGTCCGTCTATCATTTCTGTGTTTTACATAGTTAGCAACCTGGCGCCCCTCCACGACTACCTGTCGTTGTCGCCGTCGTCTGGACCACTGCTACTATCACTACAACAACCACTACTACCACTACCACGCCCACAACTATCGTCAGGACAACGAATTGGCAGTACTGCAATCCACACAGCCCTCGCTGCCCGCCCGCCCGCCCCCAATCCCCCGACCGGCCAGGGCTAGCGTGCGACCGGGATTTGGGTGCTAGAGTACAGTTAGTAGGCCTTGCCCTGGGCCCTCTCTTCTCTCTCTCCACCACAGCTCTGGGGGACTCTGCTCCTCCGCCCAGCAGCACCAGAGCCATTGTCAGCCGCACGACGCTCGCCGTCTGCGCCCCGTTCGCGGCGTCGGTATGTCTCCAGCAAAGTCGTGGGGAGCGCTCGTCGCCTTGCCTGGCCTCGCCTCGCCTCTGTCGCTGCCCAGCTGCTAACACGTGCGGCCCAGCCTTCGCTACGACACGCCCGCCGCTCAGCTCGCCATTGTCGCAGAGCGTCGCACGCCACACTGCCCCAACTCCTACACACGCTCGACTCCCACACGCCTCGCCGCGCCCGCCGCCCCCTCTTAACCACGCCCACGCCCACGCCCCGTCGCTCGCTCGCGTGGTGCGCTCCCGTCCCTCGCCCCCCCCCCCCCCACCGGTAGAGAGAGAGAGCAGAGCACCCAGCGCCCAGCGCCCAGCACCCAGCACCCCCCCCCCTCCTCCGGGGTTGCACACCGCACTTACTTTTTTCTCTCCCACGAATTCATGAGAAAAACGGTGCCGGGCATGTCTTCGCTCACCCACCCCGCCTTCTAGGAATCTTCAGATTCTACGATGGGTTTTGACACACACCGACCTCCTCTCCCGGCTCCAACTGACTCCTCGTTTCTCGATTCCGCAGACGAATCCATCCACGCAGACGACGTCGACACAAACGTCTCGACCAACGTCTCTAATCGCACCGACAGAACTTCGTACTACATCCCCGACGACGGTTCCCCCATCACCATCAACACCACCACCCCAACCAAGCCCCAAGGCGGCGGCTCCCTCCACAAAAAGTATCCCTCGCAGACATCGCTGCTGATTGAGTACTTTGAAGCAGGCCAGTCTGAAGGAGACGACGCCCAGTCGCGTCCCGGCGTACGCGTGCGAGTGACGCCCTCGTCGCGCAAATCCACCACCAAGAGCACCGCAAAGAGCTCCGCGAACAGTCACGTTCACATCGCCCAAGCCACCCGAAACCATCGTAAGCCCTCCTACACCCGGCGCATCTCGCTCGGAAAAAAGTCCCGTGACGAGCTTATCGATATCCGCAGCGTTGATTACTCCGACATCTCGTCCCTCCCCGCCGTCGACATTGAGATATCGCCCTACCCGAGCGACCAAGACAGCGACGGCGGACGCTTCATTTCCATTCCCTCCGACATCTCGTCTATGCCTACCGACAGCATGACGGGCGCCACCGAGATTATCCCTCCAGCCCGGCGAAGGAGCCGCAGCTCGGAAAGGGACGCTGTGACCGACTCGCTTGTTTCCGAGGCCATCAAGGACACCCTCAAGGCGCCCCGCGAGCAGCGAAGCCGGAGTCTGAGCAAAGATCGCATCACCCAGCGCGTAATGGAGAAGCTGCAGCAGCAGGCCCTAGAAGGCAACTTGCCAAAGTCGTCAAGAGAACGCTCCTCCAAGTCAAGAGAAGCTTCGAGGCGGCGAGACGATGACCTTTCCTCGCCGCGCAAGTCGCATCGAAGGAGAAGCAAAGACATTGAGCGCACGAGCGGCACCGAGTCTAGTGTGCTGTCGTCTAACCTTGACCGCCGCTCGGCCGTTTCGGGCACCTCTTCCATCAACAACCCCAAACTACTGGCGACGGTTGAGGATGCCATTAAGCGCCTGATTCTTCCTGAATTGAATGCACTCAAGGAGGAGAACCGCACGTCGCGGAACATGGACAAGTTTGACCGCTCCACCCGTGACAGCGCAACCTTGTACGAGCCCATGGAGTCTACTACCAGCTCCCGGGACCCGTCTAAGCGAAGAGTCTCTAAATCATCCAGTGCGCCCAAGCTGCACAGCAACAAGCCCAAGGTTGTTCTCAACAGAGACGGCGATGATCCGGGCACAACGCTCACCGGCGCATCCAGCCGTAAGAGCGACCGGCGATCTAGCCGAAGCTCTATTTCTAGCTTCGCAGAATCCGCCGTTAGAGAGGAGAAATCTCACAGGAGAAAAAGCAGCCACAAAGAGGGCATGTCGCAGCGGGATATGGCGCTGGCGGGGCTTGCTGGTGCGGGACTTACGGCGGCTGCTTTGAAGCATCACACATCTCGTGAGGAGAAGGAAGAAGAGCGCAAGCACAGGAAGCATCGGTCCTCGCGCAGCAGCAGAAGTCGCTCTGAAAGCGTGTCTGAGAGCATGCACGAAGAGCCAATGCCCAAGGAACTTGTTCCGCCGCTGCCATTCAACCAGAGTGAACTGCTAGGAGGATCTGAGCTCACGCGAGACTCGATTCTTTCAGCCGACACAGAGACAAAAGAGAGACCGCAATCAAGGTCGTCTGCTAGCACCGGCGTCACGGGCACAGGCGCAGACACTCCTCTTCAGCAAGTTCCTCGCTATATTTCTCCAGCGCCCCTCACGCCCAAGCGCACTCCCAATGCGTTCCAGCAGACGATTGGTTCTGCCCAGAGCAATCACTCTGCTGGTGACGCGCGGACGTCAACACCCAAGAGCGAACGCAGCTTCACTTCTCGATCCAAAGGAGCCAGTGATGCCGCGGCTGCTGCCAAAGCCCGTGCGATTGAGCAGTCTGAGCCCCAAGCGTCGCAGTACGAAATTGAGAGCGAGACCCAATCCAGACGCGGCGTTAGTCCAATCCAAAGCGAGGCCAGTTACCGTGGAGATGCTCAGAACACTGGCTCTCCTCGTCGATTCAACTCTATTCGTAGCGGTCCGTCGGTGTCTTCGCTCGGCGACCATTTCGAACGACGGCAGTCTGGCCTCTCTATCGCATCGTTGGACTCGACAGCAAGCACCAAAGCTGCGCGAACTCGTAAGCGGCCACAGGGCGTTACGCTCGAAAGCAAGAGATCTGTACTGAATGAGCCGAGTATGCCGGATGAAGCGAAGGAGTTCTTCTCACGCAACCACCAAAAGAATGAGCAGTATCGACGTGAACTGGAGGATGACCCCCTGACACCACCACCGGTGAACTACAACCGGTTGACCATGTACACGGACGACAGTGTTGAAGGGCCCTACCTTGACCGGGACCGGGATCCCAAGGTGAATCAGGACATTCGCAAGGTTGGCTCAATTCCCGAGTATATCCACACACCGCTCGCCGTGGAATCTGCCGTGGCTTCGCTGCACGATCAAACTGAAATCAGTTTCCGTTCATCCATGGTATCAAGCCCGCTGAAGAAGAGCGCCCTGTCCCAAGTCAGCAATTACCCCGGCACTGTGCAGACCGAGGAAGTCCCTGCTGGCCAGAAATGGGCCGCGATTCGCGACAAGGCTGAAGCCCTGTCACAGGAGCGCAAAGTCGAAAACTCTCCGAAACAGAGCATTCCTCGTGAAGATTCTCCCAGGCAGAGCATTGCCGAATCCGAGGATGCAGAATCGATTGACGAAGCACCGAGGATGCATCACAGCGCGTTCCCAGTCGGCCAAGACGATATGCCTGAGATTGGATACGGCATGGATGATGACTCTGATGTGACGACCAACCCCTCAATCATCCAAGGACCTATAGGAGCAGCTGACAAGTATCGTGACCGCACCGATAAGTTACTTGGGCTGCAAGATGAGCGAGAGCGTACGCCCACCTCGTTCTCCAAGGGTCATCTTCAGAGACAGGATCAGTCGAGCCCAGCGTCGTTTGAAGATGAACGCCAGCCCACCGTAGAAGATGACTATGATCAGCCCTATCCAGGTGAGACACAATACGAGCAGGCAGGCTATGCGCAGAGTACTCACACTCCTTTGTCAGGCCAGACCGGCTGGAAAGACGAGGGTTACCAGTCGGCTAACCAACGTGAAGGCTACACGCCTCAAAACCGCAATCACTCCAAGGTTTACGAAGATGATGATTACGGCGATGAGTTTAGTGGCATGGACCTTGGAGACCCAGACATGTTCGCTGGCGGAAGCAAGCATGACCGGCACGTCAGTGGCAACTCTCACGGCATGAGCTCACCGCTCTACGATGCGGCTACTGGCAAGGGCATCGACCACATCCAGTCCAAAGACATTGTGGCGCTCATGGATCACCTGACCGTTCGCGATGCCCAGCGCAATGCCCGGGATACTGAAATTCTCGTGACGCTTGTGCGCAGCGCGGCCGAGATGCGCACCCAGTTGGACGATCTCAAGCAGTTCATCAAGGTCCAAGACAACATGATTATGAACACAACCGACAAGCGCGTCAATCTCGCCGAGCAGAGAATCCTGGGCGGACCTCGTCCTCAGCCACTTACGCCGCCTCGCGTCAACCGACACCAGACCGAGGAGGAAATTGAGACCAAGAAGAAGAGTGTCTTTAGGCGTGCTCTCAAGGGCCTCAGCGCTGGCAAGGGCGACGGCGACATCAAGCACATTGAGGCGATGCTGGTTCAATTGCTTGGTGAAGTCGAGGGCCTGAAGCAGGTGAACCAGCTCTCCCTAGATCAGCAAAACCACGCCCGGACAAATAGCATCAACTCGTACGAGAACCTGCGGGGCAGTGGTGATGCAGGCTACGAGCCTGAAGGTCGCGCCAATACTGCATCCTCGCCAGACCAGTCGGGCTATTTCTCCAATCCTTCTTCGTCACGGCGCATCCAAGATCTGCACTCTGGTTACGACGTTGCACCAACGAACCGCATCAGCACGGTGCGAGAGGAGAGCGATGAGGAGTTTGAGGAACGAAGCCAGCGAAGCCAGCGCTTCGAGAACACGGAGCGAATGACTACGCCTACTCAAGAGGCTTTCCAGGAGAAGCGCGCGTCTCTGGGAACCCCGCCACAGGCCTCGAGGGCAGCACGAGACTCGCCGAGCCAGGAGAACACACCGAAGCGCAAGCACAAGTCCAACTCTTCATCCATCTTTGGCATTCCCAAGATTTCGCGATGGTCAAAGACGACGGCGTCTACCAACCCAGAGAGCGTGCCCCGCAACAGCGGATCTGGAGACAAGCGACCTTACTCGGTTCATTCGACTCACTCCAGGTCGTCGTCTCAAGATGACTACTATGACGAGGACGGACCGTACAACCAGCATGGCGACGACAGGCTTCGCTCCAGCGCATCTCTCGCCAGGGAAGAGCAGGGTTCTATTCGCTCCCCCTCGCCACTCATCCCAGAGGAGCACGCATACGAGATGGAAGATCCCAAGTACCAGGCCCATCGCAACTCGCTGAACCTGCAGCACCCCCAGCCACGGCCTGGTCCTACTGGCCGTCACCAGAACAACCTGGAGACGCAGGCGCAAATCTTCCAGCCAATGCGCTCGAGCATCGCATCTCCCGACTTTGACCAGTGGGGCAGCATGCCATCCCTTGCTCGCAACCGCCTCTCTGGCGTCTCGGCTCCTCATACCAACAACCTTTCCCCCATCTCATCTGACAGCAGCTACGCGTCAGAGCACCAGGCTGGCCCACCACGCCCACCCAAGATCCCAGAGGATGGGCCGCTCATGCCTCCACAGCAAACGCTTGCGGGTTACGGCCAGACGAGGCAAATGTACAGCTCTCCAAACGAGTTTGGCAGTCAAGGTGCCTTGACGCCGCTTGCACCCATTGCAGAGGTGCGTTATTCGCTGGAGACTGATAGGGGCCATCGCGTAAGTTGAGCTCGTGCATCTCGCACGACATGGATGCTAACTTACGCAAAGATCACGCCCACCGCCTCGCCGCGCCCGAGCACTCAGAGCCTCCGTAGCAGCAGTGATATGAGCACCCCACAGCGAAAGATTACTGGTCCCAGGGCCATGGGCAGCAGGAGCCCACTGCCAAGCAGCCCCCTGCAGCATTCGGATACCGTCATCCGGAGGAAGCCTATTGATGGTATGTTTCATTGCTCATTGAATAACCACATAACACTGACAATGGTGATAGCGGACGAAGAGTCTCTGGAGAGCTACCGCAGCAGTCTCGACTCGGAGATTTTCTAGGCGAATAATCTGAACCCCGGCATCTTACTAAACAGCAGCAGATGCGCCGCTGTTAAATGCTGGATGAAAAAAAATGTCAAGAATGGAAACGCACACTTTTTATGTTGCCCACGTGCGGGAACGAAGGCACGAAAACAGTCCATGCTTCGGCATGTGACTTTTGCTCAAGAAGACGGGAAGTAATGGAATGGGGGAGGAAGAACGAAGGTGGGGGGGATGCAAATCCCACACAAAAAATGCTTTGCTTGGTTATGTGGCCGTTCGTTCCTTCGTTCATTTTAACATAATTTCGCATGATATCAAGTTCAGCGAGCATGGCGTCGACAGCAAGCGCGCGATGGCAAGAGGGGTGAGAAAGGGGGGGGGGATGTTTTCTTTTTGAACTCTTCCAAGCACGACGACGACTTAACTTACGCAAATGAGGTTTCTTTTTTCTCGAGTTCAAAACTCATGATTGAGGGGGCATGACCGATGGCTTCATGACGTAACGAGAGATTATGCGGAGTTTTAAACTTCTTCTTCTTATTTTTTTCTTCCAAGGGGACGAGTGTGTCAGTTGTGTGTATAGCTATAGCGGGTTTAAACTTCAATGCATAATATTACGCCCGCATGTTGTGTGTTTTCCCGTGATGATGGCGATGGTGTCAGTGTGATGGACGTAGGTGTAGGTGTGGGATCAATACAGGTCTAGAGGTGGGGATTGATAGGGGCTCGCGGTGTGTACGTACACCTTGGTAATTCAACGTCAATGAATGAATGAATGTCATCACCATGCCGCTAGCGAGCCCATGTTGGCATGCCAATGCTAGCTTGCCTTTGCTACTAGCTATGCCACTACCCCTCGCTGACTACACCTAGCACACGTCCTTTCCGCCCTATTAGGTCTATGTGTATGTGTATGTGTTTGCGGAATAGATGGTCATCAGTGTGCTGGAGACGGACACGCGCATGATGTCAGAGCGAGCTCATAACAGTGGAGTTGGATTGACTTGCTACTCAGCTTCCACCACTGACATGGCGACACAGACACAGACACAGACACAGACACAGATGCGCAAACACAAACGCCCTTTTTGCGTCATCATTGCATTTCATTTCGAGGCCTTGATTGCTAACAATGTGCGCAAGTTATGTGTCTGTATATATATATAAGACGTACAGATTGCTCATAGTTTTTTGTTTTGTTTTTTGCATCTACTGTACAAAGCTACCAAGTGATCCTTCTTCATCTTTTTCTTTTTTGAAAATAAGAATTTGAGAGATTGGAAGATATTGATAGGGTACTTGAGACAACAAACTGGAAGAACTGGAAATACGGAAGAAAGGCAACAGATAAAAGGAAAAAACAAAATGTCCGAAGCATACAAAAACACGAATATCAATGAGCTAGCTAAAAAGGCTGAGCAAGACGTTAATAGTACAAGTGCGGTACATGGTCATGAAAAGGGCGATTCGAGTACGTTATCTCTTCTTTCTCCTCTACATCCCCCTCCCTTCCTTCATGCACCCACCACCCCTAACCTAACCTAACCCAACTCCAGCCATCGAATCCGGAATCGACACCGCCAACACGGAACTGCGCTTCCCCGGCGCAACCACAACCTACGGGTCTGCAGCCAGCGGCGCCGGCAACAACCGCGAGATACCGCCTAGCGAGGGCGGCACCATCAAGCGGGATGGGCAGACGACCAAAGCAGCGGATTTTGCAAACGGAGGCGTTGGCGCGCCCGAGCAACGTGATATCACGTTTGCGAAGACGCATGGGGGGGATGATAGGGTTAGGGAGAATATAAGGAATTAGGGATTTATCGGGTTTTTTTGTGGGGTTCAGCTGGGATATGTGGTTGTTTTTCGTTTTGTACTGTACTGGACTCGTTATTGTTGTTGTTGTTGTGGTGGTGGTGGTGGTGGTGGAAAAAACGGGAGGATGTGAGGAAGAGAAAGAGCAGAAAGAAAAGAAAGGAAGTCGCAAACTTTGGGTTTATTCAATCATACATGCGTTCTTGCACCCTGATCTCCGCCTGAGAACACTTTGCATACCAGATAACTAACCCAGCCAACCAACACACCTGTCAATTGTATCTTAATTTTTTTTCTTCTTCTTCTTTCTCACAACATCTCCTTGTACAGTTGCGTTCTCATGTCCATGAAAACGGTTCCAGCCAGGCACCTCTTCATCCAATACACAAATACAGCATGATATTTTTTTGTTCTTATTACGGCTCTACACAAGGAAAATGGACCCAAGAAACATGAAGGAAAAAAAATGAAACGAGGAGAAAAGGACATAGGAGAGATACAAAGGTCTTGCGGAAAGAAACCGCTAAACGTATTTAACCCGTGGCTATGCTTCCCGCCGACTCGCTCTCAGGCACCGATGGTATCCTGGTGCCGTGATCGTGTTTGCTGGACGCGGCGGAAGAAGAGCCTGGATCGAGCGGAGCGGACATGGAATTTTTATGGTGTTTGCGCATGTGTTTCAGGCGAGCATCCTGGCGATAGAAGACGCGATCGCACGCATTGCAAGGATACGTTTTGGTGGTGCCCTGGTGTTTGAGCCGTTGATGCCTCGCCAGATTTCCCTTGCTGTATTTACCCCTGAAGACAAGGGCACACTGACTACAAGTGATGTACTCGTGAGTCTCGGAATCGCTTTTATGACTGGTCGAAGAGTGGAGATTCGAGTATGTGTTTGGGGCATCGGGCATGCGAATCAAAGGTACGGGCCCTTGAGAGCCGCGTGCCAGAGAACTGCCCCCTGTTCGTTCCGATTGTTCTGCCGGCTCCGTGTGGCGGGTCCAAGGCGAAGTGCTTGCGTCGCTGCAGGAAGATGACAAGCTCCAAAGCCCCACGTGGATCAAGTCTTCGTCGTAATCCGGTGTCGAGCCATAAGGGAACTCTTGCCATCTTTCAGATTCAGCATCATCCAGTCGTGTCTCTCTGCGGTGTTCGAATTTCATACCATGTTCGCCGTATGAAGAACTACATTCTCCAATTGAATTGTGTATGAAAGAAGGTGCCGTGTCCAGACTCCGGGGAGACGTTGCCTCTGAGCTTTCGCCGAATAAGCTGACCGAAGTTACTTGGCTCGTTGCAATATGCTGAACAACCCCTCTGGCTGCGCCAAAGGCTCTTGACGAAGGAACTATATGGGGAGGCCTACTAGTTGTTGTCGATGTTGGTCTGGAACCTCGGGTTCCAATGTCATTTGGAGGTTCGATTAGCACTGATTTGGTATTGCCGCGAATGCCAGTTTGGCCTCGCGACACCAACGATAGACGATTGGGGTTACTCAATGGGCGGCGATTTTGGCCTACCACACTGAACAAGGACGGCGCAGTCTACTAACAATATCAATCAGATGGGAATTTGAGTGGATGCAGCAGAAACTTACGTGCGGTGGCTCTTGGCCTACTTCCTCGTCAGAATCTGACTCAAAAATGGGCTGATCGAGCGTGGGATAAGGCGTGGCGTCGTCTTGGCTGCAAAATGCAGACTGAGGGGTAAAAGCATCGACCGCGTCGTGCGATGTCGATGGAGATGCAAGACTGGTATTGGGCCCTGGTAGAATAGTATCATCATATTGCCCTGGGATAACTATGTTAAACTTGTCTCCGTACATGTTAGGGAAGAGAGACGTACGCATTTGAGCATGTTGAGAAGCCATCGTCGCCTCCACTTGCTGGTACAACAATTCCCACTGCACTTGCGCATTGGCCCCCCTGCGCTGGGGCTGGCGGTTATTGCAAAGCTCTCCTCGATAACCGTGCTGAGACTCAAACACGTCCTTGTCGATGAAATCATTGTTGCAGGTAGGGCAAAGTTCCAAAAACGCTAACTGGCGCGTATAACCGCGGCCTGCTCGAGCTGTCAAGTGGCGCCGCAAGTCGGCCATGTTAGTACTCTTTACGTTGTTACACGTACGTGGCCAGCCATTTCGAGCTTCTGCAACGAATACCGGACAGTCAAATTTGCGACTGCTAGATCTTGGGCCAAAGACCATAGCGAAGATGGCCGCGGATGTCGCTGCGTTGAAAGAGTTGGGATGTAGACAGTCAAACCACCACAATTCTTCACATATGCCTGGCCATATAATCTCCATGCACCACAATTCAATCCCGATGCCCGTGACTAAGCATAAAAGCGCCTGGTTGAAATGCTGCAGCTGTTGCTCAGTACAGAACAACGAGCATGTCGATTTATGGCAATGAATGTGGATGAAGAGGTAGGCACTTACGTTCGAAGGACGGAACAAGTTGATCGTTTGTGGTGGCTGCACTTCAGAGAGGATATCGTAGTTGGTTTCTTCAATGTCACTCTGGAGGACTCTACCGCTGTCCGTCGAGGAACTAGATCCATGAAAAGGAGGACCTTGCTGTAGTGGGGGGACCATTGTACCGTTAGCTTCGGAAATATAAAGAAGGACCCTTTGGCAGACAGAAGGACCTTTTCTTCGGGGGCATCCCAGCTCTTTATTTCGCTCTAAGTCTGTCTTGATTGGTGCATGGGTTGCTTGGCTGAGGACTGGCTTGCATGAATGCATGGTTGCCGACATGCACAGTTGCGGACTTGCGGACTTGCGCAGATGCCTTGTTGCCTTAAAATGGCGTCGTGTAAGTGGTCAAGAGGTGTGCAAGACGCACAGCTGGCTCGCAGACAAAATACGCAAACGTACTACTGTTCATGTAAGACGGGGTCGATAAGCATGCAAATGTGCAAGCTGCAACATCAGCAAATAGCAGAGTGGAAGCGAAGATGACCAAATGCCCACTTGCTGGGTTGTGCCTTTGCACAAGAATCGAAGCAAGCCGATAGGATGCAAAAATCTATCATGTTTGAGCATGAAAGTCAGGCCATTACAGTGGTAATGGTATATGGCCAGAGGTGGGGTTACGCATGCCACTCGACAGCCGCGACATAACTAAAAGGGGTATCAACGCGATTTAGACCAGAAATTTTAAAAGTGTTGCGCCATTCACGCACAGCTGCAAACTTATGCCCACACACCAAGTGTCCAGCTAGCCCTCTCCCCGCCTTTGTTGGATAGCCCTGGGCCCATGCTCTGTCTCTGGGGAATGACGGACACTTCCTTGTCGCGAGATGCGCCCTGAAGGCCATCTTTGAGGTATCTTTCGCGTTCCACCTCGACAATACCCTTGATGCGTTGCTGAGTAACAAGGCTTGCGCCTACCCATGGACCCAATGTCTCGACACATCTGAGAATGCCACCTACCAAGCTTGCACGCGGCGGACCGTTTCGGAAAGCCATCTGAGTCAATTTGGCATCTATGGCATCTTCTTCAGGTGGTTGGAACGCGGCTGGCACTATTGGAGTATGACCATCTAGATGGAGCGAAGATGCCACCGTATCCTGGCCCTCTTGTCGACGCGCCTCTGTGTTCTCCCGTTGGCTGCGTAGCTTCTCTTCTCGGCGTGCGCTTGCTTTGCCATAGCTCTTGACGGGATCCCAGCCCTTCGTCTGCACCAATGCATCCAGCTCTTTCATTATGCGCGTCTTGAGACCAGGCATATTCGACACGCCGCCTGTGATAACGATACGTGACATGCATAGCCGACGAACGTCGACTGGCAGGTGTACAAGGGTGCGGTATATGAGTTGGTGCAGCGGGAGGTCTTCATCGTCGAATTCGCTTATTGATAGTTCTGGCGCAAAGAGGGCAGCGTCTGTGGGTTTGGCGAGGGATGCAAAAGGAATTGTCAAGTCGGTAGGAGGCATGTGTTTTGGAAAGGGAATAGTAACAGTGGGTGGTGGTGACTCGACGGCGTCTTCGAATTCTTCGAGTACGGGAGCTTCTCGTGCAGGGAAGTAGAGAGTTTTTCGATTTGATCTAGCAATGGGCTTGCACCATGCGACGCGTGTGAGGACCTCTTCGACCTCCTCGAACGATATGTCTGCCTTTGGTGCATTGGGCTCAGCATTGTCCAGCTCAGTGTTCAGCAGCTTGGCCATCTCTTCGCTGAGCATCTTGCCTGCCCGCACACTGCGCCTCTCAGCCACTTCGCGATACTCATATACTGCCGTGACTACTGTCTCAGCCCAGCCTACATCTACAATCAGAGCTGAGCGCAGTCCAGCTGCCACAGCCGAGAGTACAGGAGTCGACATGAGGGATACGCTCGGGGCCTGGAAGTTGGTGAACAGCACATCCATGACGGTGGACATCAAGGCGTGCGGCAGGCGAGGCGGCATAGCCAGCAGAACCCGGCGGGGCTTGGTGTCGAGCAGAAAATACTTGGTGTATGCCTCGCGCATGGCCCTCTCGAACTTGTCTTCCACGAGCCCGAGGTCGACGTTGCTCAGGTCCAGGCGGTACAGCTCATGCTCTTGCCCCCACTCCTCGCCTATCTTGCGCTTGGGTCTCTTCTGCGAGTATTCGGGGTCCCACTGCCTGTAGTCGCCCACCCTGCGCTGGTCGTCGGGTCCGAAGGCGAGGGTGCATCGTGGGGCACTCTCGCCTGGAAAGCCTCCACGCACAAAGCGCGAGCCGACCTCAATGACGACATACTCGTCTTCGGAGCGGAAGGAGCCGCCGGGCGAGCCAAAGGTAGACGAGATGGAGCGGAGGAGCGGCGTTCGTGGCGACTCTCCCAGGTCGGCGAGGCGCGGGGCGGTGCCTCGTGTGCTGCGGTTGAGCGAGCTCGAGGCCTTGCGTTCTCCGCCAGACGACATGGCGGATGCGGTGGGCAGAACTCTGGTTATCGAAGCATAGCGAGAGGAAGCGAGAGTGAGTGCGAGCACAGCGGGATGTGCAATGGATGGTGACAGCAGCATGTGCTCCACCGTCCCCTCTGCACCAGCCAGAGCTGAGCTAGCGCGTTCTGGGCGTAGCGCTGGGCTGGTGGCCCGAGCTCAGGAAAAAGTTCGAGCTGGGATTCTGCACGTCCAGAGCTTGCGACAAACCCCATCGCGACTTCGCACACTTTGTCGAAATCCACCACCCAGGGCAGTTGCGCTCCGCGAATCGCGAATCCCACCTGGACCCTTTTCTCGACCGAGCTCTCGCACAATGGGTCTTTTCATCCTCTCGGAAACCGCGGCGGGTTACGTCCTTCTCAAGTCCAAGGACAAGAAGCTCTTGGGCGGAGACACAAAGGATTCCTCGAGCGTCGTCGAGCAGCTCAAGCTCAAGAAATTCGCCAAATTTGGCAGCGCCGTCGATGCGCTGGAGCAGGCCGCGGCTCTGCACGATGGCAAGGTCACGCCCATGCTGTCGTCGCTGCTCAACGAACTGAAGGACGAGACCAAGGCTACTTGTACGCTGCTCTGCAAGCCCAATGTGCGATTTGTGTAGCTGACATCTGCTCAAGTGGCTGTTGCCGACCCCAAGCTCTCCAATTCCATTGCCCAGCTTCCGGGCCTTTCCCTCAAGACGGTCTCAGACTCGTCCACACAGGACGTATTCCGTGCCGTCCGCGAGCACTTGACATCGCTTCTGCCCGACCTCCTCCCCTCTGAGGAAGCCGCGACTCGATTGGGTCTGGCCCACTCTTTGTCGCGACACAAGCTGCGCTTCTCTCCCGACAAGGTTGACACCATGATTATTCAGAGCATTGCTTCTCTCGACGTGCTGGACAAGCAGCTCAACACCTACGCCATGCGAGTCAAGGAGTGGTACGGCTGGCATTTCCCAGAACTGGCCAAGATTCTCAACGACAACCTCGCGTACTGTAAGTCCCCAATTGCCTCGGTGCGGACACTTGCTAATGTTTGCAGCTCGTGTCGTTTTGAAGATGGGCTTCCGAACCAACGCTCGCCAAAGCGACCTCTCGGAGATTCTGCCAGAAGAGATTGAGGTAAGATGTTCCCGTGCCGCGATTTTGCCGAATTTCTGCTAACTTTGATTTCCAGGCGGCTGTGAAGGCGGCTGCAGAAATCTCCATGGGTACTGAAATCACGGAGGAAGACTTGGAAACCACCTCTGCTCTTGCCGAGCAGGTTGTGGACTTGACTGAGCACCGCCAAAACCTTGGCAACTACCTGTCGAACCGCATGCAGGCTCTTGCTCCTAACCTGACTGCTCTTGTCGGCGAGCTTGTTGGTGCGCGCCTGATTGCCCACGCTGGATCTCTGATGAACCTCGCCAAGTCGCCTGGTTCCACCATTCAAATTCTCGGTGCTGAGAAGGCCCTCTTCCGTGCCCTCAAGACCAAGCACGACACACCCAAATACGGTGTAAGTACCTAAACCTGTCGACCGCACCGTGCTCGTGCTGACCGCATTAGCTCATCTACCATGCATCTCTTATCGGCCAGGCTACTGGAAAGAACAAGGGAAAGATTGCTCGTATGCTCGCCGCAAAGTCCGCTTTGGGTCTGCGTGTCGACGCCCTCAGCACCTGGGGTGTTTCGTCAGAAGACACATCCAAGGAACCTACCGAAGAAGAGAAGTCCCAGGTTGGTCGCGATGCTCGCCTGACGATCGAGAGGAGACTTCGCGCACTCGAGGGCAAGCCACTGAAGAGCCTGGCCAATGCCAACCAGACTGCGCTTGGTGGACAAAAGAAGTGGGAAGTCAAGGAGGCGCGAAAGTACAACCCAGACGCCGATGGTCTTACTGGCGACGAGCCTGCTGCCGATGCGCCCAAGTCAAGCAAGGCAAACGGCACACCCAAGAAGCTGGTACAAGAAGTCGACAGCGACGGAGACGAGAGCATGGCCGACGCCGACGCCGCTTCAGGGTCAGACTCGGAGCCAGAAGAGAAGAAGAGCGGAAAGGGAGACAAGGCATCCAAGAAGGCCGAAAAGGAAGCCAAGAAGGCACGGAAAGCGGAGCGTGCCGCAAAACGCGAGGCCAAGGCTGCAAAGAAGGCTGCGAAGGAGGCCAAGAAGGCGGAGAAAGAAAGCAAGGACAGCAAGAAGCGGAAAGCCGACGATGGCGAAGACAAAGCGGAGAAGAAGAAAAAGAAGAAGAGCAAGGACTAGATGCGCGCGCCCTTGATGACGTAGAGGGGCGGCGATTGTGTGTATCTGTAGCCATTTGCGACCACACAAAACGGACTTTAGGGCGTTTGTACTGGGTTTGAGCTTGTCATGTTCTGGGCGAGTGGCGCATTATGGGTGTGTGGGCATTTTTATCGTGTAGTTTTACCTTTGAAAAGGTCCTTTTTCACGTTGCATGATGGGGATGCGGTGGATGGATACCCGCCAGTTGGTATTATACAATTACATGTTCAAAAGTGCATGCTCTGGTTGGTGCTGGTGTTTTTTTTTCTTTTCCGCGCACCTGGAAGAACCTCGGTCCCGTGACTTTGATTGTCTTGGTATCTGAGCGAGCAGCAGCCAAAAGAGAAAAGAACAACTATACCTTACTTTGGGGGGGAAAACTAACTAGGCAATAATCATCATGCATGTAAGTCGCCCCATGTCGAAGCTCAACCATTTCATTTCCATTTCCATCGCCAACGAAGTCTTACCATTTATCGTGTCCTCTCTGATCAATCCCTCCCCCGCCAGATCAAGACGCCCCAGTCGGCGCTCCTCACCAACCACGAGGTCCTCCTGCACCTCCTCACCGAGGAAGCAGAATACACCGGTACTGATGGCACGGACCGCAAGCGCAAGAAGCCATCTGGTCTCACCCACATGCTGCGCGATGGCCTCGCGTACCTGCAAACACCCGACTACATGACGACTGCTCTCGTGGACGCGCATCCAAATCGGCCCATGACGCTGTACAAGGGTCCCAACAGCTTGTTCCGAGCGCTCGCCCCAAAGTACCGTTTGAACAAGGCCGAGTATCTGCAGATATACAATCTGAGACCAACGACGCAGGTGATGTTGGAGTTGGTTGTCGAAGAAGTACGTTATTATTTTCCTTTCTTTCCCCTTACCTCGCTTCACGTTATGTGGAGAAGATGGAAAGGTAAAAGTCAGCTGACAATGACGCCAAAAAAAGGCTGGCACACGCTTCACGGAAAACGAACTCCATGATATGCTCGCCATTATACAACAAGTCTTTGATGAAGAAGAGGCTCAGATCCCGCACGGTGTCGAGGACATGGAAATGCCAAAGATTACGAATAAGTTGCTTGGCGCTGCGAATAAGAAGAGGAGAAAGGTGAAGCGAAAGGTCTGAAGAAACAACGGAAAAAGAGAAAGTGGAAGCAGTGTGAAGAGATGGGATAAATCGGTGGAAAAGGTATTAAGAGTTTGACAGAAGCGAGAGGCGACCGAGACAAATGCATTCTGAAAAAAAACGACACAATCTGAACCCAATTGAATGAGATGGCAGACCACCGAATCCTATATGCGTGAAGTGAGTCAGTTCCGTCTTCGGCATCCTTCGTGGACTGTTGGATATGAATCATGGATGTTTGAGATAGACCCCATTACTATTTCCCACGCAGTCTAGCCACCTCGATCGACGTGTTACATTACGCGATGGCGTATGGAAGATGCAAGCAGGTGCAGCGTGTCGTAAGCTGCAGCCAGTACAAAAGCGGCGCCCGCAGCTGATGGAAAAAGATAACACGTACCCGCTCTGCAAATAGAATGTCTCACGTGATGTGGGGTGGGATTTTGGCAAAATCGAATGATGTGCTGATTTTTAGGTTTGTGTTGCAATTTACGACTACATGGTGTCGCCGTGGGTGCACGGTGAAAGAAGGAAATGAGAAGTGAAAGGGCAGATTTTCGCGCTAAGAGCTTGGCGTGCCTGGGACAGTGCCGCTCTGCTGTGAGGGAACCAGCGCTTACGGGGAAGGAAGGTCTTGTGCACCATGGTGAAATCGGTTTCTACATAGCACTACTACTTATATTGTCCCTTTGTCATTGCAGTTCCAGTTCCTAGTTACCGTTTCTGTTCCTGTAATAAACGTCACTGGGTATTATCATTATCTTGTTCGCTTTTGTACTGTTCCAGACAGATGTCCGATGTCAAATGCTGCTACTAACGCCGCGCAATGCCATGCAAAGAATGGGATACTCGCAATGTCGTACAAGAAAATACAGAGTCACGCGGGCCTCAACGTCCCGGTCATTGTGCCTCAAGTTGACTCATCCGGTCCTCTTGCAGGCTCCTGTCCATGTCATAATTGTTCCGGGTTTCTTGCAGCTCTCGTCTTTTTGACAATAAAGACGCCGACCTCGACGCCTTTGGTGGGTGCTCCGTCCTGGTACTCTCGGTTGGACACGCCGTCGAGAACGTGCTGTATCAGCGTTGCAGCGCTCATTTCGCCCATTGGGAGTTTCTTCGACTTGTTAAAGTACTTCATGACAATATCTCGCACGCGGGGCTTTTCTTGTTTTATCCACCAATCGTTGGCCCATGCCGACCTTTCCAGTAGCACCTCCTCTTTTGCTGCGTGTATGACTTGGTATGTTGCTTTTCGATCAGGTCGTGCGGTTCGCTCGCTCATTGCTGCGCAAAAGGATCGGACTTGGGATTCAAGATGGTCGTACTGGTCTAGGTAGTTGACTGAGCTCATCTGGCCTATATTTCTTCCTAGTTCAGAGTGAAGTTCGTGCACTACCGTGACGGTACGCAAAAGCGGATCAAGGATAGGTCCAAGATATTGCCTCATAAATGTCTTTGCGCCTGCTTTTGTTGGGTAGATGAAGAGCAGGATGCCATTGTCGCTCGACAGCTCTATTAAGCGGTCGTACAACAAAGACCGGCCCTGAAACGAGAACATCTCTGCAAACTCATTTGTGTTTGTGGGCGGAATATATCTTTCGACAATCGATACGTTGATGCTGCCTGGTGGAACTACTGGCCTCGGCGATGAAGGTAAAAGTTTCGAGTCGAGCTGGTAGTCGGGTATGGCGACAGCACTGTCAAAGACCTTGCTGGTGAAGTAGGAATCTCCTCCGACGGCGGGACCTGGAGTTGACGGCGGGGATTTGGGCAAGTCCAGAAGGGTGTAGCGGCCGGGAAGAGCATGAAAAACATTAATCCATGAAGTATTTGTCGACGAGGCATCATGTATTGAAGCAATTACTTGGCCAAACACATGGCCGGTTGTCGAGGGACAAGGCAGGGCATGCGAAAGGATTCTGACAGAGTCTAGGTCCAGACAGCCGGATTCATGTACTCGGACTACTCAGTACAATGGAGCATGGGAGGCGCGAGGGGATATGCTTACTAATTGTGCGTTTGGCCATTTCGATCCACGCTGCCATGCTCAGCGTGTCGTCAGTTGCGTCGTCGAGTGTGTCGTGCGTGGGCACGATGATCTGGGCCTGGGCAGGAGCTCTTTCCAAGGCGATGATGTTTGGGCTTGGTGACAGGCCGGGGTCGGAATGAGGAGGAGAGCCCAGTCCCGCCGTATGGGTGTTTACAAAGGATCCCCAATTGATCGTCCCCGGGTCCGAGTCCGAAGGAGGCGTGTGAGCGGACACGCGATGTGCCACGGGGGCTCTTGTTGCCTTCGGACTGGTAATGGGGGGGTTAGTAATTCCGTCAGGATGCGTGTGGTTGTGCGGCAGTGGGCTGAGAGCATGGAGAGGATCTTCTGGCTTTGATAGTGGACCGGCACCGAGTGGAGAGCAGGGCAGATGGGGTTGCGCCAGAATACGATCAGGGTGGGGCGCGGCAATGCCCAGCACCTGGAACGAGGGTAGGCGTAAATTATGCCTCTGTTTGATTGCAGTTGGTGGAGGAAGCGAAAGGCTACTGGGAGGCAGGCTCAGAGTCAGATCGACATGTGGTCGATCGTCGGAGCTGGGTGTCGTAAGAGGCTGGGGTATGGCGGAAGGCAGCGGGAAGGGCTGCGGCAGGGAAGCGTCGAGCGACGACGAGACGTCGTTGGGAACCGCTATAGCGGAGCAGGGACCAGCGTCTGCTCCTTCGTCGGGGGTAGCAGGTACAGACGACGGGACGGGGTGAAGAGGGGGATGTTGGGGGGGAAGAGGGTTAGTAGTGTCAGCATGGACAAGTTGAAAGGCATGCGACAGGGGATTGGGGTCCGTCATGGCAAACGACAACTGTGATGTGTTTGCAGGGAAGGTAATGCGACGTACAGTCACGCTATGCTGGGCAAGGCGGGAGAGACAGGCGCACGGAGACGTGGCTAGAAGATCTGGCGGCCAGGAACAAACGCTCTAGCTCTGCGGTGGGGCGGGTAATGAACGGCCGCGTGGGCACAAGTGACAGGACGACGGGGGACAGGCGATCAGCGAGTGAAACAGGCGGCAGTGGCTGGAACCGAGAGGCGCGCACGGCAGCCGGAGTAAGTCGGATTAAGGACGGAGTGGAGTGGAGTGGAGTGGTGGTGGTGGTGGTGATGGTGATGGCGGCGGTGGTAGTGGTAGTAGTGGTAGTAGTCGTGGCCGTGGTTGTCGTCGCTGTGCACCTAGAAGTAGTAATAGTAGTGGGGGTGACGGCGCTGGTAGTGATGATGATGATGGTGGTGGAGGTGGAGGTGGAGGTGGAGGTGGAGCTGATAGTGGTTGTGGTAGTGGTGGCGGCGGCGGCAGCGGTGGTGGCAGCAGCAGGCGGGCCCAAGACGGCCGGCACAGCGATGGGGAGCGCAAACGCGAGCGGGAGTGAATGAGGGAGCGAGTGGGTGGGTAGGTAGGTAGGTGGATAAGTGGGTAGGTGGGTGCGAGTGAATGAGTGAGTGAGCGTGTGTGGTAGCTTACAGTGGGCTCGCGGACTGAATACCCGATGCTCGCTGCAGTTGATGCTGCCTAGTGCGTCTGGAGCGCCCAGGGTCTTTCCCACCAGAGTTCTAGACCTGGGCCACAAGTCATTCCTTCATTCACCCACCCATCCACCCATCCGCCCCCCGCCATCCCTCCCTCCCTCCCTCCCTCCCTCCCTCCGTCACCTTGCCTGGCCTGTGTGGCCTGACGCCCGCCGCCACCAGGCTCCCGGCGAACGACGTTGCATGCGCACTATTCAAGCCGCTCGCCCTTCCAACCGCCAATGGCCACGGCACCACTGGCTGCGCCGAGTAATGTGCTCGGCCACACCAACTATACGAGCCCTCATCGCATCGCATCGCATCCATGCCCGCTGCAGCACTAGTCTGGGCCGCCGCAATCCTTTTCGGGCCTGCTGCTGCCCTGCAGGCCAGGCGTGGCTTGGTCGCTCTGCGTGTGCTGCTGTGCATACTCGCTATCTAGTCCACGACAACGCCGCCCTCAATCTCGCCTACCCTGCTGCCTCCCTGGCCATACCTGAAACCTAGTCTATCTGCTGCTGGCTTGTGCTGAACATGCGCATCTTGCTTACCTGTCCTTCGAGAAGACCGTCGACCCCCACGGCCACGCCCACTCCAGCAGTACTGGCACTGGTACCACTGCATTCCCTCATGCACCGATGCCGCCATACGCCAGGCCCTGTTGGGCAAGGAGCCCATGCGAGTCTAGACGGCCCATCGAGATGCTTCTGCCGCATAGCACCACCTCTCCGACGCCTCTTCCTCTCTCGCTCCTTTTGAACCATATGCACATGTGGTTAAAGTTCCAAATTTACATCCATCCGCCATACAAATGGCTCACCTCGGATGTTGCCCATGCCTGGGGCACTACTGTTCGCTGGCTACCTGGTTAAGCTTCATCACTTTCCGGCCATATTGGAACCGTAGCATTTTGCGGCCAAATGTGCGGCCGATCATTGTGCTGCGCGTCAGCCGCCATGGCACCCGGAGCCCTATCTACCATGGCCACTAAGCGACCGCTACCCTGTACATCGGTCGACAGCGGGCAGAAGACGTTGGCGCAGCCTACCCTTAGCCCATGGAAAAATGCCAGTCATCTGCTGGATCCGTACAAGACGACCGGTACATTTCCACTATGTACATGCGTGAAATATCAGAATACATACACCGCCTCGCCGCCGGCAAAACTCCATTCATCGCCCTCAGTTCCTCGACTCTTCGCCCCACGCCGACTCCACACCTGTCTTCACGCAGAGCCCTAGGTGTCGAACTGACAAAACATCAGTATCGAATCCGTCATCACATGTCCGAATCTCACATACCTGCCACTTCTGCAGACCTCTCTCCCTGGCTGCTCCCTTTGCTGCCCCGCTCGATCGACTTGCCATCTTAGGCTCATGACTCTTCACGTACTCTTGCGCCAAGATGGGACATGCCTTTTTATGCGCTTTGAAGTGTACCTTCTGGCAGTCCTTGTTGCAGTACGAGACGCTATGGCATTTGATGCATTGCTTGAGTGATTCGGGCGCTTTGCCACATTGCGCACACGCCGTTGGTGCTGGCTGAGCAGAAGTCGACGGCGCAGGCTCTGACTGGACGTCGTGTGTTTGTGCCGACGATTGTGCTGGGGCGTTGGGTGCATCTGACGGGTTAGCCGGTGCGTCTTTCGCTGCTGGATCAGAGTCCGCCATCCTGTGCGCCTGTTGGATGGGAAATGTCTGTGGAAAACTGCCTGGCTGTTGCAAAAGTTCCACAATGTCGACGCACGGCTGGCAATGTCGACGCACGGCTGGCAATGTCAAAGTTCGATGATCAGCATTTTGCTTGCAGGGATCTGCTTTAGGCGAGCAGCCTAGACCTGTTCTGTCGTAGCGTCGAAAAGCGACCCCTCGATGACCATATGCCGAGCGTCTGCCAAACTAAACGCGGCTCATGGCACTCGAATCGACGCGTGCGGAGCAATGAGCACGCAGCAACAGGACAAACCCTGCCTCGGTATACAAACAGATCCGAAAGGCTCCAGGAACCCCCAGCAAGCTGGCTCCGACTGATTGCACCGGCTCCGACTCGACTTCCTCAGTACCACAGGGCCGGCTCTTTACTACATCGTGACATCGTATCCTACACTCAATCACCAATGTGCACGGCCAGCGATTCAACTCCCATGGAGATGCATGCCAACAGAAACACCTGCCGAGGTATGACAAGAGGAGCCCGCTGTGGCTGTGCATATCCGTTTCCGAGAATCCGGCCTCATCTTCGGCACCCGCTCGTTGAGAGGTAGCGTTGGCGGATGTATGGGCGCTCAGCGTCGCTGCCCAAGCAGCACTTAGCGATATGACCGCGATCCCTAGACCCACGTTTGACAGTACGCGGTCCGGCTCGGACGAGGCAGAGATGCTCGTGATGCACCTTGTCTCCTTCCACGTGTGCCGAACACCCGTCCGTTCCGATTATCGTGATTGTACACAAGCTCAAAACACCAGGCAAGATACATGCTACAGCGAGTCATCACTAGAGCAGCAAAAGCTCTCAGAAAATCGGGTTTGCATGTATTTCAACCAGTCCTTCCTGCGAAACAGGCGTGTAGACAAGGGCGGTCTACCTCGATCGGCCCGTCACCCCTACTCCATGTCCTGCTAACAGAGAACAGTATATATGTGTTATGTCACAGTCAGCATGCCGATGGTTTGAGAGCTAGGATAAGCCCTCCACTTCCCAGAACAGTTCATGGTCATAACCCTCTGTCAGCGGCCCGGTCCAGCCATTTGCAACAACTGTTTCTTTGGCCTTGCTTTGGTGATGCGTCAGCAACCGAACGACAGATCACGAAACTGCACCGAGCGTATGGGACGTGCAGGCATGCGACTTGGAGGCTCAGTAAGAACCTGCAAGTCTAACAATTAGATGCAACTGCCTAAGCATGACGGTGCAACCCTACCCAGCTACAGTCTGACATCGAGGCGCCTTGTTAGCGTCAGACCACATGGCTCCAAGTGTCCGCCTGCATAAACCAACAAAGACTACTAAGACGATACCATCAAGCCAAGCCATATGCCACGCGATCTCGTTTTTGGCGTTGCGTATTTCTGTCCACAGCAAAGTGGAGATGGGCATCGGAGAATTGCAGTCCCGTCCTAGTAACGAATAGCATACATGGTGCCTTATGTTCAGCAGACGGCCAGTTAGAAATCAAGGCTCGATTGATGTCTTTCGTGCGACTGCTCAGAATACTGCACGCTCGGTCGTTGGCAGAACGCTCAAGATTCATTGGCCCCAACAAGCAATCAAACTATACCGATACTCCCTGCCAGGCACTGGAGAACAACCATACAAATGGCACGACGTAGCGAGGGATGAACAGCAGCCTCTCCTAAAAGAAAACGTGGCGCGACAGTTACAAGCCGTGTTCCGCCGATCTACATACAAGGGAGCAAAGCCAGCAAAGCGCGTAGCCACAACAAGACGGACCGCAAAGACGGACCCGGCAAAAAAGACGAGTCCACGTGTAACGCTGTAGACGCATTCTATGGCGATGCATTTATCCAAAACGCGATAGGTGCAGCCTGGATTCGCTCCGAGAGGCAGACGACACTCGATCGATTCATGCACCAGCAGCCAACACTCAACGAGCACTTAGTGCATGTGCGGCCAAGAAGTAAGACGGACATGGGGGGTAGCTTGGTGCGGAGAGGGGGGGCCAGGGCATGCGTGGAGGGATGCTCATATGCCATAGCGTGTTTGCCTACTGTATACAACTAGGCAAGTACCGTCTGCCCACCAACAGGGATAACCGTAGTTTTGGATCCTCTAAAAACCAGTCGACCCGGAGAGAAAGTAAATGACAGGGAGGATGGCTGTTTGGGAGCCTTGTAACACACCCGCGTCTCTCTTTTCCGTCGGATCCTCGCTGGTGTTTTTGGCCCGACAATGGCCAGGTATGTATGCAGGGCGGGTTTATCGGGTTGTTGGTTGATTGGCCATGGGTCGTCAGGCCCTGTGAGTTGTTGTTTCCGAGTCACAATCATGGGGAAACTTTTGCCCGGCTCAGATAAGATCAATCTGAAAGGTCGTGTGTCGGCCTTGACTGCCGATAATACCTAAAGTGACCAGGTGTTTTGAAACTGTGGGGGCGTTTGTTCTAAGCTCACGCCCTTTTTTCTTCTCTCTACCCAATCGCATCATGGCGGGCGGGGTCTTGGCTGGGACGGGTCTCGGTGATTTATATATTTGTGTCCCCCCCCCCTCCCCCAACAATCTAAAACAAAAATAGTTCATTTATCCAGTACTAGTCCTTTAGATCGGAATTGCTGCTGACTTGTGGGTTTTTTGTGCGTCCCTATCCCGCCTTCTTATCGCATGATAACTCTTTTTTTTCTTAGTCTTTCTGTATCTGTGTCTGTATGTGTACTTACACAACTAGCATAGCCCTTTTTTTTTCTTAGGCTAGCTAGTGGGGGGTTACTCACTGTACATATTTGCCCATTCGGTCCGTTTAGTGTACATGCAAAAAGGTGCCATTATTTTCCATCGTCTCGAGTGACCTACCTCTCTCTCTCCCTTATGACTGGGGCAAAAAAAAGGTTCCGAAGCAGCACCGCTTCGATGCTAGTAGCTTCGCGACATGCAGCCGGATTGGGAATCGTGGCTGTACTTGTGTGTGAAGAAAAAGAAAAGATTCTAGGGAAGTGGAGAGAGTCAAGAAGGTTAGTAGAGATGGGGATTTGGGAAGATGAGGAATCGCATGGCTGATGCTTGATGTACTCGGGGTGAAAGGATATTCTCTTTACGGATTCTATGCCTCCCCCCCCCCATTTTTCTCTCTTCCCCTTTCTGGGCTTACTCATCGGGAATGACAGCAAGATGCGTGCGTAGTGGCTTGGAGATGAGCGGTGTACAGAATAGCTTCTTTGGTGCATGTTGTAGCCATGCGCATCTTTTTGAGCCAGTCAGATTGCATCTCATCTCATCTCATCTCAGCTCTGGAAATAGGATCGCGGTAACGAAGATTCAAAGGCTTGGGGGAGAAAATATATGGTGATATGACCTATACAGCGATGTAGAGGTGTAGTTATTGAGTAGCTGTAGGAGATTGGTTGGGAAAGTATGGTGTATGGCGATGTGGCGTAGGTATGTATGTACAGCGGTGCTGCGGGCTGTCGATACAGCTTAAGGGGGGGGGAAAGAAATGGCATATAACGTGTATCGGGCTGGTATCTGTTCGTTTGTGTATATTGGTTTAAACTAGCGTTTGGATGTAAACACGTCACCAACATGCATCCATGCATCTCTCTATCTAATACTAAACCGAACCTTTTGCATCGCCATCGCCACGCTACCCATCTTTTCCCTCGCGGTAGCCTTGAAACCCGCTTCGCACACACATTCTCTTACCAAACAACCACATGGATAAATACTAGTCTTACGCTCCCACCCGCACACGCATATACAGGCACAGTCATGGATACAGCTACGGGCACAAGTGTGAGACCGAATTCCCCGAGTATCACCCCTGCCCGCCACCACGAATATGCCGACAAACAGTGATGATGATGATAATGATGATGATGATGACGGCGAGAATCTCACGTATTTGAATTACTAAAACCGCAATTGGAAAAAAAAACCCTGTTTCGGTTTTTGTGTGTAGTAGTCTCTTATACGACAGCAATTTCTTTTATATATTTAGGGGAAAAAAAGGAAAAAAAAAGAATTTCTTTCTTCATGGCTTTTTTTCTTCGAGCGAGACAAAGGGGTAGTAGAAGTAGTGGTAGTAGTAGTAGTAGTAGTAGTAGTAGTAGTAGCAAGACCAACAGTGGGAAGACCAGATCGAATCATTCATCATGATAACTATAATGACAACATAGTACAGAGTAACGTTTTTTCCTCGTGCCGAGAACCCCTTTTATATCGACGCCTCGTCTTCCTCCTTCTCCCTCTCCTTCTCCCTATTATGTCCTGCATATGTATAGCACGGCATGGCATGGCACGTGATATGATGTGATGTGATGTGATATCCAAGCTGTGCTGATGAGGCGACTACAAGACTAAGACTGAGATTGCGACTAACAGTGAGACCGAGGATGTGTTTCTATTTGAAGATCCCGAGAGGTAGAATACAATATGTAGTTGTAGAGACATGGTATTTTGATGTAGTATAGTGTGGTGTTCATCTACGTCTCAGTCTTTATTCTCCTCCTCCTCCTGGTCTTGCTGTCTTGTTATCATCGCCCTCATCCTCGTCCTCGTCCTACCCTTGTTCTTTTTCGCTTTCGCTCTCCTAGAACCTGTAGATTCGTCTTCCTGCTTAGCGGGAGTAGGGGATAGAGTGGGGAGGAGGATGCATATGTTTTTAGTGCATATGGATGTGTGTGTGTGTGTGTGTGTGTGTATGAGAGATAGATAGGACGTTAGCGTAAAAACAAGTAAATGACTGAATACCAGTTTTCACTTTCGATTGTGATGCATGCCGAGTTGTATGTAAATGGCGAATCATAAAAAAGCCGAATAAGGCACTTCTCATCCGCACATAAGGTGCTAGAAAATACGTATATTAGCAGGATCATGAATCAAGGTACAAGGTGCAAAACCAGAATTACTCTGTAGTGCCATTCAATCAATGACAGGTTTCATACAGCTCACCCAAATCCAGTCTCATGGACGTACTCACTCTGCTCGACCTGCGCACATGTTTCCGAGCGAGCTCGCTGCTTTGTATTAGCCAAAACGCCCACACACTGAATGACATCCAAACCAAAAAGAAAGCACGAGAAATTTCATCAAAACCACAAGGGAAATTTTAGAAAAAAACTCACGTATCCCCAATAACCCTTCGCATGACCAAACTATCCACCCACTCGCCTTTAACCATTGCCTTTTCCTTGGTCAAACTATGCCTTTCGAAGCCCAGCCGCTCAGCGAGTTTCCAGCACGCCTTGTTGCGCGGATCACACTCGATTTCCATTTCCACCTTGCCGTGGTCCTGCAGCCGGTCTTTGATCGCACTTATAAACGCCGTCATGGCCTCGGTGGCAAAGCCCTGGCCCTGAACGGAGGGCAAAAAAGAGAACCAAAGATCCGCATGGGTAACAGGCTTGATGCTTTGTTCGCCGGGCAGCTTATCCGAGTTTGCCTGGGAAGTCTTTGCGCCTACGCGGCCGATGAATTTGCCCGTGAGGTCCTCGACGGCGAGCTCGTAGATGGTGCGCGGCACGTCGTTGTGGTTGCGGATGTTTTCGAGGACCAGCTGGCGGGCTTGCTGGCGGGTGCGTGGCGGCCACTCCTGGTAGCGGGCGTTGCGCTCGTTGCCTTCGAGCTCAAAGTAGCCGGCTTCGTCCTGCAGGACGAATTCACGGAGGAGTAGGCGCGGCGTGTGGATGGCGCCGAAGCGCTCGCCCTTGAGGTTTGCGCGGGCAATGGCGGCGAGCTCGTCTTTGGTGAAGGCACCAGAGGTGAGCAGGATCTTTTGGATCACGTTGCCTTTGGCGACGAGGTAGTCGATGATGTTTGTCGTGTTGGCGGCGAGCTCGAGCTTCACAAGGGCGTACTCGTCTCGCAGCTCCGTGTTGGTGCGGAGCGTGTCTCGCAGGCCGAGGTGGTTGCGCGTTTGGACGGCGCCGTCGACGCAGACGTAGATGTTGTGGCGTACGGATTCATTTGGAATCTTGAAGGCATGGCGGTCGACGACGCCGAGCTCGCCCAGGTAGTCGAACTTGCCGTTCGTGATGAAGGCGTCAATGGCAGACTGGAGGTTATCGCGGGTCACAATGACATCAATGTCGATGATGGGCTTCGCAGCCAGTCCTGGCACTGATGTACTACCCACGTGCTCGATGGAGAGGTACTCGACGTCCCGCAGGTAGCTCTCCAGCTCGGGCTTGATCTTCTCAAACTGCTTTGGCCACTCCGGATTGTACTGCTCGACGACGGGAGACATGTTTTTGACGGACAGAGAGCGATGGTGCGGCTGAGGAGGGGCGAGGCTCTAGATGTGTGGTGGTAAGGCAGCACAAGCAGGTGAATGCCCCCGGCTAACCCCGTCATTGGCTAAACATGTACAAGGCAGCACCAGGCAACCCGGAAGCGCCCGAGATACAAAAGGCATGGGTAGCGGTGAATAATAGCATGTAGCAAAAGAAAAAGGGCGGCAAGGCAGTGTTGAGGTCATCCACGCAGCCAACGAGGGCCGGTTTGCAAGGCGTCTCGATGCACGTCGGAGATAGCGGCAAGAGATCCGAACCACTTGATTTAGATTGCGCTCCATTTCTGTGCAACTTTTCCCCCTCTAACGCTAATCGTATTCTTCTATCTTGATAACTGGAATGGGAGTGTACTGCGGGGACGCGCCCCAGCCCAACAGAGAAAACGGAGTGTACGAAGCCCCGCCAACGCTGCCCTGCTGCCTGAAGTGGTAAATGCAACGGGCCATGAGAATGCTGAGCACAACCAGCAGGACCAGCGGGAAAAACATCACGTTGCCCTCGCCATTGGCCGACAAAAAAGACACTAGCTTGCCAGCCACGAGATTCTGCGTCCTTGCCCATGTGCCGAATTGACCGTACTCGTCCCATTCGTTGGGGTCGAAGGCGGTGCGCATCATGGCCAGCTTGCCGCACTTCATCCTGAGTGGCTGGACGCTGTTCTTCTCGTCGACCACCTGCACGTCGGCAATGGAGAGGGCGGGTTTGCTGCCCTCTTTGGGGTCCGTCTCTTGGTGGGCGGGGTCTTCGCGCAGCAGCATCTGTACGACCTTTTGGCCCATGGTGAAGGGCGTGGGCTCCTCACCCCAGGCCAGGCCAGTCACGTTAAAGTGCAGCCATAGGCCTTCGTCTGTTTCGCCGCGGAAGAAGGTGTGTTCATACTGCAGCGGAAACTTGATTCTCTCTGGCTGGTCAAGGCTGGAGCTCTTCACTTGGTCTTTGCCGAGGTCTGATGGGACTTGCAGGGCATTGATGCGAAGAGGCATCGGGTCGAGAGGAAAGACGCGTTGTTCGTTGAGAAGCAGTGCAGATGCAGATTCGTCAATGCTAAACATGAGCATCTGTATGTTGGCGTTAGTCAGCGGAGTCCCTGGAGCACTGTCGTTGGACACGCTCACCAAGGAGTTGTCAGGAGGGGGGTGCGTCCATTGCACCTCATGGGGGCTTCTGAGCACGCCAAACGGGCAGCCGACGCATTCAAACTTCACGGCATAAGTCTTGTTCTTCTGGACTACAGTGATTAGTGGCGCCACGTCCTTGACAGGCGGGGCCTCGATGTTCTCGACCCGGTGTTCCTGGCCCGACGAGGGCGAAGACGCGGCGGCCACGACAGCGGCCGCGAGACTGGAGAGAGTGAGGAAGCGCATGACTACATGGAACAAGGAAAAGTAACGAGCGTGAGGACTGGAGTTTGGAGGGTAAGAGAGGCTGGAGAGCGAGCGTGTGGCGCGCAGTAAGTTTATTTAAGGAGAGATCGCCAAACCATGGCGGATGACGCGTGTGCCTGTCCTCGGGGCGCTAGCGCAGGGACCGTCAACGTGGGGAGTGGCACATCTAGGCCTTTTGCCAGCATCCCCGGGCTGCGGTGGGCATAGTTATTCAACAGGATTCATCGCAAACCGCTCTGGCTGAGACATGTCTCTCTGCCATTCCAATAAGCATCCCGTGCCGCATGCCACTGAGGCGTGGTGTGGTGTGGGCATGGAGAAAAGAGGTGCCACCATGTCCTGGTCTCGGTCGACTGGCACCCAGTCAGTACAGTAATACTTGTAACATGTTGCCGCGAGCTGCCGGATCCATCTCCTCACTGCGCTCGCTGTTTCGTATTCTTCTCGAACCACCCGATAGTTCGCCCTGCCGTCCGTGCCTAGACGCCCCACGCCATGTCGCCTTACGTCTCAAACACAATAGAGTTGGGCAAAAAGAGTCACTCACCGACAACCATCCAGCTGCACAACCAGGTCATAACCGTGTTTAATTTCGGTCTTATCGTTTATCATCCAACCCCTCGTGTGAGATAACAGCCCGTTCCTCTGGCCTTGACCATGCATGCCAAAACCAAACCGCAACGCAGCTTGGGAGTCGTGCGCCCGCTGCCACGGCTGCCCCGGCGCGGAAGCCTGTTGTCGCAGCACCGCCCAAGAAGCGCAAGACTGCCACGGCCAACCCCATGGTCAAACCCAAAAAGGCGCAGCCAACCCCCGCCGTCCGTCTTCAGCGCACCGCCACAGACACGACGTCCAAGCCAAAGGGCAAGTCTACCGCGCCGCCTGCCTCCAAGATCAAGTCGGCCGAGATTGTCCACTCGTCCGACGAGTCCGACGGCGAAGTCGCGAGCTCGCCCGCACGCCAGTCGCCTCCGCCCGAGCGCAGTCAACACCATGACCACGACGAGGACGACGCCGAGGGCGAGTCGGATGACGATGGCGGTCTTGAGATTGAAGTGCCCGATGCACGCCCACCACGGCGCAACAAGGGCGCATTGGCAGCTCTGGGGCTAGGCCAGAATCTCGGCGCAGGCTATCTGCGCTCGCCGTCCAACGGCCCTATATCTCTCGCCAGTGCCGCCAACAGCGACGTCGAGGGCTCGCCAAACCCCCACAACCGCAACCGCAACACGCAAGATGAGATTGACTTTGGCGACCTCGGGGGCGACGACGCAGAAGGCGAGGATGACGATGACGAAGACGACGATGATGACGACAACGAATACAACGACCGAGACATTGAGCCCATGGACATTGGCCCGCCCGCACAGCAAGACCGCAAATCCAGCGTGGCGGCCGAGATGCCTGCAGACGACGATGAGGACGATTTGGAAGAACTGATGAGAAGGGGACTCGAGGGCGGAGACAGCAGCGAAGAAAGCGAAGAGGAGTGAAAGTGCCCTCGACCTTTCAAACTATCCATGTGCAACACCCTGCGGATGCTGTTCACCAAGCCAGGCCACCCCGTTGAACCCTATTGTGGGTTCGGGACATGCCTTGTACCCGCGGTTATTCCACCTCGTTTTCACGCTGCGAAACGGGACGCACGCTGCACCAAGGTCTGTGCAGACAACGTTAGGAACCACGCTGTGACTTGAGCAGCATAGGACAGTGAGCAACAGTGCAGAATGTCGAGAAGAGTGCCATGCAATGCACATGCATGGCCAGTCGGGGGGGGGGGAGTGAGGCTTGTACAGACGGAAGGCTGTGCACTCGGAAATTGCAGCATAAGTCGTATCCTTGCTCCGCAGGCTATTGAATCGGTGGCGCGGCGTGTGGACGGCGCTGCCGGGGCCTGTCCGGTGCTCTGGCGACGAGGCATAGCGGTAGTCTGACTCGTCGCCTCGCTTTTCCTTTTCCTTGCTCAGGAAGTGCCTGAAGTCGTAGGGGTTGTCGGGGTCCGGGTCGCCCCCGTCGGCGGCGGCGGCCTCGCCAAACAGGTCGTCGTCGTCGTCGTCGTCCTTGTCCTGCTTCTCGTGCTTGAGCTTCTTGGGATAGATCTTGGCGTGCTGCGACGACATGTCCTTGCCGTTCCTCGTGGCCAGGTTGAACGTGTAGCTGCTCGACAGCGGCTCCAGCGTCGCCTGCTGGGTCGCGGGGTCGAAGATGAGCACATACGACTTTTTCGGCTGCGTCTTCTGGCCGGTGAATGTGAAGACGTCGTGGTCGCCGTCCTCATTCGAGTCGTCGATGCGCAGGCTGCAGGCGCCGGCTGCAGAGGGTGCCTGCAGCGTGGCAGAGCGGCTCTCGGCCGTCTGCGTGGGCTTGTGGTTGTCTGGGCAGTGCATCAGCAGGGCGGGCAGCCATGCATGTGCCGTGTTGGTGTGGAGGGCTCACATTTCACGCTGCTGTACTCGGCGGCAGCAGCATCGTCAGTGTTCCGGATGCGGTCGCTGAGGTGGAGGCTGAAATGGGCCTTCTTGTGCGGCTCGATGCGACCTTCGACTGCGGGAGACGCCATTCGCGTGCTGGCCGCGGTGTGGCGGCGCGTGTGCTGGTGGGGGCAAGGGAGAGGCAGATTGCGTGCTGGGTTCGGGCGCGTCGTGTCGTCTGCATGTATGCTGGATGGTGGCAGTGGCAGTGGCAGTGGCAGCAAGAATAGTCCAGCCGGCCTTCTGGAAGGAGACGCTCCGCTTGCCGTCGTCCCGCCGCTAGCCAGGAACCCGCCGAGCTCTCCACCCAGGCTAATTTAAGCCCGCTGAAACCCCCGCCGGACCCTCTCCACGCTCCAGTCCCTCTACCACTACCAAGCTACTACACAAACGATGGCGCCGGCGAGGAGCCATGGCCGATTCGGCATGGCCACTCCAGCAGCCAGATGGCACAGGTTGGTGTGGCCGACATGGCCCCATACCGTGCGCGGCGAGCAGGGCAATTTACCAGAGTATTGAAAAAAAAACGTACAAGCAAGATACAGCGTCACAGTATACATTTGCCGGCCTGCAGAGTGACATTGCTGGTGCATCTCATCCCCGAAGCGACGACTATTGCCGGCTTCGAGCATGGGCTACTGCTTTTTTCCAGTCGGCTATGCTTGGGCGGATATGTAAAGGAGCGATGCATTATCACTCAAGGATACAAACTGGTTGACTGATGGTTGAATGCAACTCCTGCTTGGAATCCAAAGTGCCCGGGAGTGGGTATAAATACACGGTATCCATCATGACACGCAGTATCTTGTAATCGAGAGAAGAAAAACAAAGTGCCCAATTGTGTTGCATCTTCGTCGTGGCACTGTCGTATACGGTATAGGGTATACGATGCGTTTCTTCCTCCAAACGCTTGTTGCACTTGCAACCTCGGTCAGCGCTACCGGCATTGCAGTCATTCTCAACAATTCCCCGAGGCCAATCTATGTGTGGTCGGTTGGCGCTTCCATCGGGCCTCGCCGCGACATCAAGGCTGGTTAGTGCACGCTGGAACAGTGGCCGTGTTGTGACTAACGGCGGCGATAGGCGGCATCTACTGGGAAGAGATGCGCCGCGACGACATGACCGGGGGGGTTGCCATCAAAGTGACAAAGAGCGCCGACGGCCTCTACTCTGGCGCCCCTCAGCAGGTCTTTGCGTACAATCTGGACGGCGCCACCGTTTGGTACGATTTGAGCACTGTGTTTGGCGAGCCGTTTGCCGGGTATCGGCTCGAGGTTGTCGGTGACCATGGAGGGACCATTCTGTGGCCCAATGGAACGCATCCGGGGGGATCCCAAGTCAAGACGGCCCCCAGCGAGGGAAACGTGTTTTTCTCAATCGATCCCCGGGCATGAGGAACCGGGAACCAAGGTCGGGCACACTGGGAGGTGCAGTCGAATTGCTAGTGACTGGGCGGCTTGATCGCGATCCGTCTGCATGCACGCACACACTGGAGCTTTTGTAGTCTAAGTAGTATTACAAATGGCTTGATGCTGGTCTCACGCACCTCATCTTCCAGCAGCCTTGTCTTGTCATGGAGGCGTGCAACGGCGAAATTGTGACAGGTTGGCCGGCAGATCCCTCCTCAACTTGGGTTAACGGCCGGCACAACACGTTTCCTTGGACAAGCCTTTGCAGGCCGGGTACCCACCCAGAGACCCAGCAGGGTGGTGAAGGGCCATGCACAACGCTTCTAGTCGGCGAGGGCGGGTGGTGGAGGATGCGACTTGGAATCGTGGGGTGATGCATGTCCTGGTGGTGGTGGTGAATTGGGGCTGGCCTGTGCACTGCCACTTGAGGCCTGCATGCCAATACGTATGTATGTATGTATGTATGAATGATGTATGTATGTCATGTAGTACATTTATTGCTTCTCTTTTTTTGGATGCATTATTGTCCGACCAGCTGCTTCTGCAACAGGCACAAGGCACGGGATTGCATGGCAATAAAGACTATGTATGCATTCGTCGGGGTGGCTGTTCCGGCCATGCCCCGCGCCACAGCGGGTTAGTAGCCATAGCATGCTTAGCACCGCCATAGCAGCCATCACTATGCTCTGCACAACTGGCTTCTGCATCCCTCGACAGCCATCACCACTGCATTCCCCAAGGATGCATGTGTCGCCTCGGGCTGCAGGCAGCCTACAGCACATACGGCCACATGCTATCTCCAGGCCGCGCTTCTCTGGCCTGTCTTGGTATGCCTGTCACACTGCATGCTGCTACTGCGCGATAGCAAACGCAGGCCATCTCGCGCCATGAGCACCGGCCGGCTGACGCAGCATGCCACCTCGCCCTCACACTCGCTCGCTGCCCCCCCTTCCAGCCTCTGCTCTCCACCCCGGAAATTATCCAACACCCGACCCAGCGCATGCCCACCCACGGCCATGGACATGCTTGATTAGCCACCGCCATCTATTCCATGCGCGTATTGGCCCTGCGCCTGCGGAAGACGGCAGCCTGCCTGTGCCGGCTCTCTCCCTCGTCCACACGCCAAGCCGCCCCACGCCGTTCGAGACCTCTCCGCAAAAAAACAGAGAAAAAGAAAAAAGAAGAAGAAACAAGAGAAAAGAAACCAAATCGAACGGTGGCCGCGATCTCCGAAAGCGGGCGGCGTGTGAATCCCTGAGCAGAGGAGGCCCAGGGCGGGTCGTCGATAAGCCCATGTGGGAGGCCAGCAGCAAAAGTTATTCGTCCTACCACTAAGCCGGTATTTGGCCTACCACTTAGCCAGGGTCTGTATTAGTGCGGGCATATCTAAACTATATAGAGTTAGCACTATAATATAATAACTTAGTACTTAATTTTATAACTAACTTAGTAACTAAATAATACCTATCTAGTATAGAAGCTTAGTGTTTTATTTTAGGTAATGTAACGGGCTGAACGCCCTTCGCCTCCCATACTCGTCTACGACCTCGTTTACTCCACCTGCCTGGCCCGATTGTTACCCTAGCAACCAGCATTGTATATAGATAGCTACGTAGCCGAGAGCTTAGCTCTCTATCGAATACAATCTTGTTACCTTGGCCTGTCCGATCGTGCTCCCGAGCTTAAGACTACCCTCCGGGGTCGAGCCCCTTACAGGTAAGCTGTAACTACTACTTATATATAGCTCTACCTATAGAGGCTTTATAATAGGGCTTTAAAATAGGCCTTTAGGTGCCTATTTTAGCTACCTTAACTACTTAGCTATTACGCAATATCTCTATCCTCTATACTACTTACCTTTTTACTTAAATTTACTACTAAACTTAGGTAGCAAAAGGCGTAATAATAATTAAGAGCTTTAGTATAGTTAGCTAACGTAATTATTATACTACGCTAGCTATAGCTTTTTTAGTAAGTAGCTAAGAGCCTATTTTAGGCTAGTTTTTAGGCTATATAGAACACTAAAAATTAAGTAGTATAGCTAGTTTTTAAGCTTTACTTTTTTTTACTTTTATAACTTCTATTTTAGCTGTAAGAGGCTACGCCTACGTATGTACAGCTTAGCTTCTAAGCGAGTATATCTATACGACTACCTGGACTTCAAGAAGCTTGAAGTCTTGTTACTGCCTTTTTGGCTATGGATGGCGTAAGTAGTCGTACGCTCGGCCCGTTGGGCCCGCCCATTACATTAGCTACGTAACACTATTAAATTTTTATTAATATACTAGCTATCTTTATATACTAAAACTTACTATAGCATAGCTATATTATAGTAAGTAGTATAAAATACTACTAATGTTTTAGCCAAGCCTACTAATGTAGACCTCTGCTAAGTGGTAGGCTAAATAGCCGCTTAGTGGTAGGACGAATAACTTTTGCCGAGGCCAGCTAGTAGTCGGTAGTAGCGAATTCTCCATGCAGGGAAAAAAACAGATACCAGGCCGCCCGACCACGACGGGATCCGGATCCTCTTTTTCTTTGGCAAAAGGCCCTTTCTCGCCCTCTACTACTCTCGCCGGCCATGCACCTCCTTCGCCGCTCGCCATGCTGATTCGCCGTCTGTACGCAGGCGACCCAAAGCCAGCTGTTTGCTGCTGCTGCTGCTGTTGCTGCCATGCCGCTTGCCATGACATGACCCGTTCCGACCGGCCGATGAGCCTTCGTACCACGATCAAGAGCCGACCCCGCTGACGCCTAATAACATGTGCCTTAGCTGCTCAGCCTTGGCATCCATTCCTCTGCTTGCTCCCGTCTCGTTCGACTTTTGACTTCCTGGAAATGCCCTCCAGCCCACCGCCTCTCTGGATGCACACGCGACCAAGATCTCCCATCGACACCGCCGTCCCTAGCGCTGGACTGCCGCCCCCAGCCCTCCTACCATGAGCGCCCGGACACTAACCAATGTCGTAAACGACCAGACTGTTGCCCTCAATGCCCTCATCTATGGATATGCCGGCCACAGTCTCGTCACTCCCCAGCATGCCCTCCAGCAGATCTGGTGGACCGAGGAGAGGATCAATGAAAAGGTCACCCAAGAATTCGTCATGTCTCGCCTACAGCCTCACGACAGAGAACGTCTTACCCAGCCCGTAGGATTTGGCGACCTGAGCGACGACACGTACCTTGAATGGATAATAGAAAAGGCCCGCCGCTTGTTCCTCGTCCTCGTCGAGATTGGCGAGGCAGACCGCATTTTTGCCGTCGTCGACAAATCCTGGGATGACGACGACCTCCCGATTGGGCTAGATGATATTGAGCAGCTGTCGCTCTCCAATCGCCGCGACAACCACGCCAATGCCCGCTTCTACCACACCCAATTTGCCTTTTTGCTGCGAGAGCTGCGAGAGGGCGTCCACATCGACTATGCCGAGAACGAGGAGCTGCCTATTGAAAATGTCATGTCCCTTCCCGTCGCCGTGACCTTGCAGCCCTGGTCGCGCATACACTTGCCCAAGAAGCCAAAGGAAATCTACATGCGCCGCAGGTTCGCCCTTGGCACTGCAGATGACCCCGATGCCTTCCGCCAAGATTTTATCCTCGATGTGGAGAGTGCAAGGATGGTCGAACACGACCACATTGCCCCTGTCTGGGCCTCGTACACCGCAAAAGGCCATGGTTACATTGTGAGTACCTTTGTGGGCCACCATACTCTGCGCACCTTCATCGACCATCGCAACCCGGCGCAATACCAGAAATTGCCAAAACCCGAACGACGGTGGCTAGTGCTCAACTGGCTGCATTGTCTGGCCGACGCCATTTCGACACTGCACCAAAACGGCTTCTGTCATTCCGCCATCCGGCCATCTAGAATACTCATTGATGAACAGAATGCCATTGCCTTTAGCGACATTGGCAGCCTAGAGACATTCCAGAAAGACAAGAAGCCCGATGCCATGGATGCATACATTTACAGCGCCCCCGAGGCACATGCCAGTCCAGACCCGCCCGGTCTGCAATCCCCTCCACATACACCCAGAGTCCCAAACAGGCAACACGCATCTGTGATGAGCAAAAGCTCATCAGGATCCTCGAAAAGCGGGGGTTCGCAGCGCCAGAAGCTGACCAAACCCCTGAATACCGACTTTTCAGGCTTCAACTTTGGATTCAAAAAGTCTGACCGAGCGCCTGAGCATCGCTCGCGCGTGAGCGAAACCGAGAAAGCAGACATTTTCTCTTTGGGCTGTGTGTTTCTCGAACTGATTACCTTCATGCTGAAGAAGAAGCCTCATGATTTCATCAAACACCGGTCCTCAAAACTAAAAATCAGTACCGGCGGCAAGAGCTCGCGCACCGATTCGTCGTATCACGCCAATCTTGACAAGGTCGAGACTTGGATGGCAGTGCTAGAAAAGGCATCACTCGAAAATGATGACGATGCAATCCGCGCAGTCCCCAACATTCTAAATCTGATCCGAACTATGCTCAGCAAAGACCCCATGGAACGCCCATTGGCACGTGACGTGCGAGACGACCTATTTGACATTCTTCAATGCACTTCGATGCTTGACATACATTGTGGCGCACACAAGCATGATATCGGCATCGCGGCATCTGCATTTTCAAGTCGAGAGAGAGCATCGAGTATGGCGTCGTTTTCAACCATGTCGACAATGAGCTCGGCCTTTTCCGATACCGACACAATACGCTCTGGCACGACGCAGGTAAACTCCATCTTGGACTACTATTCTGACAAGCACACACTGCCTGGAATCATAGAGGATGACAGCGCTTCGCTACAAACGCTGGAGCCACCAGCCACATCGCCTTGTGCCGTCAAGTACAATGAAACGCCAAGACTGCCAGACTCTCCGACGATGCCTGAACCACCACAGTCACCCTCTTCGCCCGCGTACGCGCGTGGGCCTAGTCCATCGAGACCGACCGCGTCAGCTGCCAAGGTGAAGCCATGGAACAAACCATTCCTTCTGCTTCCATAAGGTTGATCTTCATGGCTCGGGGCATTCCAATAGCAATACGGAATAATTTTCAGTTCTACAAGGGGAGATTGGGCTTGAATCTAATTCGACATGCGAGAACGGCCGGCACGTACGACCATGCCCGAACGTATAGTGAAACAACTCTATACAGTCAGGGATCTTTAATACAATTTGTGCTATTGCGACAAAAGGCACATGGTTTGCATCGTTGCCGCGGCACAACAATGAAAAGAGTCATTGCATCAAAAACAACTCGAATTCATGCCCCTCGTTGTAACCTTTCGTGCTGGGCTGTAGATAACTGGACATGCCGGTAAACGCCTCGATCTCATTTGTCAAATGCGGGGTTCGCCGTGTTGGTAGCCTGTCTGCATCCAGTCTCCAATATGCGAAGCTCCACAACCCATGGCACCGTCCGCAAGCCACAGTGCTTAGCTTCCAAGCTTTGACATATTACTGAACGCCTTAAGTACACCACTTCAAGTAGCACATGGCTATTGTCCATTTCCATCTTGTCCGGCACCATACGATACACCTGCCACGACCTTTTCGTCGCGCATCAGTCATGTAGTACGTCGAGACGTGTCTCTGCGTGTGCAGAAGATACCGAGGTATTGCCGCGCTCTAGTACAGCAAAGCGAGAGGGATCGACATGAACGTTACTCTCCACGCGTGAACCTTGGATCCCGCCAAGTTCAGACCGGGTGGTGCGGGGAAACAGTTCAACAAAGTGCCAGCCAAGGTCTTGACTGCCAGGTGATGAGGACATGCACCGCTACGCATCTGACTTTGTGCATTACGGATGCATCCACCGCGTAGCTGTACCGTTGACGCAGCCCACCATACCCTTGACTTGGCCTCACCAAGCTCTTGTACCCCTGCAGCCGCCGCTTCTGACAACCCAGCCACTGCATTTCCGCCAGCATACGCCTGGTCAGCCGGTGCTGCCATATGACGCCCATGATCTACATAAACTTTTGCCCAACGGATGCGATGCGCAGCCACCAGGATCATCCCGCCGCTATCCTTTAAGCCAAGGGGATTGGCATGCAGCTACACAGTCATCACAGGTACCGTTGGTCTATGCTGTCATCAGTCTCCAGACCGCTTAAATACTGCTGCTTTCCCTTGTACTCGACTGTTGCCGTGCCGTTTTGGATGTGTCTGTAGGTGCTCCATCACAGTGTTTTTCCCACCAGCATGCGGCTCTCCATCGGTATTGGAGCGACCCTGTGCGCGTTGACTGCTTTTGCTTCGAGTGACCGCAACATTATACCGCGCCAGGACAACAGCGACAACACCGACTACAAACTTGGATCTACTCCGCTCAAAACGAATTGGACGGATACTGTCGGAACTAACCCTTGGCCTGAGTACCCGCGCCCACGTCTCCAGCGCCCAGATTGGAAGAACCTTAATGGTGTCTGGCGATATCAAAACACTACCAATGGCTCTGACGCGTCACCGCCATTTGGCCAGAGACTCGGAAACCGAGTCCTAGTTCCCTTCTGCCTGGAGAGTGCTTTGTCGGGTGAGTAACATCAAGTAGCCTCAAGGCAATGGCTAAGACTAGCTTAGGCGTGACTGGCAAGGGACGCATCTGGAGCTGGTACCAAACATCATTTGGAGTTCCATCATCTTGGCCAAGCGACAACAATGTCATCCTCAACTTTGGTGCTGTTGATTACGAAGCCACTATTTTCGTCAACGGCCACAAGGCTGGATTCCACAGAGGCGGCTACTTTGAGTTCAGCGTCGATGTGACGCCGTACTTGAGCTCCAATGGAACGAATGAGCTGTGAGTTCGAACACCCGATGGATCAGCTGGTGTTAATCATCACAGGCTGGTATATGCATATGACCCCACCGATCTGGATCGCATACAGATACCTATCGGAAAGCAAACCTTGACCCGCGGTGGAATGATTTGGTACACGCCCTGCAGTGGCATCTGGCAGACCGTATGGCTCGAGTCTACGCCGAAAGAGTACATTTCCAAACTCGACCTAACGGCGGATATGGATGGCAAAGGTGAGTGTTTTGTTCATACATATTACTATTACGATGCTTACATCTTTAGTCGTCGTCACGGTGCATAGCAGTACAAACTCAAGCAATGCCTATGATATCACCATCCACGAACTGAATTCTTCTGATGCCAAAGCCAAAGCCACAGGCACCAGTGGCAGCCAATTCACCTTTACCGTTGACTCGCCGGAGCTGTGGACACCGGATAGCCCGACCCTGTACAACATCACCATCAAGATGGGCAGTGACACAATCGAGAGCTATACCGGATTCCGAACCATTTCCAGAGGCGTTATCGACGGCGTCCAGCGCCCCCTTCTCAACGGAAAGTTTGTCTTCCCATTTGGCACGCTGGACCAAGGCTACTGGCCCGACGGCATCTACACGCCTCCCAGCGTCGAAGCCATGGTGTACGATCTCAAGGTGCTCAAGAACGTTGGTTACAACATGGTTCGCAAGCACATCAAGGTCGAGCCTGCACTCTTCTACCGCGCCTGCGATGAAATGGGCATGCTCGTGATTCAAGACATGCCTTCTCTCCGCCCAGACCTGCCCGCCCCCCAAGGCTGCGGCAGCATCCGCCTCGAGCCTGGTGCGCAAGCCGAATTCGACCGCCAGCTCGCCCTCATGGTCGAACAGCTAAAATCACATCCCAGCATCATCGCCTGGACAATCTACAACGAAGAATGGGGCCAATCCACATCCCCTCCCTGGCCGGAATTCGCACTCACCGACCTCGTCCGCAAAATCGATCCCACGCGCCTCGTCAATGCCGTAAGTGGCTGGACCGACCACACGGCCGGCGACTTTGACGACAATCACCACTACTCGACGCCACAATGCGGCACGCCCTTCTGGTCCAACCAAGGCAGCGGCTACGACTCAGCCTACGACCCCTCGCGCATTGGCCTGCAAGGCGAATTCGGCGGCATCGGCACCCAGCTACCCGAAAACAACTTCGAGCACGCATGGTTCAAGGATCTGGGTCGCCAGACAGCCTATGAACTCACAAACGGCACCGTCTACTGGAACTACCGCTGCCACGACTTGCTGACCCAGCTCCGCGAGCAAATCGACTTGTTCGCCTGCTCCGGCGGCGTGTGGACACAAACGACTGATGTCGAGGGCGAGGTCAACGGCATGATGACGTATGATCGCAAGGTCGTGCGCATGAACGAGACCATGTGGAGGGAGGATATCCGCGCGCTGTATGAGGCTGCTGAGAAGAGGGGCGCTAATGCTTCTGCTGCTATGGTGATTAGGGATGTGGGTGTCGGGGCGCTGCAGCATGGTATTTTCTAGTCTATTCACAGAGAATTGAAACAGAATATGATATATATATATATAACAATGTCACGTGCAAGGGTCGTAATGGTGCAATGGCAAAGGCGCGGAATGCTAGTATACAGGGGCTACAAAGTTGCCCTTGGAGATTCGTTCATGGGGCATGAATACAGGTGCTGGTACTGCCGCTGACTATACAAATGTTGCTCGAGACTTAGAGCGAAATCTCACCCCGCCATGTACCCTCGGTCAAGCCAAGAGTCTCGATGCAATGCTGCCATCTGGGACCGCCTCTCTCCTTCCTCCTCAAGTACTGCAACAGCTTCTGTCTCCGGTGCACCAGCAGCCGCAGATTGCGCTTGTTGTGCTTGTCGCCCTTTCCACGGGTCTGCAAAAAGTCTGCTAGCGTCTTGATTTTGGCCGTGAGAATGGCAATCTGCACTTCGGACGATCCCGTGTCTGGTCCCACGCGCTTGGCCGTCGCAGCAATGTTTGTCTCAGGGCGGACGGTGTGGGTTTCGTCGACGCCGGACCGGCTGAGCGAGGGGGCCTTTGGCGGGAAGATCTTGTCCGTGTTGTGGCGCCCAAATGTCTCGACGCAGCGTGCAATGTTGACGCGCATGCGGTCTTTGCTGGACCCGTTCTCCAGAGCAGTAATGCGCTTGATGGCTTCGACGGCACGCGCATGGTCTTTTTTGGTCTGCGCCTCAATCTCCTCGGCAGACTTCTCCGCGTCCTGCGTCTGGCCGTACCGTATGGCGTCGCTCCATTGGTAGGGTCCGGGTCCGGGTCCGGCTTGCTTTTTGATTTCACTCAGAGGCACCGCCAGCTTCTCGCTCCGCTGCAATTGGTGCTCCACGGCAGCCGGGTCGAATGCATAGTTGAGGTGCGTCTTGTCCTGCGGAATCTTCCTGCCCTCCTCGTAGGTAATGGGCTTGGCCGTCTCGAAAGACTCGACGAACGGAGTCGATACGCCGCGAACGGGGTTTCCGAGACTGGCTACTCGGCCTTGTTCGAGTTCGGCTCGTCGCGACAGGTTGGCGGCCTTCTTGCGGTTGCGCTGTGCGACAATGTAGGGGTCGCTGGCGAGGCGCTTCTTCTGGCGCTCAGCTGATTCGGCTTGGGCCCGCGATGTCGAGACAAACGTCCGAATGGGGAGGCTGAATTGCGCGGAAACGGAGGGTGCTATGAACGCAATTAGCACAGCACGGGATATTCCAAGAGCGCCGACTCACATGCCGATGCCCGCAGGCACGACAAAGCTGGTATTCGCGGCGGCATGGCTGGCGGGGAACACTCACTGGCACCACCCACACACGCCTTGAATCTTTTGCGGATACCCAAGAGGAGAGCCTTCGGGGCTTTGGTTTCGCCGGCCGCCGGCCGCCCGCTTCGCCGCGATTCGTTTGCGGGCACTAGCGCCACCCACCTTGGAAGCGAAATTCCCACCACCAAAGGTTCCCTGGTTGGAAAGTTCTCTCGCACGCATCACGACAACTTTCTCTAACCCCTCGACCAGCTCGTACAGCGCCAAACCACCCCCGTCAAAATGGCCCCTTCCAACCTCCCCGCCATCTTCAACCCCACCCAGCAGGACATTGAGATGCTCCTCGCTGCTCAATGCCACCTCGGCAGCAAGAACCTCCAGGTGCACATGGAGCCTTACCTGTGGAAGACCAGGCCTGACGGTGTCAACGTCCTCAACATTGGCAAGACCTGGGAGAAGATTGTGCTCGCTGCCCGCATCATTGTCGCCATCGACAACCCAGCTGACGGTACGTTTATAATTTTGGGCGCAACGAGTAGCGGGAAATGCACACCTGAGAAACTATGCGCAAAACAAGGCCGCAGTGGCCCTTTTTTTTGTCTGATTGCTGACACCGAGTAGTCTGTGTCATTTCTGCCCGTCCCTACGGACAGCGTGCGGTGCTCAAGTTCGCCGCCCACACTGGTGCTACCGCCATCGCTGGTCGTTTCACCCCCGGTAACTTCACCAACTACATCACTCGCTCTTTCCGCGAGCCCCGCCTGATTGTCGTTACCGACCCCCGCACCGACGCCCAGGCTATTAAGGAGGCTTCCTACGTCAACATCCCCGTCATTGTAAGCAGTCGAGTGGACGGAATGGTCAAGTGTTTGGGCTAACCGAAATAGGCCCTCTGCGACGGTGACTCTCCCACCGAGTACGTCGATGTTGCCATCCCCACCAACAACAAGGGTCGCCACGCCATTGGTCTCGTCTGGTGGATGCTTGCCCGTGAGGTCCTCCGCCTCCGCGGCACCCTCGCCAACCGCGAGACTGAGTGGGATGTCATGACTGACTTGTACTTCTACCGCGACCCCGAGGCTGAGGAGAACAAGGACAGCGCTGGTGTTGAGGAGGCCAAGGTCCCCGGTGCTGACGAGGTCGGCCCTGGCGCCGTTGCTGACGGATTCACCAGCGAGTGGGAGGTCTCTGGCGCATCTGCCGGTGCCTTCACTGCCCAGGCTGCTGCCGCAGGCACCAGCTGGGACGCTGACACTGCCGACTGGGCTGCCTCTGGTGAGGCCCAGACTGGCGCCGAGGGCTGGGGTGCCGAGACTGCTGCTCCTGCTACCACTACCCAGTGGTAGATGTCGTGTTGAGCATGTTTGTGCATTCTTCTCTTACATACCCTGTCTTTGACACACACCACGGCATGTCGGCGTAGGCGTAGGCAACGGGAAAGAAAAAAAAAGGAAAATATGAGACCAACATTTGACAACGACTCGAGAGAGCAAATGCATGCTTTTGAAGGGACAACAAGGCGTGTTGAGGGATATGATGAATGCTATGCGCTTATGAGGGAAAGATATCCATACTTGTCACGCGGGTATGGGGGAAAGCCCTGTGCTGGCCATCGGCCGTACTTGACTGGCGGCCAGTCCTTCAATGCGAACCTTGTCCCTATAATTCTTTTGACTGCTGCTGTCTACTTGGAACCGTGAACATTGCGTCGTGAAGTGTATTTCGATTATCTTTGTGCGTGATGATGTATACACAGTAAAGGCCAATCAATGTGTTATCATTACAAATCCAAGTCGTTTCCCATATACTATATAATCGTACCATGCCATGTCAAGCTAAGTCAACCCGAAACTATATACATGAGAAAGACTGGTCATGATTAAACCCCCTTTCTCCCAACCTACTCTATAGGTCTCGGGGAGGGAGCAAAGCAATAATTCTCGACTCAGAGCCAAGCAAAAACAGCCAAAACAGCACCAAGCATGACGCCCGTGCTCTTCAGTTCCTTGCCCAGACCAGGCGCCGCCGCGTTGCCAGTTGAATGGGGTGCAGAGGCATCTGCCGTGCCAGACTTGTCCGTGGCAGAGCCGTCGGTTGGCGTTGCACCCGAGCTACCCGACGAGGTAGGGGAGCCGTTGAAGTTGTGTTTCTGGCCCAGGGTCGGAAGGGCCGACGTGGGGTTTACTTCCCAAGTGCCCTTTGTGAAGGCGGGACAGGCGATGGAAGTGTGTGTGGGCTTGTAATCAGAGGCCTTGACGCCCGTGGGGTTCAGTGTTGCCCAGACAGCCGAGAGGTTGGGGAAATCTGGCTCTACTGGTGTGGGCTTACCTGGTGTGGAGTTAGTCATGCACATTGTTTATTTTTTTCATGTAACGTGGACACGGAGATGACGTACCTGAGCGAGGGAAACCATCTGGTGGCGCATCGGGGCTGGACGGATCAACGTGCGGGCCATAGCTTATCAGGCCGTAGTTGTTCTGCTCCTCAATCCACTCGTAGATAATACTTCCAGACCAGACATCGGACATTTCGCCAAACAGGGCCTCTTGGTCCTTGAAGTCGCGTGGCCGCACAGTGTTGCAGCCCGTCTCGGACATGAAGATGGGGATGGGCAGATCGTCGGCGTTCTTCTCGAGATTATCGTAGCCGGATTGCTGATAGGAGCTGTCGCCGCACCAAGAATACGCGTTGAGTGAGAAGAAATCGAGGCGCTCAGAGGCATTGTTGCCGCAGGCGAGGTAGTTTTGCAGCATGGGGCGGAGAGAAGCAATGTCTGCAGCAGAGTATCCGATGGGGATGTTACGGTAGCCTTTTTTGTCGCGATAGGCTTTCATGTCACGCGCGGCGGCCTTGATGTAGGGGGACGTAACGGAGCCGTTTCCAGTAGTGATGGCTTCGTTGCCGACAAAGAACCCCGCTACATTGTCGTACTGGTGGAACTCGTCCATGACTTTGGCGTAGGCATCGCGCTGGTCATCTTCCCAGCGGGGAGTATTTTGCTCGACATACGTGTCGAAAGTGTCGAGGTCCACCCAGATGTAGACTGTGCAGGTTAGTATTGTGGCAATTTCAAAGTCCTAGTATACGTACTTCCAGCATCTGCAAAGGCCTTCATGCAGTCGGTGTGGTCTGCCGTGGCATCAACATGGTAGACACGGATGGAGTTTGCGCCAATGGTCTTCATGAGGGCAGAGTCGAGACCGCATTGCTTCGCGTCGATAAGAGGGTCATCTGGGACCAGTTGGTACGCAATCCCTGTTTTCAGTCAAAAACGCCCATCTTCCAATTCCACCCCGTTGAATCGTGTAAGCGCACCCTTGACGAAGAATTGATTGCCCTCGCTGGTAAAGAACTTGGAGCCCTTGACCTCGATTGTGGGAATGGCCGAAGCGGCAGCACTCAGGCTGGCCAACAGTGCCAGCGATAGCGACCGAACCATGGTGTATTGAACGATTGGACAGTTTCCGGTGTTTTCTGGCTGCAAGAGGAAGACAGGCAACAACCACCAGGGGGACTCGCTCGAGTGGAATTATCGAGCAGCAAACAAACGCGCCGCTAATTGCAGAACCCACGACCAGGCGCAGTGAAAGCAGAGCGAGCGAGCGAGCGACAGCCAAGCAGAGTGAAACGACTGGAGTACAACAAAAAAACGAGCGATGTGCACCGGGAACAAGCAAGCAAGGAGGAGAGAAACAAGAGCGCACCGGCGCGTTGTTTATCAAGCAGCGTGCAAAGTCAAGAATCAAGGCAGGCACGCGAGCCTAAAACAGCGTGTCCCAGAGGCCCTCCCCCCCCACACGCAGTCGATCCTTCCAATCTCCATGGCGCAGGCGTGGGCGTGCGCTCGCGAACAAGCCCCAAGCGTGTGATTTGAATGTCGATGCATCATGTCGCCGCCGCGTAGGCCGCTTTCACTTTTTTTTCACGCTGGGCTAAGTAAGCGGCTCCAGTGGTTGGCATGAGCAAGGTGGAGAGGCAGGCCGGGCCAAGTGGAGAGGCGCGATATGGATGGGCGGGTAATTGGCTGGGGGTCGGGGGGGGGGCACATTTAAGCTATCGGGCGCGCAGGCTTGACGCGCCTAAGCGGCACACGGCAAGACGCCGTGTTTTGCTTCTGGCCATGGCAGACACGCTTGTCTATACACTAGATGCCGTGCTTGCTTAGGCACAGCGCTAATCACGTTCACCATGACAAGTACATGTGTTGTTGTGGCCTTGGCTGCAGACAGACTATGCTGCTGTCCCATGTCACGTGCCCGTGCAGCCTACTGGAGCTCTAACCAGTGGCTGCGCTGATTGGGTAGAGCACCCCCCGATTCTGATAGGCTGTGTGTAAGATAACGTCACGTGATAGATGACAACCGCCCCTCCCCCTCCTTTGCCCTTCTGTGTCTCCCGTAATTGCAAACGTCGAAGATAAAGAACACCTGATTCAAAAAATAGCCAATGTGTGCAGTATGTGCGTCGGCTGTTAGCTTTAACAGTATCTACACTAAAATAGAGGTTACCCTGTATGAAGTTGAGTATATCGAATATTAACTAGTCTTCTCTTACGCCGTATACGTTCCAATACATCTAAATGATGTAGTGCTCGTAAAACAAAAGCTTCAGATTCAAGAATGATTCATTAGACCAAGCCCCTACCACTAACTGGCCCAGTGTCGACCAGCAGTGATTACAACAAAGCAACTGCGCACTCGAAGTACTAGGCTATACTACATACGATGAACTCGGAACTATGTAAGTTCACAAAAGGAGAAAAGGAGGGTTGGACAAGGCCGTTGGTTATGGTGTAACAATACTATGTATATATATATATATATAACTATATAATTCCACAATATCAAAATGCAAAATACGCAATATGATACGATAAGAAAACCATTGCAACAAAACATCATACAACGCGGTGGTATAAGCTTCACACCGTACCATATACCTTTGCACGCAAGCCTTCTCCAAGACAAGTACGGAGTAGTAAGAATATATCAATACAACAGCTACATAACAGTAGCACTTATAGTACGGTAGTCTATTGAACAACATAGGACCAAGAGAGAAAAACAAAAAAGCAACAACAACAACAACAAGCCATGTTTTTCTACCCAAAGCTCTCAGCACGCCGCTCACGCTCCGCACAGCCGCTCTCGACAACACCGCGCATGCGCACCAGCAGCTCTGCGACGCGAAACGGCTTACCAACCACATGGTCCATGCCGGCTGCCATGGCGGTATCAATCTGCTGCTGGCGCACATTTGCCGTGACACCAATCACGGGGATGCGCGCCTTGAGCAAGCCCTGTTGTTCCAACTTGCGGATTTCCGAAACGGCAGTGAGCCCGTTCATAATGGGCATTTCCCAGTCCATGAGGATGATGCTGAGGTCGACGGGAGGCGCATCGTCGTAACCCTCGGGCATGGGCTCGGTGCAGGGCACGTGGCAGGGTTCTTTGCGCACAATCGAAATGGACAAGGGGTGCTCGTGGTTCCAGAAGACGGTTTTTGGGAGGAATTCTAGGGCTTCGCGGCCGTGGTTGGCGACGCTGACAATGCACCCGAGGCTGCGGAGTTGCTTGGCGAGGACGCGCTGGTTGACGAGGTTGTCTTCGACGACGAGCACGTGGAGGGTTTGCGGAGCGCTTTTGATGGCCTTTGGCGCGCGGAACTCGATTCTTGGAGATGGGCTGGGCGACTCGGAGCCAAAGTGGAAGCGGTTCATCGAGGATTGTATTGCAGGTACTGTTGGGAATTGTCGTACTGTTGGAGTGTCTTCGCTGCTGAATGTGCGCAAAGGCGGCGGAGGCCGCGAGGAGTTTACTAAAGGTCGGTGTTTGACATCTTCAGGGAACACGTGCGGTAGGCTCCCGTTTCGCGTCGGGTTAGGAATCGTTCGCCTAGTTTTGATGTAGAATGAAAAGGTGCTTCCTTTCCCAGGTTCACTCGAAAGGCCGATGGCACCGCCTTGCAGTTCAGTCAGGCGCCGTGAGATGAACAAGCCCAAACCAGAGCCTCCGTAATTGATGTGAGTGCGAGGCGAGGCTTGGGAAAAGCGAGTAAACAAGGTGCCCCTTTCCTCTTCGGAAAGGCCGCGGCCAGTGTCTGTGACGGAGAATTGCAGGTATATCAGATCGGTCGTGCGCTTCCAATCGTCTTCAAGATGTTGGTCATGCTCCACCAGCTTTTCCTCGTTGAATTGGATACCTCCCGGTACCGATGTAGGCTCGGCCACGCTCGCAGAGAGGGCAATCCTGACCGACTTTACCCTTTCAAGGCGCGTGAATTTGATGGCGTTAGTGATGAGATTGATGAGAATCTGCAGTACTCTGGTCGGATCCAGCGATGTCCAGTCAATCTCCAGATCGCGGTAGGACTGGTCAACCACCAACGAAAGATCAACCCCTGCAGCCTTTGCTTCCCCCTCGAACATTCTGAGGGCATGTCTCGCCACGTTCTCAGGTTGGGTGACTACCGGAGTCATGTCGAGAAGACCCGAGTCGAGTTTTGATATCGTCAGAATATCATCTACAATATGCCTCATGTGCTGAGCGCACTGGGCGATGGTCTGCGCAGCGTCCAGTGTGGAATCCAGGAAAGGCGATGGGCCGCGCGTAGTCAAGGCATGATGTTCATTGTGTGTAAAGGCAGATATGATGGAGTCTGCACATTGCATAATGGCACTCAACGGATTGCGCATCTCATGCGAAGTAGTGTCGATAAAGTGCTCGAGATGCAGTTTCCCCTGTAGGGCACTGTCGGTGCGAGACTTTTGGATGCCTTCGGACCATTTTTGTCTCGAAATGTCGATAACATTGCCGACTACCTCTATCAGTTCGCCGTTGGGTCCCATCTCAGGATAAGCCGAGCACAGGATCCATCTGAAATGCTGCGCGTCCTCCGGCAGTGTTTGACTAGCTTCTGAGGGTGGCAGCCACGGTATTCTTGTCCGCAGCTCGAAACAGACGTTTTCGTGATTCACGACGAGCTTCTCAAAAAGAGATTCGCAGTAGGCTAGGTCCTCTTCAAAACAGATCATATTCCATGCCTCAACAGCAGTGACGGCTAGCTTGGCGATTTCAAACATCTCGTACCAGCGGTGGTTCCGATACGTGTACTCGCCGGCGGGAGTGGCTGTGAAAATGGCAACATCGGAGCGCTCTGCGAAGCGCTGGAATTTGCCTTCTTCGAGTTTGATTTCAGCCATGAGCTGTGCTTGAATCTGTGCAGCCTGCGCTATAGTGTTTTCTCGTTGCCGAATTTCCTCCTCAAACAGGACGACTGACGCAAGTGACGTGCCGAGCAAGCGGACCATGACCTGGAGATATTGCAGGTAGTCCTCGTCAAAGGGCCTGCGGGGATTGAGTCCAATAATCAGAAAGCCTTCGACCTGGTTTCCAGTTGTGGGAACAATAGGGCAAACGACAGCGGTGTGACAAGGATCACCATAGCCCCTCCATTTGATCCCTTCCAACGCAACATCAGCTACTGGAAGTTGCTTCAGATGCACAACTGTCGGTTCTCTGGATTCTGCAGCGCGACGTATGAATGGATGGAGAAAGTAGGAATCATCGTTGATGTTGATGGTGTTGGGGGCGATTGGATGGCCCGCCTCAACACCAACAGTACCTTTGAGCACGCAGCCTTCTAACGGCGGATTGCTGCCCGGGGATGAAATCGGCGACATCTCAGCGCGCACATGGCGCTCAGCAGCATACAACAGAGCAAGTGGCACATCCTTGTCGTTCAGACTCAGAGTGCTCAGCGTGGCGTCCCAGAAAGAAGGAATGTTCCTCGCATTGGCATTATGGCTGCCCATTTCCACCAGACTCGAGACACGGCGCTCGAGAAGACGGTGTCCCGTCACTTCAAAGAGCGTCTGGTAGTAGGCTGTCTGGTTGCGACAGCGATCCATTATGGGTACAAACTGAAAGGACCAGTGCGTCTCTTCGAGATAACCGTCTCTTTCAATGAATATCAGCATATCGGATTCATCCATGGGCTCGCCCGTCTCGTGCAGGTGCTGGATAAAGGTCTGGAGCGCAGGCCAGTGCTCCGGTACCTGGGTGCGAAAGCTTTTGCCCATGCAGGGATGCAGACTGCCGAGTAGCTGAATGTATGGCTCGTTGTACAGCATGATGGCGTCCTCGCCCCAGTACAGAATGGCAGGGGCACTGTTGCTCAGGACCATGTTGGCCATGCAGCCCAAGTCGGCCGACCACGACTTGATGGGCCCCAGGGGCGTGCTGGCCCAGTCTACACTGTGGAAATAGTCGATGTGGGACCTGGGGCTTGCATCCGATAGGACACGAGGCGAGGTATAGTCGCAAGGTCGCCGTCCAGCACATGATGGAGCAGAAGAAGAATGCCTGCTGGCCACAGGACTCGCGGGCAGTTGGACTGGCAGCGAGGGGGTGGTGGGCGATATGTCTCTGCCATGTCTGGTGGCCTCGAGCTGATTCTCTCGACTGTTCTTGCGGCTGGTCCTGCCGCCCTGGCCTGGGTTCCTCCACATCAGCAGCGTAGGCATGCCGCTGATGATCCTGTAGCCGCCAATATCGAAGGCATACCACACGTGGCCTTCGAATGTGTAGGCGCATCCGGGCGCTTGGACGTCGTCATGGTGTGCAGTTCCCCGGACCCAGTCTCTGAAGGCCATCTGCGCGGCGGCCAGGAGGCTGATGGAGTCGCAGCCCCTGATCTTGGACAGCAGCCCGGGCACCGCATGCAGAGCGGCGTTGGAGTATGCGAGGGCGAGCGGCTCATCGTGGGCCGAGGGCGAGGGCGATTCGAGGGCGAACGAGGGGCGTCCGTCGGCATCCAGGGCATGCAGGAGAGTCAGGGCGGCCAGGCCGGGCTTGATATCGTGGTCGGAAGCAGCGTGCATGGGCTGCTGGGGCTGTCCGGTCGAGTCCATGGGAATAGGCGCCCGCGCAGCATGGGGCGCTTTTGCTCGTCAGACGCGCCCTCTTGCTCAGTAAAATGCGCGTCTGACGATGCTGGTATCAAGGAGAAGGCCGCTGAGTAGCTCGGCGCCGGCGTCCTTGGAAGCTAACGCGTGCATTGTCGCCAGTGCCAGTCGGCCTCGGCCCGCTAGGCTGGGTCGCCCTCTTACTCTGGCCTCCGCCTTCCGACGGTACGGTGATGCGCCGTCTTATTGCCGGCGGTCCACTTTCTCCTTCATCGCCGTCGCATCGTGGCTCCCGGGGCCAGGGCGATGGATGCGGTGTGGAGACGACGTGACGCTGCGAGCATACGATTGCGATCCCCTCGTTGCGGCTCCTGCGATGATCTGCCCGCTCCCATCGTGGATCTGCACAAGGGGGCAACCCCACATGTAACCCTCCACACCAACGTCGGGGCACTATCAGCTATGGTTACCTCGACACATGTCTGGCTGATAGCAAGCCGTGTACTAGGTGTAGCAACAAGACACTATGTACACGCAACCAAGGCGACGTCCACGTTGGCTTTCAGGGGAGCGCCTGGCAAGACGCTGCTCCTTTCGGTGCTGGTTGGCACCCATGATTCCGGGGCAGCCGAGGCTATGGCGGGCAGAACGTGTAACAGCTTGTGCGCAGCTCATGCGTCTTGCAGCGGGTGGCACGGGGGATGAAGCAGAAGAGGACATCGGTGCAAGACACGGCCAGTGGGCGCAGAGGGACAGATGATATACTCTTCTTGGGAACAGCAGCTGGATACGGGCTTGTTTGCGCGCTATGACATATCTCGCTGTAAGTACCCTCGCCCCGCCATTCATGTTGAGAAATGTTTACCAGCAGTCTCCGAGGAGGGCACCGTACGCTACTTATTCCAGTACTAATCTTCAAACTCGCAAGCGGCTTGCTCAGCAGACTCTCCGCGTTGCTCAACAAGCCTGCAGTGGTTCGGAGAGAAGATTCGAGCAGAGAATATGACAGCGGGACGGTTTTGCGGTGGACATGCCAGCGACAAAGGGTGTGTTGGTAATATAACGTGGCTCGACCACCATGGCTTCAGCATAGCAATGTATCTATGCTGCTGATGTCTGCTATCTACCAACGAATATCAGTCAGCACAAGTCTACTCTGCATTCAGCCACGCACGCAACATTCCACTGATTCCAATAACTCTGCATCGAAGCCATTTAGTCAGACCATGTCCGTGGAGTAATACGCCTGCTCACATCGTACCGTGCGCCTGCCCAAGTGCGCAACAACCCAGCTCGCACTTGTTACCTCAAACGGCCCTTAACTTCCTGTTGATAATATCATTGCTTCCCGCTGCATGGGCCAAAACAAAGGACAAAAGGCAAAAAGTGGAAAGGCGAGGCGAGGGAGGGCCCGCAACGTCATTTGGGCTTGTCGGTGCCCGCGGAACAGAAACCTCGTTAGCGGGCGCCGATCGCTGGGGGGGTTAGCGCAAAGTTTAACACGGCGGCGGGACGACGTGGCCGATATAAGGCATGGGCGGTCGTTACCAATGAATTGGGCGTCGCCTTTTCGCCCGGGCCATTTGCCTTTTCCGAGATAAATGCCCATGGGGTTGTTGCCCGTGTGATGGGGTAATGTTCAGGGGCTTGATGCGTGCAAGCAAGCAGCTTTACATGGTACCGTGTGGAGGGCTCTCGACTCGAGTACAGTAGCCCCAAGTCTGCCATGCCTCGTTTCCAACCAACCCTGATTGAACCACCATTGACTGTCCGAATCAAACTGAACGACAAATTCATGTCTGCACTGTATCGCACCAAGAAAAGAAATTGCTCTTCTTAATTCCCAATGTATTATCCTCGGTGCCCACTTTGCAATATTCGACACCCTGATCAGCATATCGTGTTTCGCATCTCATTTCCAGCATCAATGCGTCCTCGTATTTCGTGGCGGGGTCTTCTCCTAGGCGTTTGGTTAGTTGTCAGGCTGCCCATCACCTCCATCAGCAGCAGCCACAGCAGCGGCTGAGGCGTAGACTGATTGGCATGCGGTACAGCCAACATGGCTCGGGACGCAGCGCGAGCAGTGGCCGTTGCGGCTGGTCCCGTGGTGGCACTGCTGTGGCCCTGTGTCTGCAAAGATGGATACATGTTGGATTTCGGGGCTGATGGATGCGTCTGGTGTTGGTTTGCTGCCGAGGTAGATTGGCAGTGGTGAGATGACTGGACAGAAGGTCAGTCTGCATACGGGGTGAAAAGAAATCTGTTGGCTATAGGCCGACATATGTCACTAAGAATATGATATTCTGTTGCAAGGCGCTTGTGGTGTGACAGTTTTGTGCCCTGTCGCGTCAACGGACATAGGTATGCTCGGAAATAACATAATAGAGCATCCAGACCATACATGGAGTTAAGAGTCGCTTTTCTGTTGCCGATCCTAGCGACAGCGATACAATATTGATGGCGCCATGTCTTAGTATGTGACGAGTTTTGGCTACGCCGCAGGCAGCACACCAATGCTCGGCCCGAAGCTACGGCGCAAACAAGACGAAATTTTCCATCGGGCGGCCGCTTCTGTAGCCGTGGTGGGTGGAAATCCATGTCTCGGAATGTCTTACTGTGGGCGGCTATCCTTGTGTGACCAAAGCCACGTTGTTCAGACAAGTGTTGGTAACCAACGACCGTTCCTGCAGCCGTTGGAGGGAAGGCGAGTAGCCACCAGAATGTCTTAGTCTGCAACAATAACCGTCCCACTGGGCTGACTAAGGGCATAGGCGCTGGCAAAGAATAGAACGGTGACCGAAAACCCCTTGTCTTCGTGATGTGCACGAGGGCGGCCGAAGCCAGCGCATGCAAAGTACACCTGGGTTATGGGTATGGCTGCCAAAGCTTGACGTGTGGTGGATGTGTAGACTGGGATAAAGGGCCACGGGCTGCAGGAGTCAGGCGGTTATCGAACGAGTCATAGTAGTCCGAGGACATTCTGGAGACGCCAGCTGGTGCTAGTGCGTTGGAGAGCTGAGACGGCTGTGTACGCCTGAACCTGAGACGGTGGTAGCAGAAGAGACGGTGCCTGAGCCAAGACATGGGAATAGAAACTTTTGCAGCGGCGGGCCAATCATGTGCGCGCAGATGACTAGCGCAAAAGAAATGGTTAAAGTGCTGAGGTGAGAAGTGGCGGCGAGGTGGCTTGCTCAGCGGCGCTTGCGGAGCTGGGTTGCGATACAGCCGAGTCATTCTCCAGATGGCATAATTCATCCAAGAGACGGATTGACATGGTGACGGCGGGGACGCGTGACGTCGGCGCAAGGCTGCAGCCGCGACGTGACTTGTGCAAGCTGTGGCAGCGTCGTGTGGGCGGCGAGGCTGAGGGCTGTGTGGGCGGCCATGGGACAAAACCAAGCCAAGGCAAGGCCAGCAGCCACGGCATGTCGGGCAGCGAAAGTAGATGAGCGGGTGCACAGTGTCGTCATGGCGATTGGAGGGAGAGAGATGCCGGTGATAACGACGTGGGTGTGATGACAGTTTTTGGCGAGGCAGATTCTTGGTGGTTTGGCGTTTGGCCTAGCACGAGAGCTAGCCAAGCAGCCTGCGCTAAGTTTAGCTACGGGAAGGACCAGCGCGCTAGGCCGGTTTGGGCGGACCAGTGAGTGCAGAGTGCGAGCGAGTGAATGTGTGTGTGTGTGTGCGTGCGTGTGCGTGCACCCCCACCAGCGCAGGAGGGATGGATGCAGCGGCAAGTGGATATGTGTATGTACGTAGTAGTCTGTGGTGGGAAATTTGCATGTCATAATATTGGCCGATGCACACAGACACACACGCATACAGTACAGTGTACTGTAAGCGACGCGGTAGAGGTCGAGGGGAGGGGGGGATGCAAGAATGGGCGGGCTCGAGCAGCGGGGCCTGCACGTGCCCATCTGTGATTGCATCTGAGATGAGGGCCCGAGCGTCCCAGCCCAAGCTCCCCCCCCCCTTGCCCTTGTGCTTGTGGCCCGCCCAGGTCACGTGCGCCAAGGAGCATCCTCCTGCTGCTGCCCACCGCTGCCCACCGCTGTCCCCCCTCCCCCTCCCCCCCTCCCCCCCTCCCCGCTGGCTGTCACTGCTACCGCCGCCGCCGCCGCTCCTGCGACTGACACTCTTCCCAGAGACCTGTTTACGGGGACGCCGACCCCGACAGCCCGTCAACAGGTATCCAGAGCCCATCACATACTCGTTTCACGTCATGTCGGAGCAGGCGAGGGCCTCGAGTTTTGGCATCCCCAGCTGCCAGAGCGGCATGTCGCGCTGCGTGCCGTCGTGTGCCGTGCCGTCGTGGTTGCATACATGGAGAAGCTCGTCATGGTAATGATGGCCCCAGGCAATTTCTCTCCATGTGTTGCCCGGAGCCACTTCGGCATGATTCATGGCCTAACGAGGGCCAGGCAGGAGTCTGGCCATAGCAGAACTTGGCTGAATCGTGCCATGTGTGCGGGACGGCAGCTCCCTCGCTCACCCTACTGTGCCAGCTACATACCTCCAGCCTCTTCGTCTCCGCAACCCGGCCGCCCTCTACAGATGGCCCGCGGCGCAGACGGCATCTGGCACTGGCACTGGCACTGGCACTGGCACTGGCACTGGCACTGGCTCTGGCTCTTGTTTGGCGAAAATGCTGCACTCGACTTGGACGGCGGTCCGTCCCGAATAGGGAACTAACGCGAACCAAGGCCTCGCTCCTCCACCGTGGAATTGCTATTTCCTCAACGCATCCCCACTAATAGCCTGTCGTGCTGCGAGAGACTTGGTGTACGAGCGGGCCAACGGCTATCGCTTGTACGCCTACATATGGTCGCAAGCGCACGCCTACGGATTGGCCAAGCTGGAGCGCACAGGTGTGTATATCGGGTAGGGTCAAGACTTTGTGGCTTCTTGGTCCGCCACCTGTCATGTCCACAGCTCCGCCGTCGCATGCCAGATAACTCGCCAAGTGGAGTCATCTGGCAGGGGGCGTTATCCATGCCAGATGTCTGCGTTCATCGAATGCTACCCAAGAGATGGGAGCCATAGCACGCAGGCATCGCAAAACACTGCTGCAGCAGCTGCAGCATCCCGACGGAGCGTGTTGCCCGGCAGTCTGTCTCTTGAACAGCCTTGCTGCTGCTACTACTACTACTACTACTACTACTACTACTACTACTACAACTACTACTACAACTACTACTACCACGGGCCCTGCTGCATGTCACTGGGCCTTTGGCCAGCAGGTGAGCATAGCATCGCACGGTACAGATGTGCTGCGTCGTCGGCTTTGGCCAGGCCCATTCGCCGTGGTATTGTCCTAGGGACTCGTGTCGCCAACTACGCTTGAGCAAAAACAGCAAATGGCATGGCCTCGACAGTATGCAACCCACACCCAGGCGACGACGTCTTTGTTCCTCGAATCGCGAGAGCCGCCGCGCACCCGTTGCATTGTTTAGGGTGCGGGCAAGTGGCCGTCATGGCATATTCCGTCAGAGCAGACTGCACTCGCCTGCTGAATTACGCGCCGGCCTTGCAACTAACACGACCCGGTCATAACAACGTACAGACTCGACGGGTTGGCATTCGCTTGCCCTTGTCACGGCGCAGGCTGCTGACTGGGATGCGCGCAACCCATCGTCTCGGTTGCGAAGGAGCTCAGCCCATTTTGAAACCGACAACGGTCCTGGCCCGACAATCAGGCTCACGAATGTCCGAATATTGCAGCAAACCGCGAAGTGTCCGTGGGCAGCCGAGAAGCATGGTGAAGCGCAGCGAAGCGCAGCGCAGCGCATCGCGGCTCTGCCGGCTCATGCCATGTCGCCCACGTCTTGACACGCAGCAACCCCGACGCGCGCACATGCACGAGGAGCTTGAGCCATGCAAACCGGTGAAGCGTGTGATGTCCCCAAACTCGAGGTCCATGTCATGCCTGGCCACGCCCACGGCGATCTGCGCCAGAATAGACGGCGGGCTGGTCGCATTTGTGCTCAGCGGCCCCGGAAGGCTGAAAGGCTTGGGAACACAATGACCAAGCTTTTGCGCGAGCCGACACACTAGGCATGTCAGGCCTCCCGCCTCACGCGTAGGTAGCCCTGCGCCCATGGCGGGCATGCTCTTTGTGTGGAGATTGGGCGAGGACCAGGGCCTGCGGGACCCTCTGGAGGGGGACGACGAGGGACTGCTTACCGTGCTTATGCTCTGGCTATCTGGCCCGCCGGCGAATGGCGACGTGTAGCGCGGTCGACGAAACAGCACGCCTGAACAAATGTGCCTTTGCACACACACACACACACACACACTGACTGTCGACTCACTCCGAGTCCTGTCCCGTACACACACGCACACACCCAACCATCCGTCTCCCTGTCTGTGTGTGCGTGCGCAAGTACATGGGGTCCTGGCAACAAGGCTACACGCGAGGCTACTACACACTTACACATCTGCCGCTACGCACCCACACCTGACATTCCCCACCTCCACCAATGGCCACGCCTCGCAGCGCAAAAGTCTCGGGCATATGGCTCTCTGCCTCTGCAGGGCACGCCATTACTCACCGTGGTTCCGTGGCCTTTGCTGCAAGGGGCATCGCCCCTCGTCGTCATGGCAGCAACCCTGTGTTCTTGTGGCCTCTCCATACATGGCTCTAATCCATACCTACATACATACTACCTACATACTACCTACATGTAAGCTGCAGGACGGTGCGCCATTGCCGGAGGGCTGAGCACCGTCATGCTCCACGCCCAGTCTCTATTTCGGGTCCTCGATGGCTTTCCCAAGCCACGCTCCTCTGAGGAACCGATGCAAAGACCGAGGCGGGAACGGTCCGTAGCCTGGCCACTCACCATCCTGGCCCGTCCCAATTATGGCGCGCGGGCGCCTTTTGGCCCAATCTTCATGACGGAACCGTTCCATGGCCAGCCCGCAGCCATGCCCGCGGGCTCTGGCGCATGCTTTCGCTATACACCTGGCCCATGCGCTCACCATGGCGGATCCCCTGGCTCCCCCCCCCATGCCTACACACTCTTTTGCACCCTGCCCGCTCGCAGCCTCGACCATGTACATAGGCCTCCTGCTTCGGGGTTGGCTCAGGCACAGCCCGCAGATATTTACAGTCTTCTCCATACACTGATCCGGGCGCAGCCCTTCTCTCCTCTCCAATTGTCACAAATGCCTTGTTTTGGAACGGCCTCCTTTCCCCTTCTGGTCCTCTACACACCACGTTAAATTACCACCCCTGGCAAGTGTTTCTTAATTCAACTCTCCTACCCTCGCTTGCCTATCACTGTCCTGGGGGAACTCCGCCGACTCTTCCAAGACATGACCACTAGCCCATAGCAGTCTGCCCTCCACCCACATTTGGATCTTTTTGCCTCACCTCGACTGCTTCCCCACTTGAGCCTCCCATCTTTGCTAGTCCCGCTGTCTCGGTCTTGGATATATACCACCCATCGCCACCTTGGTCAAACATGTCCGAACCCAGCAAGACAGGAGGCCTCCCACTGGATCCCACTACCACCAACCCACCACAACTCCAAGGCACCACCACGACTCCTCCACCAACCTCTCTACACATCCAACACTACAACACGCTGTCGACCAACAACCGTCCCAAGGTCCCGAAAAAGACTAGCCCTCGCCGTCGCCTTGTGACTAACCACCACGACGAACCATCACTCCCCCACATTAGCTCCTCTCGTTCTGAGCAACAGTCAACTGCCAGTCCTACCGACATGGCGTCTCACATGCCGCCTGTTCACTACACCAAAACCGGTCGTGTCAGTAAAGCGAAGAAAGGTTTGAAGGTGCACAAATGTGACGTCTGTGGCAAGGTAAGCCCAACTCTTCCCATCCTGCAAACAGGCCCCACGCCGTATGCGTCTCGTAGTACTCTACCCTCCTGCTAACCACGACTAGTCTTACACACGCGCTGAGCATCTAAGGTTAGCCCAAGCTCATGATTAAGCGAACCGTTCTAATGGCTTTTTCTTAATGCAGGCGACACAAAAGGAACCATGCGCCAGACGACGCACTGGTCTGTGAAGTGTCTGGATGTGGCAAGATGTTCCACCGCATGGATCTTCTTGTCCGGCATCAGGAGCGGCAGTACGTGAGACCCCAGCCGCTTTTGAGCTCTCTATACTCACATGCTTGACAGCAACGAAATGGGACATGATTCGGGCCGTCAAAGCCCAGCGCAGTCTCCAGTTCCCATGACCGTCTCAACCCCCGCTCTCGAGCCTTCCATGCTGAGCGCTGCAACCGCTTTGCCAGCCCACCCATACTATCAGCCCGTCTCTCCTGCACTTGAGTCGGCGCCGCTTCCAAGGTATAATTACGCTCAGTTTCGTACTCCTCGAACGCCTCAGACTTTTTCGTCAAATTTCAATGTTCCTCGTTCTTCTCCACAGTCCGTTTTCAGCCCCAAGTGAGTTTCATTGTAGCACGCTTCCCGTCTTTCAATACTGTTCAGTCCCTACCATTGCGCACGTGCTGACATGCTCAAGCCAATCTAAACACCGTGGTCTGCAATTTAGTCGCCAGCTGGGGCCGGCCTCAGTGCCCGTCGATGTTCCAAGCCTCTGGCCTGAACCATACAGCCCTAACCCTGGGTACTCGTCGTCTAGTGGTTACGTATCGCCGATTGCACCGACCGACTATCCAGTATTTAGCAACACACCTTACCACCGAACACGCACTCCTTCAAACGCATCATGCATCGATCAGCCTGGGTGGTCGTTTCCATCACGGTCCCCTGCTTCCACGACTTCGACCATGGCCTTTACTTGGCCTTCGACAGAAAAGGGGCACACTGCTCCGGGCCTTGCATACATGCATACTACTTGCCCAATGACTAGCATGTCGATGACTAGTAGCTTCGACGGAATGCCTGACTTCGGCCACTTTGGCGCAAAGAGCATGGCGCAGAGAGATGAAGAGGAGGCGGCAATTATTTTTGGAGATCAACAATACGGTATGCCTTCGATCGACAACACCTATCCGTTTGAGCAATGTCTTGACAGTTACTCGAGGCTCTTTCATCCCGCTTTCCCCGTCGTCCATCGATCTGCCCCTGTGAGCTCATCGCCAATGCTGTACGCAGCCATGGCAGCCATCGGGGGTCAGTTTTCGCACGATACGAACATCAAGAAGCAGTCCCGAGACCTTCACGACCGGTGTGTTAAATTGCTTGAACGGGTAGGTTGATTGTACGGGCTATTGACCCTTGACTAACGAGTAGCAGCGCGACTATGAGGCCATGACCGAGGCCGACCGACTATGCGACTTTCAAGCAATGTTTCTTGTTGAGGTCATGTCGCAATACCGTGCCCGTCGAGCTGGCAAAGTCTTGTCATCTCGATTCGAAAAGGTCTATCACAGAGTGCGTTAGTCTCGGTCCGCATACCGCAAATAACTAACCGGCACAGGCTGCCGATGACTGTAGATCCACTACGCTGTTATTAGGTGACATTTTGTCTTCTCTCAACCAACTCGGAGATGTAACGCCAGAGCTCTGGCATCAATGGATCGAGCTGGCGTCCTGGCAACGCCTGCTCCTGTCTTGTTACATCCTCGAGTCTCAACAGGCCATACTACTCGCTCGCAAACCTCTTCCTTCACTTTTCCAAGGCACAGCCTTTGATCTGCCCTTTCCCGCGCACGTCTCGCTATGGGATGCCACTGATTTTCCATCATGGGTAGCAGCAGCTCGGCAACATTCATACACTCCTACATACGTTTACGAGATAACACCAGACTCAACTTCCGTCTCTCTCGACAGTTTTCAGTCGGCTGTCCTGCTGGCCTCTCAGTACCAGTGCCCTAAAAACTCTTCGTACATTTCATTACCAACAGCCTCAGACATGGAGCACCTTTTTTCTACGACGCCCGCCACCGCGCGGACACTTTCTACATCCAAACTCGTGCAGGTGACGCCTCTTCGTGCACTGCTAGCCGTCGCAGGCGAGTCTTGGATTCTTTCCGAAAAGGTCGAAACAGCGCAACTGTTCACCACACTAAAACGGACTCTTCGAACATGGGTGTCTCAGCTCTGGTCTCCTCCTGCTCCGGACGCCGTACCAGTCAAAGAAGCCGTGCGGCTGTCGATTGAGATTCTGCAGCAGGCACTCCAGGAGCAGAGACTGAGTGTATTACCAGAGATTGGGACAGATATGGGCATATTCTTCGCGGCTTTGGTATTATGGGCTGCCACGGTTGCCGCCACTACTCGCTTGAGCGGGCCACGACCAACAGAAGCACAGCAGCAGTGCCAATCCGATGCCCTACCTAGCTCCAGCTCGACGAACAAGGCTCCTCAAGCAGCGCCATGTGATCAAGCGCCCGATCGACCTTCTACGCGCACAACTGCCGGATGTGTCTATCAAAGCAACGCCGGCGGGCCACCATCTCCCATCATCGAAGCCACACCCGAAAATCCCATTCTATCACATGCGCAAATCACCATCAACACTATCTCATTCCTCAACTCCGCGCAGCTTACTTATTCCAATGCCGCAACCACGACATTATCTACAGCCGACCATTTGCGTCATCAAACCGGCTGCATAAGTCTCCTTCTTTGGGTGAAACTGCGCCTACGCGGTGTTTCTCTCGAGGATCAGCACGTCGCTTCCGATACTTGGCCATCTCAGCCTGGCGAGAGCCTTGGCGAACTTCTTGATGGAGTTGTAGGATCGCTTGAGCGCATCTTGAGTCGTGGGTGGAGTGGATGGGGTATTTGATTCAGAAACCCCTCTGCTTTACTTTCTTCTTCATTCTTCTTCTTCTGCTTCTTTTCCAACTTTTTGCATCTTTGCAATTTTTTCTCCCTTCTTCTTCTTCTGTGCCAATACGCAGCTTCTTTTTCTTCTTCTTCTTTTTTTTTCTCCTTTTCACTCTCAGTCGCTACTTCTCATGCTTTGTTACGAATTGCTGTCTGCATAGCGTTGCGTCGCTGTATGACCTCTTTTTTTCTTTTTCTTTTTTTGGCGGGGCTTCTTTTACGCAGACAAGAAAGCCCCTCCCATATACGACTTTTATGATTTGACTTTTTGTTTGCTCATCTTTGGCTTAACGGTGGATACCCCTGATGTTACTACTTCTATCTCTCGCTTCTTCCTCTTCATTCTTCCTTTCTTACGCTACCATGTATCATGTAGTGTTGTTGTGTGTTGGCTCCAGCGATGTTCCAATTCACTTGTATCAATGGCTGTATTTTATGTCGTTTACTTTTTTTTTTATTTCGGTTTGGTCCCATGTGGGCCTTTTGTGCTGAGTTACAGACTGGAGACTTGTTTGTAGGACTATCTTTGCTACGTATGCATGTATGCATGTATGTATGTACGTCATGTCATGGTATATCAGCGCAACCCTCTTCTCATCATGTGTTGTAGTATGGGTCTCGTTACTCAATTCATGATCAAGCGCCCTTGGAGAATCGAAAAAAAGTTTTTCTTCACATTTGTAGCGATGAAAAATCTGATATACGTTCCATTCGCATTCAAAGTCTCGGCTCAATATGCAAAATACGGATCTGCTTTTTAATAAGACATTCTCTTCGTCAATCTACACAGCCACATCTACCATGCATCATTTCTTGCCCCCCTTACTGATTGACAACTCATTGCTTCCGCCGCCTCACAAAAACACATTTCTCGCCCCTTCTCTCCACAAGCACTATCCTATTACCAGTCCCATTTCTAGCCACCCGCTCCCCAGCAACAGCAGCAGCAGCAGCAGTGGTGTACCCTATATCTCGTGCATATTCCCCGCACAAAACCCCCTCATATCCCGCTTTACACATATCACTATACTGTCCCCTCTGCTGCCACTGCCGCTGCCGCTGCCACATAGACCGAACAGAAACATGCTCTTTGCCAGTGTCGTGTCTATCCCGTATATGCATGTGCATGGCTCGATGTATTTGCGCATCAGAACCCGGACTGGGACTGGGACTGGGACTGGGACTGGGAGTAGCTTTTCTAGATGGGTACGATGGAAACGAGGAATATGGGGAAGAGAAGGAGGTGCGTGAGGCGGAAAAAGAGGCGGACGAGGGGGTGCAAGAATACATGCTGTGTAAATCTCGCGATAAACTCTGATGCGCTATTTCCGCCGCTGCCGCTGCCGCCATTGCTACACTATTCCTCCTATTCCTACTCCTGTTGCTGTCAACATATCCAGTATCTACATCTACATCTGGACTCGGACGCTGATCTCGGGCCGTGAACCATGCTGGGAGGGGCAGAGGAGAAGAGCTATTTTTGGTGGAGGTTTGAATGGGTGTGGTTGCGATTTTAGCTTTGTTCTTTGCTCGCTCGCGTTCTAGCTCTCGTTCTTGATCGGTATGTCTAGTTCTGCGTCTGGTTTCGTGTTCGTGTTCGTGTTGGAGAGGAGAAGAAGCGGAGGAGGGAGAGGGTATGTCTGAATGTGAATGGAAATGTGAACCATGATGCTGATTTGGATATACATGTGGCGAGACGACGTGTACGTCGTATGTCCCGTGGCGCCTTGGTTGGATTTCTACGCCTGAATTCCGTTTGCTTGCTTCGTTCCGTGTGTTGATGTTGGAGTGCTGGGTTGGTGCTTCTGGCCGACATGTCGTTGTGGTCATGGTCGGTGCAATCTTACCGTATTGCGAAAATGGGTTGGGTGTGATGGAGCTGGTGGCATTGTGCGCAGTCTTGTCATATACTGTATGTTTTTTACTCGTGTTCTTTCTTTCTTTGCAAATGAGCGTGTTTGGTCGTGAGACTAATGGTTAGACTACTTGTTTGCTGGTTCATTTGCGATTGTGAGTCTTCTTGTCCCTGGCTAATGGAATAAACGAATGTCATGAACTCTGTAAAGCAAAACTTATGCTTGTTATTGGTGGGAAGCTGAGTGCTGTTTGGTGTTGGAGTCGATTGAGGTGGGAGCAAATTTCCAAAGGTATGACTTTCAATCACGACTGAGGAAAACTGTAGATATTGAGTGGACAATACACAAAGTTTTGGTATTGCCGAAAAAGTTCAATGTCTCAACAAAAACAGTATAGATATCGCAAAGCGATGTCATCGTAAAATCGAGGAAATGCCAAGATAGCCAAGACAACGTGAACCATGGTACTGGTATCAAACGATAAAACAACTCACACCCTACATAACCTCCATTCTTGCATTTACTCATAAATTCGAATGCAGTTACCCAAGCGCTGACAAACATGCCAAACATCCAGAAGCGTCAAGACTAAGCGAGTCATCCTGTTTACAACTTGGACCTCCGTTGCAGGTATATTTTGATGGCAGCGGCCGCTGAAACATGTCAGCGGACTTTTACTTCGCCTCCAGATGATTGTTTACTTACCAACAACAACAGCCAAACTCTTCACGCCGACAAAGCCCATAAACCATGTTCCCCACCCGAGGGGTAGACCATCGCGATCAAAGTTTGGCTTCATGTCGTTCATACTCACAAACTCCTTCTGCTTTTTGAGCGTGTATGGCGGGTATCTGACAGCCATGAGGCTTTCAAGCCAGGCTGGGGTGGTAGTCACACTCCTGCGGTGAGTAAAGCAGTCGAAGCTCGCCTTGCCTCGGTAAGAGCCCTGACCACTCGTTCCAACACCGCCAAATGCAAGTGTGGGGATGGAGCCGTGGAAGTAGCCATCATTGAGTGAGGCACCGCCACTGCGTGTTTCCTTGAGAATCTTTTCCATCTCTGCTTTTGAGCCAAAGGCGTAGGTTCCGAGCGGAGTGTCGTGGATTTCGTTTGCAATCTTGATGGCTTCGTCGAGGTTGTCAACCGGAAGGACTGGTAGAAGCGGACCAAAGGATTCAGCGGTGACCATGCTGTCGTTCATGTCGTTGATTTGGACAACCGTGGGCTCGATGAAGAGTTCGGATTCGTCCATGGTGCCACCAAGAACAATCTTACCGTTGCTGTCGTCGACCATCTTCTTTATGCGTTGGAACTGGCGCAGATTGACGATGCGGCCGTAGTCGGGCGACTTGCGCGGACCTTCCGGGTAGAATTCTTGAAGCTGCTTCTTCATCTCGTCCAGGAAGGCTGGCAGGATTTCGCGGTCGACAAATGTGCAGTTTTGGCTAAGACAGACTTGGCCAGAATTGAGTGTCTTGGCCCACAACAATCGCCTGGCAGCCAGCTTCGGATCCGCATGCTTGGTGACAATGGCGGGGTTCCTGCCGCCCAGCTCCAGAGTCAGCGGTGTGAGTGTCTCGGCTGCCTTCTTCGCAATGATCTTGGCGACCGCCTCACCACCCGTGTAGAAAATCTTGTCCCACTTCTGGTCCAGCAGAGCCGTCGTCTCGGGGATGGCACCCTGGATGCACGTGTAGCAGTCGGGATCGAGCGAATCACGCAGGATCTTCTCAATGATAGCGGCAGCGTGGGGCGAGGATTCAGAAGGCTTGACGACCGCAGTGCATCCGGCTGCGATGGCGCCAACGAGGGGGCTGAGAGTGAGTTGGATGGGGAGGTTGTACGCTCTGTTGCCGTCAGTGTCGCCCTACATCATGGCCATGGGGCAGCATACCCAATGATCAAGACCGCACCCAGTGGATCCTTCTTGATGCGTGGGTTCATGAACTTGTTGGTCAGGGCGATGTCCGGTGCCTTCTCGTCCTTTGCAAAGCGGGGGACATTGTTGGCCATCCAGATGCAGTCGTTCATGCACCAGGCAATCTCGGTCAGGTACGTCTCAAACGACGGCTTGCCCAGGTCTTGCTTGCAGGCCTCCTTGATGAGCTCCTCATTGTCCTTGAAGCCCCAGTAGAGCTTGCGCAGCTGCTGGATGCGGAACTCGAGCGGCCTGGTCTTGTGCGAGAGAAAGGTGGCGCGCACCTTGGCGCACGTGGGCGCGATGGCGTCCATGGGCGTGTGCTCAAAGGGGGGTAGTTGAGCCATTGTGTCGTGTGGAATTGGGGATGGAAGGGAAACGAGGGGGGGTCAAATACAGGAGGCAGAGGGGCAGCATTGGCCGACTATTATATGTATCAGTCGCGCCCGCACCCGCACCCGCATGGCATGGCATGGCCTGCATCCTGACATCTGGCAGGCACGCCGCCGACTCGCAGACATGCCTCGGTCCCACCTGCCAGGGATTAGCCTGCCCCGCCTGTGCCGAGCCCCATTGGGACTAGCGCCGTCTGCTCCCTCGCAACACGCTCCAAGTGTTTGCGCCCCCGCCGTTTTGCCTGGCTACTTCTTCCACTTTACCGCAATGTGCGGGGCCGTTGCACGCACGAAATCATCAAGGCTTGTCGAGAGGAGGCACAGAGCCATGGTAAATACAGTAAGCCATGGCCTCCGGGTCGTCCAACGGTGGTAACCCGGAAGATGAAGTCCTCATTCTTACAATCGGCTGACATGTGACTAGAGAACGTGGAGATTGTGCCAGCCGAAGCCAGCAAGGATTTAGCCATTGCCCAGGGACTGCCGCCTATGTATACACCTGTTACTGAGCAAGGCTGTCCCGAGTCTTTCAACGAGCTGCATCTAGCATCATCTGGTCAATGAGTTTGCTCGTCCAGGATAAACACGATGGATCGATCCAATTCAGAGCATGTGCAGGTTGGATAGATTTAAGACGACTCCGAAACAAACCCACACACTACGTCATTCCATCAAGGTTTGTATTAAGCAGCACCCGCCTATGCGCTTGTGTCGTCTAGGTATGCAGCCAAGCAGCCATGATCCCTGGCGTAACGGTCGGCGGTGCAGTCCACGAGCTGCGAGCCTAACAACTCGGATCCTCGGAAGCCGAGCACTTTCCGAAACTCCACTACCAGCAGGACTCGCTTTTTCTCGGACCGGACATGTTCGTGCCTTGTGACGGTGTCAAACTGGCTTCCGAAACTTCGCGCTCTCGCACTGGGAATGGCGACGTGGGCGGTCCGTTGAGGGGGGGGGGATACCCCAAGTCTATGTATGGAACATGCATGCAGGGCTCGAGTATCCATCCCAGCTAAATCATCAACCTTGCATTAACACGACCAAGGCTTACAAAACCATGTGTGTTGCCATGGATTTTCCATTTGAAATTCCATGTTACACATTAGACCCTAGATATGGACTTCCATATTTGGTAATTTGCATTCCAAGGCATAGAGCACCAGCCAATCCGAGCATCTCGTTTGAACCATTCCACTGATTTCAGTCCACTGGTTTGCTTCTTGAATTCCCATACCAATTTGGAAACCCCACTCACAAATTAATGGAATACCAAGACTTCCCCCCTCCGCATCCGCGTTTATTTCGCACTAACCCAGTGGAGTAGGACGCAGTCGAGTTACGCATGACAAATGCGCTTACCCTCACTCTGAGCCATGTATGATAGCTGATGGTGTATTTTCTAGCGTCCGCCTCGGTACCACGAGTGCACAAGATGGTAGCACGTTATTCGTGTATTTTGCAGACCATGTGATGTCAGTGGCTGGTGGCCGGGGAAGGGGCGCTACAGAAAGGGTTGAGCTGCAAAGCGGCATTTTCCCATGCCATGCTGTATTGCAGGAAAAAGCTTGGTATCACTATCCTAAAGCGATAAAACATTGAGCAATATCCAACACGTTCAATACAGGGCAGCAATCCAGTCGAGTAAAAAAAAAGGCTTCTCAAAACAGTAATTGAAATGGGTATTATCCACACAAACACCGGCCGTAATAATCTCTACCCTTAAATCATGATACAAAACGCAGCTTGCACTCTTTGTTCCCCACATTTTTGCTTTTTTCTTGTCCTTAACATTATCCCGACAAGCCAATCAATTCAGGCTCATTCCCCTTTGTGTCTGTAACCACCTTCTCCTTGACCAGATACGTGTCCCTCTTGCCATGCAACTCCTGATGCAGCAGATCCGTCAGACTCTGCATCATGGCTGCCTCGGTACTCTTCTTCGTGCGGTGCTTGTCAATGGTGTGGTGGCGGATAAATTGACCCGTGCATTTACTCGTGATCCACGAATGGTCGGTGATGCCCGGGTAGCCCATGGCATCGTTGCAGGGAATCTCAACAATGTTTGTGCCGTTGGGGTTGAAGTCGTAGCGGATGTATTCGGAAAAGGCCTTTTGCTCGTGCGACCACTCGTTTGCCCATTGCTTGCATTCAGGGTACCGATCGCTGGTGGGGCATTCTTTCCAAGCCTCGAGCATGTCAAAGGTGTGGGGCAGCGCCTGGGCGATTACGACGCCCGTGTTGAGAGCGAGTTTGCCGCGGCTGTCTTCGGAAGCGTGCTCGTCGCCATTGAGAATCTGGCGCGTGTCGAGCGGCATGGCAATGCTCGTGTCGGGTGTGATGCCCCAGCGGTTGAACAGCCATTCGACGGGGAGTTCAAGGTGTTGGATCGTGGCGTCGGCGTCGATGAAGATGACAAACTTGTACGACTTGAGAAGCGAGTACAGCACGTGTGGTTTTACCCATGTGTTGTGCATACCCTCCATGTCGGCGGCGTTGATGAAGCGGTAGTCGTAGCCGTGGATTTGCGCTGCGAGGCGGTTGGTATCGTTGCGACGAGCGAAGCATGGGGGGACATACCGTAAAAGAAGTGGTTCATGAAACTGGCGCTCACCATGCCACCGTCGCCCTCGGCCTTCATCGTCTCCCAGTTCAGTCGGTGCTCGTTCCACAGTTCATTCTCCTTGTCGGGTATCCGCGTGTCAATGTCAACGATCAAGACCTGGTTTCTCAGTGGCTCTCGCCACCACGGCGCATCTTCCTTGACCTCGTGGACCTTGCCCGACGCATCGGTATATGTCGGCTCGTCTACCGGATAGCGTATGGGCTCGTACAGCCGGAAGAACGAGTCGCTGAGGGAGGGTTTCCCAAAGACGGGGCGATCGTTGTTACACAGGTTATTTGTCGTTTCTTTGGCTGATTCCTTGAGCTGCTCCACGACCTTTGTGCTGGTTTCGCGGAGACCGGTCGTGGTGGAGAAAATGAGCAGACATATAATGACAAAGACGGCGCTGGCGAGGGCCAGCTTGTTGACGGCGGTAATGGGGCCTGCCATGTTTGCGCGGACGTGTGCAGCACGCCTGGAACGAGCGGAAGGGGTCGGGTGGCCAGTCAAGATAGCTAAGTAGTGTGGCAAAAAGAACAAAGCCGACTACAGCCAGGGCCCAGGCAGGGAGGGGGAGGGGGGGAAAGCAGAGGATTAAGTGTAGGCGGCTGCGCACAAAGGCGGCATGGTGGTCGACAAGTAGTGGCGAGCTGGGCCATTGGAGCCAGAAGCAGCAGCGTCAACGTTGGGATGCCTTGTACGCGGGTCCCGAATCGACGGAGTGCGAGTGGTCGAGGCAGCAGCCGCGTTAGACAGGGGTGCGTGGTCGAAGATCGCGTGCGCTAGCGGCTGTGGCTCGGCTCCGGCCAGGCGCGCGCACTAATCGGGGCCCTCCTTTTCACTGCAGTCATCTCGCCATCTCCCCCGTTACCACATTCACCACCACCCACTCGCTCTCAAGCTGCCACCTCCCTTGCCACCTCACCACCCACGCCCGCTGCGTCGCACAGAGCCATTCTTATCGGCAATCCCACATGGACCCTACAGCACACCTACGCGGACAGCACTGGTGCCAGATCATCTCCACTCGATACATGTACATACGCATCCGCCAACCACCGCTGCTCGCGCTCCAGCATCCATGTTCATGGCCAGGACCCAATCCAGTCCGCAAGCTGCCAGCCTCTCCGGGCCCCGCTGACAATCGTCTTGGCGCGTAATATTATGTTTCATGGCTAAAAGGTCCAGCTCCACTTCTGGCTTACACCTACACCCATGCCCATCAGGCTGCGCTATGCATGAATCCTTGCCCCTAATCACTGTCTGCTGCTGCACAGCCTCGTCGTAAGACAGCATTGGATGCATGTACGAACCTCACTCCCAAAGCAGCGCAATAGCCGGCTGCCCTTGGTGCATCCAGTCACATGATATTACACCATCGCCGGCCTTGAAGGTGCAATTTGTGCTTGATCATCATTCCTTATCGCAGCGCCTCAAAACAACACTTTCCCCTCTTGCTTTGCACTTTGCCAATGTGAGCTTACAAATGTCTAGCATGACCAATCCAACGGCCCAAGCAGGATAAAATGCTGCTGTATCATCATGGATAGTGCAGCATAGACGTAAAGGGCGTTGCAAGATAGCAAGATGCCATCCAATTCTCTACCCCTACGTACCGCACTGATTGGGCTCTCTTCTTCAGCCGTCACATCATGGGCAGCCGCTGCACATCTGCCTGGCCTCTTTACACCCACCGGCCGCTCTAAAATCACCATCACCGCATTGCTGAATAGCAGTGTTGATGCTGCCAAGTCGGCAATTGACCAATTCAAGCTGCCTACTACGACAAAAGCTTATGGCTCTGCAGAAGACCTTGCAGCAGATGCTGACATTGATCTTGTCATATGCAACACCAGGGTCGACAGGCACTACGAGACTATCCTACCAAGCGTGAAAGCGGGCAAGGATGTCTATGTCGAATGGCCGATTGCTGCAAACAAGGAACAAATTGATGAGATTGTCGAGGCAGCAACCAAGAGCAGATCCAGAGTTGCAGTGGGTTTACAGAGACGATGGGCTCCCCAAGTAATCAAGCTACGCGAGATTCTCGATGGCGGAAACGGCGATCTGGGGAAAGTACTGAGTTCTACTGTGCAGGCCTTTGGCGGCACCATCGAAAGAGCGATTCTGCCCACGGGCCTAGCCTACTTTACCGACAAGAAAGTCGGCGGGAATCCCATTGCCATTGGAGTGGGGCATGGTAGGTGTCCCTAATGATCAGATTGCTACTTACCAACACAAACACAGTTTTGGACTTTGTCCTATCCACCCTCGGTAACCTGGACCCTTCAACCCTGCACTCCAAAGCCCAAATCCAGCGCCCCGACATCCCCATACGCAATCCATCTACCCAGGAAATCGTCGAGCACAAAACCTCAGATGTACCGGATCTCCTCTCCTTCCACGGCGCGCTGGCTCCATCTCCCCAAACAGCCGCTGATGCAACGCTCTCTTTCCATTTCCGCCGTGGTCAGCCCTTTCCCGGCACGCCCGCTCTTACATGGACTATCAACTGCGAGCATGGCGAGATCAAGTTGACGTCAGCGAATAGCATGGTGTTGCCTGCGAGCGAACGCGACGGGCCCGTAACAATCCAGGTCCATGACTACAAAACCAACGAGGTGAAAGATGTAGCCTGGGACTGGACTCCGGACCAAAAAGAAGTCCCCATTGTCGCAAGAGATGTCATGTGGTGTCTGTACGCATTTGCAGACGGCAAGGCGGAGGGCGATGGCTGGGTGGGCCTGCAGGACGCAGCACAGTACGCCAAACTGATGGATTCATTTCTCCAGTAAATACATGCCTAGATGTATGTAGTTAGTCCAATCCCTCCATTCTCCCATGTCCAAACTTTCTTTTTTTTTCATTTTAATTTTAAAACAAGAAATGCATGCGGAGTCTGACTCCGCTTTTGGAGGAAAACGCCCAGTCCGCAACGTGGATTGTGGTTCATGGCATCCCTGCACCTAAGCATGCATTGCTATACACTTGTCTGGAAACAAAACAAATACCCAAAATCCATGCGCATTTACAAACAGTACTAGTACATATCCGCGTTCAGAACCGCTCCCTCCCCCCCCCCAAATCTTCCTAGCTATATTAAAAGACTCTAAACAAACCAAAAAAAACATATAAAGCAGTCATGAGAGTATGTTGCTTTGAAATCCAACTTTGGCGCTTACTTACAGTACTTGCCACAAATGCACATTACGCAATGGATTGATGGAAAGAGCATAGCCAAGCCAAGGCCAAAGCCTGGGCGAAAGCAAGAAAAAAAAATACTAGGCCCAGCGCGCAGTAAGTAAGTAAGTAAGTAAGACTGAGATGAGATGAGATGAGATGAGATTGGCCCGTCCGTTGCACCGATAGACTTTTACAAGCACAAGCAGACATGGCTAGCTAGCTAGCTATCTAGCTTTATTAGTATCCACATGCAAAAAAAAAAAAAGAAGAGGCCATTTCTACGTAGGTGTACTTGGCCGTGAGAGATACAGGCAGATACCGCGCTGCGCCTTTTTTTTCATTTTTCAATTACCCTGTGCCAGGTGAAAAGCTAGCTCGGAATCAAATGGCGTGGGACCCGCGTGGGAATACACATGTAGATAATAGGTCCGTGATGGCGCGGCCCCCCCCCCTTCGTTTAAGCCCACGAGCCGCGTTGCTGTTGAGGCGGTGTCTGGGCGCTGGCTTGGAAGTATACGAGTTGCAAGTGTTGGGTAATCTCCACCGTAGGAGCGAGGAGCTGCGGGATTTCAGACAAGCTCAAGGCCCCCCGCTCCTCCCTCCTCCCTCCTCGCTCCACCCTCCACCCTCCACGTTCTGGGCTCTGGTGGTACGTGCAGGAAGAAGAGGAAGAGGAGGAAGAGGACGAGGAAGCGCCTTAAAGTCTAGCGCGAGCGCTTGGCCATAGGGGTCTGCATACAGCGTTGCAGCGCCAAGGCGAGGAGGAAGCAAACTATGAGGGCTAGAGATACAACGGCACGCCGTTTTATTTTCTTCAGGAATTTGATTTTCTAACAGTATTGTGTGTATTGCTAAAATTGTAGTACTCAAACCATCTTCACCAGCTTGAACAATGGGCAACATGCATCATAGTCATGTACTCTGAAGTGGTATAATGTCCCCCCAACGCCTTGCTCTTTGTGTGCCAACGCCAAATCATCCTTTGATGCCGTCTTACTTGCATCAGTTCCAGACCGTATCCAACTGCATAACTCTTTTTCTCTTTTACCGCCTCGCCTTGATGTTGAATGGGCTTTCCTCTGCCGCCTTGTACGAGTCAAATGCGAAGAGACTGATAAAGTACAAGGCGAAGAATCGAATGACCAGATCGCTGAGCCCGCCGTTGCCCATCAGCATCCGTTGTGCACTGGCAAACGGACTGTTGCCAACCGGCCGGCTGGGTTCTGTCGCTGATCCCAGCGTGCGCCCTTTGGACTGAAAGGCAGCCGAGGCGGCTGGCCCTGAAGTATCGCTGGCAGCTTTGCGCACGGCGGCTGTGAGGGCAGAGGGATTTGCGCCGCGGATGGTATCGACGACCGAGTTGGACTTGATGACGAGAAAAGTGGGCATGCTGTGAACAGTCCGTGTTAGCGATTCAGATCCCGAGGGAGGCTTCCATGACTCGACGGTCGGAACTCGGTCGTGGCAATTGGGATACGTACGCGCTGATGCCGTACTTCCTGGCCACTTCCTGCTGGCTGTCCACATCGACCTTGACGAATTGCATCTTCCCAGGCTTGGTCTCCTTCTCGGCCAAGCTCTGGAACACGGGCGCGATGGCTTTACATGGCCCGCACCAGTCGGCGTAGAAGTCGACAATCGTGTATGTGGACTGCGAGAGCAGTTGGGAGAAGTGCGACGACGAGGTTACGGCGATGATCTTGCCCGGCATGGTGCTGACTATGGCGCCGTCTTGTCGTCTTCTGAATCAATATACGGCGCAGGGTCCCGGGCCGAAGAGCCCGAGATCGAGGTCGAAGAAGCGGTTTCCTCATCTGCGCCCAAGGCCAAGAAGTCAACAGCCAAGAAGCGCCCCCGCAAGGAGACGGACATGAGCAGCGATGCCGAACAGGCGTACGTGCCGAAGAAGTCGAGGAGCAGAGCGGTTCCGTTGGAGGAGGCTGAGGCTCCGGCCGAGGCTGTTACAGCAGGTGCCGAAGAGAAGACGGCTGGGGAGGCATAAAGTAGAGCGATATTACGGAAGGACATGGTCATGGTGGTGTAGTCTACGAGGCAGCATGTAGGAGGGTCATGTACGGAGGATCATCAGCCTGTAGCTAGCCATGCTCATCCATATGTACCAGGGTAGCGAACGCTTAGGGCGCGCTCGAGTAGAAGAATAGCGAGCCTAGCGATGCAGCAAGACGCTGACCAGTTTCAGCTGTCATGAGTTCCAAAGCATGTTTCTAGATTCCCGGCCAAAGGTGATGTGACGCGTCTTACCAAGTACTGTAGAGGGCAAGGCGGTCAGCGCACGACCCCCCCCCCCCCCGACGCTTCAAGTGGCGCAAGCTGTCCTCCCCCGCAAATTATATCCACTCCTCCACTGCCACTGCCACGCCCAATCCACTGAGTCGCACCACGCACAACAACTGTGACGTCGACCTCTCCATCCTTGGCACTAGCTTTCGACTTCTTGCTACGAGACTTCTTGGCCTTTGCCTTGGGCGGCTCAATCGCACGCTCCGGCGGCTCGACGATCTTGCCCGTCTGGAATGTCTCGAGCACCGCGGCCTGGACTTCTTCAGGGAGCTCCTCTACGCCTTCGATTGAATCGCGCTCGAAGAATAACGTTACATTTGCCAGGTCAAAAGCAGAGATACACTTCTGCGTGCGTGTTAGACTGGATTCATGCCCGCGGAGAAGATGCCGTACCCAGTGCTTGTAGACAGTCGATGCATGTTCGCCATCAAAGGGAATAAGGATGCCGAGCCTCAATTCGCCCTTGGTGATCTTGATCTGCTTAGACAAGCAATCCTTTCCACGGCATGCAGCCGCACGAGCGGCAAGGTCGACCTTGTACGCCATCGCGTTCTGATACTCTTGCCCGTACTTGGGAGCATCCTTGGCCAGATCCTCGCGGATATCCTTGAATTGCTTGTCGACAGGCATGCCGTGCTCGAATGCTAGTCGCACCTGCTCCTGGCTCTCCGGGCTCAGTGCGTCGTAGCCAGGCGCCTTGGTTGGGTCGTTCTCAGTAGTCTCTTTCAAGCCTTGGATCTGATGCTTCGTCGCACATGCCCTAGGTATGCTTCAGCATTACATACTACCTCACTTGTACGTGCTTATCCATTCGCATCTCGAGCCTCACACGCCCCAGCAGATGGACAACTCACCAATGACGCCAAGCTATGTAATATCGCATCTCAATGTCGTTGTCGAAGAGCGCGCGTGTACCAATACGCAGCTCGCCTTTTGCAATCAAGGCTTTGCTACGCTTGCATGCCGCTTGTTGACAAACTGATAGGCCAGTGCTTGCATGCTCTAAGCAGCATTAGCAGCAGGCAGAGGTAGGCATGTTCATCTGCTGCGTACCTAGGCGCCATTTGGGGCCGTCTTCTTCCATGATGCCGAGATTCTTGTGGAGCACAGTTTGAGAGAAAAGAGGGGGAAGCCGGAGGGCGAGAGAGTGAGGGGAGCTGAGACTAGCAAAGTGGGTTTGTTCTCACCGGCCAGGCGGGGCTTGGCGAAGAAAGAGGAAGTCACGATGGCGCCCAACCACAGTGGCGCGACTCGATGTGAAGATTGGTTGCCTATGAGCAGGCAGTGAAAGAAAGAACTGAATGGTCCGTTCTCGCTAATCTGTTACACTCGGCACCACTTCTGCTCTCTTGCTTCAGTGACCAAATAGCTTTCACTGTGGTCTCTGCCAGTCTGAGTATCCGTCACAGAGTAATCCTTCGCCACGAATGCGGCATTGTGAAACTCTAACCAACTGCGAATATACTGATTATAGAATGTCTATAACATGACGGCATTCTAAATGCCGTCACAAATCCAAACAGCAAACACGTGCCGTCTATATATTTTGTCTCCTCCGCACAACCTACTACTTCTCCCGCAAGTATTGCCCTGGGTTCCCATGTCTGAAGAGTCTAAAAACCACACAGCTTCCGTACCCCAGCAATACAATAATGCCTGGCCCTACAATGCCCTCGTCACACGCTACATCGACCTCTACACAGAGTACCTCACGATACGCCGGCACATTGACCGCGCCAGCCTCGCCTATCCTTTCGAGCGCGAACGCACAATCCACAACCTAGTCAACACGCGTGCTCGGCTCGAGCACGAGAACCAGCTTCTGCGCCGCCAAAACCAAGATCTCAAGACGACCAACGAAACAAACCGGAGCATCAACAAAAGCCTCCGGTGCCGGTACAAAGACACGCAAGAGACGCTGTGTGCGATCCTGGAGGCGCAGACAGAAGGGGTAGAAGGTGAGGCGCAGAGATACCAAGAAGAAGTGGTTAGACTCCGCGAAGAAAATAGGGACCTTCGGAAGCGGGTTAAGCGGTGGACTAGGTGGGGCGATGTAAATGCACAGGATCTGACTCGCATGTGGGATGAGGAAAAGAAAGCGAAGAAGAGACTTGACAAGATGCAAGAGGAGGTGGAGAGATTGAGATGTCACAATGGTGGACGTGTCGTTGGCGATTATAGGCGGGCAGAAGGAACTGGGGATGGCGAAGTACAGTCTGCTGGGGAAGAAGGGGCGGATGCCGTGGAGACATGTTCAGTGCATCAAGAAGAGAGCCATAGGATTGTGAATGGATGATGATTATGTGTGATGTCCTTCTGTCACATAGCACATAGTCTCCAGCTGTAGAAGTTAGAGACTAGTCTTTTCCCTCTACAAAATCTTCTTCATAGCCCACTTGGGTAGGTTCAAGGGAACAGACATATAACCAGTGCAAAAGACGTTGAACTTGGACTCCAAGATAGACAGCGGCACGGCATGTATTAGACATAAAATACGCAACTTGTATATTCACATCCATAATTCTCCAAAAGTCCAAACTTCACATAATCAACGCCTATCCAGTGGCTACAGCGAGCTCGAGTTTGTCGAACTTGACTCGTTGGAAGTTGGCCGGCCGCCAGCCATCTCGGCCTTGTCCTTCTTTCCCAGAACGACGCGCTCACACCATGAGCACCAGCTCCTGAGCTCGCCCTTGACCTCGCGCTCAAGGTACTGTATCGACTTTTCTTTCTCATCTTCGTACAGCTTGACGCATTCGCCGACGCGGACTTGCTTCTTGAGCTTGACTTTCAGCACGCCGCCGATGCCCTCAATCTCCTGGGTGAGATAGGAGGTGCCCTTCCAGCGTTCAGGGGATTCTGATGTGGGGGTTTGCGTCCTCTCGATGGTGTCGAGAAGGTCTTGCTCGCATGTCTCGTGTTCCACAACTCGCGCGCCCAGACAATGGCAGCCCCGTCCACACTCGACTCCTTCATTACCTTCGCCGGCCCCCGTTCCGACTCCCCCAAGATAGTGGCTATAGCGCGTGCGCCAGCTCCATCCGCGAACGTACATGGTGTCGGCATTGCGCAAGTCTTTTCCGCACGGCGCGCAAAACCATATGACATTGTCGCAGTTGCACGGGGTACGCTCAAACGCTGGCGCAGTGAATGCTCGTGGCTTGCCGTCTTCAAAAAGCACTGGGCGCAGGCTCGGCGACTCAAACGGGGATGAGTCGGATGACGAGCGCTGTTTCTGCGACGCCATGAGCAATGGAAGCGGCGCCTTGGTGCATGTGCGGCAGAGTCGACGATGCCGGGCGCGCAGTGCAGGCGTGGGCGGCGGCTTCATTGTGCAGTTCTGGCGGGCGTGCATTAGCCCCAACTTGATCGAATACGCCTTCAAACGTCATACCCGGCAGACGACAAGGCCGCAGCGCTGGCAGTTTCCCACCATATCGCGTGCACATGTCCCAACACGGCCAGCGGTCAGCCTCCCTTCCAGTGCCATGGCATGCCGGCCTTGTTGCAGCCACGGCCCCGCCTTGTCGCTGACATCGACATCTTCGTTGTGGCAGTGCAGCGTGTGCTTGACGAGCTGACTACGGTACTCCAGCAGATTGGCACGGAACTGTCTGCATGTACGCGATAGATCATGAAGTGTGTTGAGATCGAGCTGGGCGGCGAGCTGGCTCACTATCCTGTCGGGTTAATGTGGTTAGCATGCATCAAGGCGTGGAGTCAAGTCCATGCAATGGCTAAGGCTCACGGATAGCAGCTCAGGGCAGCGCTGAATCCATTGACGTTTGGGTTCGGCCTCTGGTCCGTCACTGTCGCGCTCTGCCCACTTTCTGCCGTCGATTCGTCAAGAGAGTGGTGCAGTGGCTTGACGTTGAGTAGACCAGACGCGTGAGGGGCTTGCAATGAAGGCGGTTCATCGTCTTCCAGATCCACTAGGACCACCATTGTTGCCAACAAGAGCGTGCAGCATCCAAGCCAGTTTGGACTCGGGACTGCCAAAATGAAGATGTCGTTGTCAAGAGAGCGATGCCGGAGTCGTGACGACTAGACGGCACGCTTGATCGCGTTAGTGGGGCGCTTGGCGCTCCTTACGCGGGCTTTGGTTCCGTCGCCCTCTACGCGTCTTCAACCCCAAGTTTCATTATTAGTCCATCGTCATGAAAAACATCAAGGCATGCTGCGGCGAGTCGAGTTGATGGGCTCGCGGGGGCCCCCAAACTCACAGGTATGTGCGGTTGGTTGTGCATAACCATGGTCACGTGCAGCAACACACTGACGCCAGCCACAGAGGCATCAAGACCAAGTGCATCCCAAGAGAAACCAACACCATATGTAGCGAGACATGCTCTCTTCTGTTCTCTCGTCTTCAGGCCCGCAATACTACCTACAGTCAAACTGAATGTGCGTCAATTCAATAGCTGCTCCCAACGCACCAGCCTCCAACACCACAACGCGCATGGCGGACTGCTGTTGTACGCTCCGCTAATTCCATCGACAGGTTGTCCCCTAGCTTTTCTGATACCCCCTGGTTGTTCGCTACAGTACGCATCTGGGAATAGCTCAGTCAAAATCCAAGACGGCAACTCGGTTCTAAACCTCGCTTCAGGTAGCTCTTATTCCTAAACTGCAGGGGCACGACCAATGGACGGCTCGCGTCGCAGCCATCACATCCTGCAAGACATGGCAGCCTTCAGAGGGCGGCGGCTACAGTGGATATAGCGAGCCTGAATACAGACAGGTTGAGCAGCCAAAAATAGGTATGACCGCCAGGCTGCCCAACACTGTCTCACTCCTTTGCTTCTTCACTCCTCCGTATTTCACCCCTCAAACTCCCCATCTGTGACCCCTCTCCTCTTGTTTAGATTCCTCTCATGACTGCACATGTCGCGCCAGTTGCGCCGCGAAGATTACACGGTAGGATGGGTGTGCGCGCTGCCCATCGAGCTGGCCGCCGCCCAGGAAATGCTGGACGAAGCGCACGATGACCTCAAGCGTGACTTGGCTGACAGGGACGAGAACTTGTACGCCCTTGGATCGATAGGCAAGCACAACGTGGTCATTGTGTGCCTACCTGCTGGTTGCATTGGTAACAATCCGGCGGCGGCTGTGGCGGCTGTGGCGGTGCAGATGCGGGCGACATTCAAGGGGATGAGATTTGGGCTGATGGTGGGCATTGGCGGGGGAGTGCCTAGCGAACATGTGGATATCCGCCTTGGGGATGTGGTGGTTAGCCAGCCCAGCAAGACGTTTGGCGGGGTGGTGCAGTACGACATGGGCAAGGCAACACCAAGCGGCTTTGAACGATCAGGGGCACTCAACTCGCCGCCGCAGATGCTACTTGCCGCAGTCGCACGAGTGCGGGCGAACGAGCTTCGAGGCAAGAGCAGGCTTGATGAGCACCTTTCTAAGCTCGAAGGCGTCCCTAGGTTTCAACGCAGCAAAACAGGCCCAGACGTCCTCTTTGAGGCCGCATACAACCATATGGGCGGACAGACATGCAGCAAGTGCAGCGTCGACAGACAAGTGGATCGAGTGCCGCGCGAGGATGAAGAAGAACTGGTAGTAACCCACTATGGCACCATCGCATCAGGAAACAAGGTGATGCAAGACGCTATCCAGCGTGATCAAGTCAGCGCCGACCTTGGCGGCGTGCTCTGCTTCGAGACGGAGGCGGCGGGCCTGATGAATAGCTTCCCGTGCCTCGTGGTGCGCGGTATCTGCGACTACGCCGACTCGCACAAGAACGAGCGGTGGCAGGCATATGCGGCGGGTACGGCGGCAGCATGGGCGAAGGAACTACTGTCGGTCGTTCCCGCAGTGGAGGTGGTGAAGGCGCACATGATGGATGAGGCCCTCAGCGCAAGCCGTTAGTATAACACTCGTAAATGCAAGATGCTTTGGACGCACATCGCTGACATTCCAACAGGACATGCGCCCACCTACTACCTCCCGTTTTCCAAGAACCAATACTTTGTTGGACGACGGAACGAGCTTGAAGTATTGAAGTAGAGGCTGTCAAACATGTAATAGACGCCTTTATATCGCATCACCGCGACAACTGGGCGGTGTAGAAGGAATATCTATCGCACGCACTCCAGTTGCTAGATGAAATGAAGGGGAATGATAATCATGACTTGGCCGTTCTACCTCTATTGGTGGGACGATGTTTCCAGGAAGACGGGAGGATGGAAGATGCAGCGAGATGGCTTCAAGAATCGTGTCGACGAAGGGAGACACGAGGTGAAGAGGACTCGGACTTGCTGATTGTTCAATACGAGCTCGTAAAAGTATACCATCTCAACAATCAGCCGAGGAAGTCGATGAAACTGTTTGAACGCTTGATGAAAGTATACAAGAAGCTGACAGAAGATGCTGGCCCCCAACTGTCAGCGCAGTTATGGCTCGCAGTAACCTATCGCGAAGAAGGACGAGTGGAGAAAGCAATAGAACTGCTTGAGCACGTTGTCAAAGTATGAGAGAAACAGGCAGAAGACGACCTTGATCGACTGGAATCGCAGCACATGCCCGCAATTGCAATATGTAGATAACGGACAGGTGCAGCAGGCGATAGAGCTGTTTGAATACGTTGTTCAAGTAGGAGAAAAGACGATGGGAGAGCACTTCCGAATATTAACACAGAACGAGCTGGCACGAGCATACAAAGTCAACGGACAAGTGAAGGAAGCAGTAGACTTATGGGAGCATGTAGCTAAAGTCACCGCAAGGATACTCCCAGAGTACCACCCAAACCGACTACTCGTGGAGGGCAACCTCGCGACAGCATATTATGACAACGGACAGGTAGAGAAGGGGATAGAGCTTCTTGAGTATGTAATCACAATCGGGGCACGTACATACCGGGACACCATCCTCAGCGCACATGGCCACAAGATGTACTTAAAGAAATGTACGCACGGCTTGGGATGGGCTGAGCCTTCTTGTAGTTAGCTGTTTAGTCTGCTACCAGCAAGTCCGAGAAGGGCAACAAACGAAAGAAGGCGGATTGAGATGATTTTTCGCTGGACTAGAGTGTACGGCATTCTTTCCGCATTTTCCTTGTCTTGTGAGACTGATGTACGAATCTCAACGGGCGGAACGGGTCATCGTACTCGGTGCCTCAACTCACGTCAGATTGGCTGCAGAGCCCGCATGGAGGCGAGGTAGAAGCTTACGATGGACTTGGCCTTACTTATCAATTGCTTACGCTCATCAGAATTGATTCTCAAGGCTTTCCAGAATCTAGTTGCTGAATGCTGATGATGGTCCCAGGGCTGTCTGGATGCTAGGTCCGAACTCCACTATATCAATCCTTTATGGAACATGCCATATGGGGTAGTGACTTCCAACGAGTATTCACTATGTTATGGACTCGGGAGGCGTTTGAGTGTGCTGAAAAAAGGAGCAGGATGTGGGTACGTGTAGTGCAGCCTTACGTTATCATACATGCCGTGTGTAAGCGTAGCAGGTGCCGTTTTCCGCTACACAGTAAGTAACTTTCCTATACGGGGTTAATGTAACAATACCCATTGTCGGACTAGGTTTTGTGTTCGTAGTTCGTATTGGAATTGAGCACTTTACCTACTGTAGTCTCGTTCGGCTCTCCGCGGCACGGACCGGATTGGCCCGTGCAGCGTCACCTCCGACCAGAAACCACAGGCTAAACGAGCTATACGAAACCCGCGTCTTCCATGCCATCGCAGTAGTTGTATACATACACGTTTCCTCAAGTCCGGTACCGACGCCAGCGGCCACTAATGCTGCAGCCCCGATCCCCTCGCTACTGTACGATCGGTGGTCAGCGGCTGAGGAACATCTGACAGCTATCAGGTCCACTGGTTTATCGTACAGTGCCCGTGCACCAGATGAGCACCATCGCCAGTTGAGCACCCCCACCACCACAACAACAAAACTTCAACGCGTCAAAACTCAACCAATATGGACCCGATTCAAGAAGCGATTGCAGAAATCGAATCGCGAGAACCAGGAGATAAATTCTCGTATGAAGCAATCGCGAAAAAGCATGGTGTAGCACGAATGACGTTGATGAGACGACACCGCGGCGAAACTGAGGCCTATGGCGTGCGCAACCTCTCCCTCCATCCACAACACGAG